GTGTCGCGCGACCCCGCGCGCGGTCGCCGTCGCGGTCGCCATCGCGCGCGACAATTACAATTCCTCGAGCGACCGCCTCTGCCTTTCAGTTTCTTATCGTCTCGCTCCGCGGGTCCGCGGCCGTCGACTCGCGCGCGATCGAACGCGCGCCCTCCACGCGCGCGACGAGAGAGCCGCGCGACGCTCGATGCGATCGATACGTCTCGCGATGCTCGCGCGCGTCTCGTTCTGGGAAACCCGCGAGCTGGCTCGCTAGTACACGTAGGGCAACGCGGCCTTTTCGTCCACGTCGTCAGTGCACGTGACAGGTCGCGGTCGCGCGGTCGGCAACTCGAGAAGAGGCCGCCCCGCCAGCAGCTGAGTGATGAAAGGATTCCTCCCGCCCCGGACCGTCACTCCCGAACGCGCGCGCGTCGCGCCGTCGATCCTCCGCGCCGCGTCTCATGGCGTCCCGCCGCGCGGGCGCGAAGACGTACGAGCAAGTCGGCCTCGCGGCGTGGCAGGCGACGGAGAAAGTGGTGCGCGCGCGCGTCTCGTCTCCGTCCTCCGCGTTCTTTCTTCTTCGCTCGCGCGCGAGATCCATTCGACGACGTCTGTCTCACCCCACACTCTCTCCTTTCCCCTCTAAAATAAACCACAGAACGCGGAGCTGTTCACGCTGACGTACGGCGCGATCGTGCGCCAGGTCCTCGCGGACTACGAGGACTGCGTCCCGGAGGCGAACGCCAAGCTGGACGCGATGGGGCGAAGCATCGGCGGTCGCCTCATCGAAGAGTTCAACGCGAAAAACGAGCAGCAGCGCTGCGTCGACTTCAGAGACACGTGCGAGACGATCGCGGGCGTCGCGCTTCGGATGTTCCTCGGCGTGGGCGGGCACTGCGCGGACTGGAACGCGGACCACACGTCGTGCCTCGTCGTGATGGAGACCAACCCGCTCGCGGACTTTGTGGAGCTCCCGGAGCGGTATAGGGATCTGTCGTACGGTCAGATGCTGTGTGGGGTCATCGTCGGTGCGTTGGAGCAAGTGCAGACGCGCGCGACGTGCGAGTGGGAGAAGGACGCGCTGCGGGGGGGGGACGGGTTCGCGATGCGCGTGACGCTCGTGGGGCAGATAGATACGCCGTACCCGTTCGACGACTGACTGATGCGCGAACGCGAGGCGCGCGATAGAAGAGGTTTGTAAAGACACGATCATAGTTGGTTGTTCACTCGCATTCGCAAACGCTCGCTCGTTCGACGCGCGCTCACCCCGCGTCGCGTCAGAACATCAGAACATCAGATGTACCCCCACCGCTCGCGCATCCCGGACGGGACGAACATCCGCACGATCCCCTCCCCCCACGCGATCGGCGCTATGATCTTCACCGCGCCCGCGAGCAGGTTGCACCCTTTCCAAATCCGCCCCGGCGTCGGCAACGGCACCATGAGCCTCCCGACGCCGAACAGCGCGACGGAGAAGAAGTGCGCGACGAGCTTCAGCGGGTTCGTCTCCAGCCCGCCGAGCAGCGCGATCGGCCCGGACGACATCGACCCGCCGAGGCGCAGGTACTCGAAGCACGCGCGGCGCATCTCTTCCATGCTCGCGTCGCCAGACGAGCAGAAAACTTTGTACAACGCGTTGGCGAGCGTGTTGATCGTCAACGCCGGGCGCGTTCGGTGCGCGTAGAACGCGTCGACGCGCTCGCCAACCGCGGCGTCGTCCTCGAACGACGGCAGCGGCGCGAGCATGGACTTCATCGTGACGACGTCGCTGAACGCGACGGTCATGCCGCCGCCCGTGAGCGGGTGACGCATGTTGAACGCGTCGCCGAGGAGCACGGCGCCCGGGGTGCGCGACGGCTGCGCGGGCATCGTCTTGTTCATCATGCTCTTGAAGCTGCCCTCGTTCACCGCCTTGGTCAGCGGCGCGCGGAGCTTCTCGGGGACCTGCGGGACGATCTTCTCGAGGACGTACGCGGCCATGGCGCCGGAGGCGACGGAGGGCATCTTGACGTGCGCGGGAATGTCGACGAGGCACCGCACCTCTTTGCTGCTGATGGGGTAGAACAGCACCGGGGAGGGGTCGCCGAGGATGACGTGCCCGTGCCCCGGCCGCGGGAGCAAATCATCCGGCTTGCCCTCCATGATGATCCCGACGAACGTGGACGGCGACACCGGCGACGCGGCAGGCGTGAGCTTCTTGCGAAACGACGAAAAGTACCCGTCGCACACGACGGTGAGCGGCGCCATGAACGACCGCTCCTCGCCTCCGTCCTTCACGGCCGCTCGCACGCCGCCGATGACGCCGCCGCTCTCCGCGGTCCACTCCGCGCCGTCCTGCGCGAGGAGCTTCTTGACCGTGGCCTGCCGTAGATCCACTCTATCGCACCCTCTCGCGGCCTCGCGGAGACGCATCACGAACCGGCCGTTGTGGAAGCTGCGCCCGGCGACGTCGTCGCCGCGCCCCTCGAGCGGGTATCCGACCAGCGCCTCGCCGTCGTCCTTGTACATCGCGTACCCGTACACTTTCTGCGCGTCGATCTTGTCGACGCAGTGCGCGAGGCCGAGCTCTTTGAGCTTGAGGTACCCGCCGGGTTGGAGCAGCTCGCCGACGATGCGCACGGGCTCGCTGAGGGTCGTTCCATACAAAGCGAAGTCGGGGTGGAGTTGAAAGGCGTCAGTTGGAGTTGAAAGGCGTCGAGGGCGGGGATCGAAACCGAGGTGTGGGCGGAGAGAAACGCCGGGCAAAGTCCTTAAGGATCGGCGTTCACCACGCCAACGCGGTCGTATGGGAACCAGTGTGTAGAACGCGCCTGAGGTCGCGCTCGAGGAGCAGCACTCGGCGGCCCTCGTTGCCGAGGGTGTACGCGAGCGACGCGCCCGCGACGCCGGCGCCGACGACGATGACGTCCCACTGTGCATGGACGGATCATTGGGGAGAGAAGCGTCGGTCGGTCGGTCGGTTGAACGGAGAAGAAGAAGCGGGAGAGGGCTTTCGATTCGATCTGCGATCGATCGAACGAACGAATCGATCGCCGCGGATAACGAGCGAACGAATAGAGGCGGGAACGCGGGCCGACGCGACGCGCGCGATCGCGATCGCGATCGCGATCGCGATCGCGGCGGAGGCCGCGCGTCCGTGGACGCGCGCGCGCGCACCTCGAAGCCGGAGCCGCCGGACACGGTCGCCTCGCCGCCGCGTCCCATGACGGCCCGCGCGGTTCGGTCGGGCGCGAGAAGCGCTCAAAGGCGGTTGAACGACGACGACGACGACGCGCGCGCGGCGTCGATCGACGGGCGCGCGACGCGACGCGACGCGACGGCGACGACCGCGGGCGGCGCGAAGCGCGCGGACGCGGACGAGGACGCGGAAGGAGCGTCGATGCGCGGTGGGATCGCGCGTCGGAGTGCGCGCGGGGTGTCGCGCGTTGTGCGCGCGGCGCGGAGACCGTCGATGACGTCAGCGGACGCGGACCCGACCGCGAGGCCGCGAGATCAGGGGCGTTCTATAAAAAGTTTTTCACCCATCGCCCGGTTTCAACATTTGATCGAGTCTCATTTCAACTGACCGATGAACTATTTTTGTATGGAACGCACCTCAGCATCTCGTCATCAGCGCAGCGGACGAGGCTCCGGGCGCGAGCGTCGATCAGATCCGTCGCCACTCCACCTCCGCGCGCCGAGGCGAGCGCATGTCGGGTCATCTCATCGCGCGACTCGTCGTCTCACGCGCCTCGCTCGCGCGCGCGCCTTGGACCCGCGCCGCGCCGTCCTCTCCGCCGCCGTCGCGCCTCCCCCTCGCCCGCGCGCGCGCGCGTCTCGTCATCTTCGCGCGGGGAACACGTACACGCTCGGTCGGCACGCACGCGATGGCGATGGTGTCGTCGTCGTCCTCCTCCCTCCCCGCGCACCGCGTCGGGGACACGTTCCGCGTGAAAGGCCTCGAGCTGACGGACCACTTCTTCGCGTGCCCGCTCGATCACGCCGCGCCGGAGGGCGAGCAGATCGAAGTCTTCGCGCGAGAGGTGGTCGCGGTCGACAAGGCGCGTCAAGGCGCGTCCGACGATCCCGACGCGAGCGCATCAGCAAAACGCGCGAAGATGCCGCACCTCCTGTACCTCCAAGGCGGGCCCGGGTTCGAGGCCGCGCGCCCGACGGAGATCGGCGGCTGGCTCGCGCACGCGTGCGAGACGCACCGCGTGATCCTCCTGGACCAGCGCGGCACGGGGCGCAGCACCGCGGTCTCCGTCGCGAGCCTCGCGAGGCGCGGCGACGTCGCGACGCAGGCGGCGTACGCGTCGATGTTTCGCGCCGACGCCATCGTGAAGGACGCGGAGGTAAGGACACACTGGTTCCCATACGACCGCGTTCGCGTTGTGAACTTCATTCCTTAAGGACTTTACTTCCCGGCGCGCGTTCCTCTCCGCCCACCCCTCGACGCCTTTCGACTCCGTCTGACGCGCCCCTGAACAACTCCGCCCCGACGTCGCTTCGCGCGGAACGAACGCCCCTCCATCACGTCAGACGATCCGCGCGATTCTGTGCGGGCGGGACGTCAAGTGGTCCGTCCTCGGGCAGTCCTTCGGCGGGTTCTGCATCGCGCACTACCTCTCGTTTCACAGCGGTGGACTGAGGGAGGCGTTCTTGACCGGCGGGCTGCCGCCGCTCGTGCGCGAGGAAAACGCGGCGGCGGCGACGTACGAGAGACTCGTCGAGCGGGTGCGTCCACGCTCCGCTCCCTCACACTGGTTCCCATACGACCGCGTTCGCGTTGTGAACTTCATTCCTTAAGGACTTTACGGGGCCCGCTCGCGCGCGTCGTGTCTCGAGGACATCTCCCGTCGTCTCTCTCTCTCTCTCTATTCCGCCGCCCGCCGACCCGACTGACCTTCGCCCCCACGCACCGCAGGTGATGGCTCAAAACGAAAAGTACTACGCGCGATTTCCAAACGACGCGCGCAGGGTCAAGTCGATCGTGAACTTCGTCGCTTCGAACCCGGAGAAGTCCGCGACCCCGAACGGCGGGCGGCTGACCCCGCGGATGGTCCAAGCGCTCGGGTTCAGCGCGCTCGGGACCGCGGGCGGGATGGAGTCGCTGCACTATCTTCTAGAGAAGGCGTGGGACGTCGACGGCGACGCGTTGTCGTACCGGTTCCTGAAAGGCTGCGAAGACGTCCACGCGTTCGACACGAACCCGCTGTACGCCATCTTACACGAGTCGATATACTGCAACGGCGGCGGCCCGAGCGCTTGGGCCGCGGAGGCGGCGATCCGACGGCGTTGGGCGGGCGCGTTCGACCCGATCGAAGCCGCCGCGGCGATCGACGACGACGCGACGCGCGTCTTGTTCACCGGCGAGATGATCTTTCCGCACATGTTCGACGACGTCGCGCCTCTGCGCGCTCTGAAGCCGGTCGCGGAGGCGCTCGCGGCGAAGACGGACTGGGGCGTCCTCTACGACGCGGACGCGCTGAACGCGTGCGACGTCCCGGTGGCGTGCGCGGCGTACTACGAGGACGCGTTCGTGGACGTGGAGCTCGGCGCGGCGACGGCGCGGGAGATCAGGCGCGTTCTCCTTCACACTGGTTCCCATACGACCCCGTTGGCGTGGTGAACGCCGATCCTTAAGGACTTTTGCCGGCGTTTCTCTGCGCCAAGCCCTCGCTTTCAATCCCCGTCCTCGGCGCCTTTCAACTCCGACTGACGCCTGTGAACTCCACCCCGATATCGTCGCTTTGTATGGAACGACCCTCAGGGGCGCCAGGGTGTGGACGACGAGCGAGTACATGCACAGCGGCGTGCGCGAGGACGGCGCGCGGATCTTGAAGAAGCTGATGGCGATGGCGAGAGACGAGGATGTGTTGCGGTAGATGGGGAGAAGAAGAAGAGATGAGACGAGACGAGCGGTGTTGTGATGAACCTCGAGTCTGATCAATCGTCGATCAAATAAATCGTTCAGCCCGAGCGGACGAACTGATGAAGCTCTAAAAGATCCCATCCCCTCCGCTCCGTCGTCCTCCTCCTCCGCCGCTCCCGTCTAGATGCTACGCCCCGACGTCGTCCGCGACGCCGGGCCCGTTCCTACTGCCTATCCCCCACCCCGAGTCGTCGCGGATCACCACCACCTCCTTCGCTTCGCCCGCCTCTCCGCCTCCGCGCGCGCGGCCTCCTCCTGCGCCAGCTTCCTCGCGGCCGCCTCCCTCGCGAGGTTGTCGTAGTGCATCGCCGCGGAGACGCCGGTGACGGTGAACCACGTCCCGGCGACGACCGTGGTGCCGACGAGCGCGCCGGTGACCGCCTTGAACGCGACGTCCATGAGTCTGGTCGACGTCGACATCGTGCGCGAGCGGGCGCGCGCGTCGTCGAGAGTGTGCGCCGATGAGACAAATCGACGCGAGTCGTCGACGTGTCTGGCCCAGAAATGAGACGACCGGCAGCGCGCGCTGCTGCTGCTGGCTGGGGGACGAATACAGTACTGCACACCCTTCGCGTCGCGTCGGCGTCGGCGGCGAGGCGAGAGCGCGGAGGCGACGGACGACGACGCGCACGACAAGGTTTCATATTTCAACACGAACGTCAACGCAACGCAACGCTGCCCGCGGGGCTAGGGTTTGGTTCCGGGTCCGCGCGCCCTCGCGCGCGGCCCCGGCGGCCCGCGGCCGATCCGAGACGGAGGAATCAGACGCCGGGTAAAGTCCTTAAGGAATTGCGTTCACCACGCCGACGCGGTCGTATGGGAACCAGTGCGACGGATCGATCGATCGATCGCGTCGTCAGCCAGCACATCACCAGTCGTCGTCGTCGTCGCTTCCGAACGCGTCGTCGGCGTTGCCCTTGGGCGCCTCCGCCGCGCCCGCGCCGCCGATCTTCATGTGCTTAAACTTCTCGTCCACGATGATGTTCACCCCCCCCACAGCCTCCGGCTCCTCCTCTCTCCCCTCTCGCCACGCCTTGGCAGCCTCGCGTTCCTTCGCGCGCGCCTCCTTCCCCGTCGCGAACGCGAACGCGTTGCCCGCCTCGAGCTCCGCGAGCGCGCGCTTCACCTGCGCGACGATGTACGAGTCGCGGTCGGTGTAAAAGCTCGTTGCGCGCCCCGTCATCCCCGCGCGTCCCGTTCTTCCCACGCGGTGGACGTAGTCTTCAAACATGCGCGGCATGTCGAGGTTCACGACGTGCGCGATGCCCTTGACGTCCAACCCGCGCGCGGCGACGTCCGTCGCGCACAGGACGGAGCACTTCCCGTTTTTGTAATCCGACAGCGCCGCCTCGCGCTCTTGCTGCGAGCGTCCGCCGTGGAACGCCGCCGCGGAGACGCCCTCCGCGTTGAGGAGTTCCATCACCTCGTCGGCGCGCGCTTTTCGCTCGACGAACACAACCGTCATCGGCAGCGAGCCGCCAAACTTTTCCGCCTCCGCCTTCTCCTCGAGGAGGAGCTCGCACAGGCGGTCCACCTTCTGCGCGTCCACGAGCTTCTCGAGGTGCTGCGCGACGTTCGCGGTCGGCACGGACACCGCGCCGACCTTCACCTTGACGGGTTTATTGAGGTAATCCGCCGCGAGCGACTCAGGGTCGTTCCATACAAAGCGATGGCGGGGTGGAGTTGAAAGGCGTCAGTTGAAGTTGAAAGGCGTCGAGGGCGGGGATTGAAAGCGATGGATGGGCGGAGAGAAACGCCGGGCAAAGTCCTTAAGAAACGGCGTTCACCACGCGAACGCGGTCGTATGGGAACCAGTGTATAGAACGCACCTCAACCTCCGCGGGCATCGTCGCCGAAAAGAGCAGCGTCTGATGCGGCGTCGGGAGGTTCTGCATCACCTCTCGAATCTGCGGCTCGAACCCCATGTCCAGCATGCGATCCGCCTCGTCCAGGATCACGAGCGAAACGCGCCCGAGGTTCGTGTTACCCTGATGCAGGTGGTCGATGAGGCGACCGGGCGTCGCGACGCACACCTCGACGCCCTGACGGAGGTCCGATCGCTGGTCCGACATGTTCGTGCCTCCGACGACGATGGTCGTCTTGAACCCCTTGCTGCTCCTGGAGAACACCTTCGCCTCCTTCTCGATCTGCTGCGCGAGCTCTCGGGTCGGGGCCATGACGATCGCGAACGGGCCGTCGCCGCGCTTGATCGGGTCCTGCTCGAGGCAGTGCTGAATCATCGGGATGCTAAACGCGGCGGTCTTGCCCGAGCCCGTCTCGGCGCAGCCGAGGACGTCGCGGCCGCTGAGGATGATCGGGATCGCCTGCGCTTGGATCGGCGTCGGCTTGTCGTACTCGTGGAAGCGGATGTCGAGGAGGATCTTCGCGTTCTGCGGCGCGCGCGTCGGGGAAGGAGGAAGAGGGAGGAGGAGAGAAGGGGACGGTCAGGTCGGGACCCGGCGGAAAAAGAAGAAGCGCGCGATGCGACGAGTCGGAGAAAAAAGAGAGCCCCATCTCGCGAGATCGGCGAGGTCGTCGTCGTCGTCGTCGCGCGCGACGCGTCTCCTCTTCGCGCGACGCACCAGCATCATGTCTTCGAACGACTCCACCGGCGGCGCGGCCTCGTCGCCTTCCTTGCACTCCACGGTCACGTCCATGCGTCGTCGAATCTCCTCGATCTGATTCACCGTCAGCGCCTGCACGCGCTCGCTCGGCTTCCACTTCGGAAAGATCGCGGGAGGGTATCGCCCGCGCGACGCCGCCGCGGAGAGGTCGACCTCGCTGCCGCGTCGCGAGTCGGACCTTCTGTCGTCGTATCTGTCGCCGCCTCCCCGTCTGTCGTCGCCGTATCTGTCTCCGCCGCGCCGGTCGTCGTACCTCGAGCCGCCGCCGTCCCTTCGGTCGTCGCGACCGTACGAGCCGCCGCCATCGCGATCGCGCGAATCCCAGGACCCGCCGCGGCCGCCGCCGCGGCCGCCGTCGCTGTCGCTTCCGCTGCCGGGGTCCCCGGAGCCGCCGCGCAGGTGAGGTGGTAAGTATGGCATGTCGCGTTCGTTCGTCCTACCCTCCGCGCGCGTCGAGTTGTCGCGACGAGAGGCCCCTGTTGGCGCTCGTGCTGGGTTTCCGAGGCGACGCGACGAGGGGAGTGTCGCGGTCGGTCGGTAAATAATAATTCCTTCTGTTCGCTCAACTTTCTGTTTCAAGGCGAGGAGGCATCCACCCTCTCACACCGAACTATCACTCTACGCGCGCGCTCCCACCCCAACTCCTCCTCCTCCTCCTCCTCCTCCTCCTCCTCCTCCTCCTTCCTTTTTAATCCGACGACGACCTGAACAACTTGCTCGGCAGCCACATGATCAGCGCGAACAGAATCTTGAACGGCACCGCGATCACCGCGAAGAGCTTCTCGAGGAACGAGCTCTCCCTCGGGCCGTCGTCCTTCTTTTTCTCCGCCGCCGCCGCCGCCGCCGCCGCGTCCGCGGGCGCGGTCTTCACGACGTCCGCCTCGGACATCGTCACGCCGTCCGCGCCGGGGCCGTCCGCGTAGAACGCGTTCACGGCGTCGCGCGTCAGCGTCGCCGCGTCCGCAGCCTTTTCCGAGATGGGCTCGTCGGTTTTCGACTCGAGCAGCTCCGCCGCGCGCTTCTTCATCTCGCGCAGCTTCTCCTCCGTCTCCTCGTTCGCGGCGACCGCGGCTTCCTCGGCAGCCTCGGACTCCTCCAGCGACGCCTGCGTGGACGGCACCGTCGCCGTCGCCTCCGCCGCCGCCGCCGCCGCCGCCGCCGCCTTCGGCTTAGGCTTTTGCTTCGGCATCGGCGCCGCCTTCGCCTTGCCGCCCGCCGGCTCCAGCCCCGCGGGCGTGTCCCCGACCGCGCCGAAGACAACCTGCGTCAGCTTCACGATCGCGAGCGCGGCGGCGGCGCCGACGATCGCGAACGCCGGGTCCCGCGCCGTCGCCGGGAACGTCTGCACCGCGTTTAGCAACGCCGCGGCGACGAGCACGCCGCCGCCGACCGCGCCGAGGTCCGCGCCGACGTTCGAGCCGGCGGTCTTTTTCGGCGGCGGCTTGGGCGCGGGCGTCGCCGCGGGCGGGGCCGTGCGCGAGGACTTGGCCTTCTTCGCTTCCTCGACGGCTTCCGCTTTCGTCATGCCCAGCGGCTTGTTAGACGCCGCCGGCGCCGGGGCCGGGGCCGGAGCCGGCTTCGCCGCGATCGGCGTCGGCGTCGGCGTCGGCGCGGGCGCGGGCGCGGCCGCCTTCTTCGACGCGGCGGCGCTCGGGTTGATCGTGGACGCGGACGGCAACCCGAGCGCGGGCATCCCGCTCGCTTCCTTCGCCGCCTCGCTCCGCGCCGCGCGCTTCACGATCGTGCTCTCGCTGACGACCTCGCCGCCCGCGATCTGCCTCTCGAGCGCGGCCGCCTCCGCGAGGACGTCCACGGACTTCGCTCTCAGGGCTTCGAGGTCCGCGGCGAGGTTCTCGTCCTGCTTCACCGAGCGCGGGACGATCGTCGTCGCGTCGCGGCGGGACGTCGCGGTGCGCGCGGGAGACGTCATCGTCGGTCTCGCGAGACGCGTCGTCGCGCGCGCGACGCGCGCGACGACGCGCGGCGCGCGAGCGGATGCGGCCGCGGCCGCGGGGACGCGGATCGGCGTGGACGCCATCGTGAGCGCCATCGCGCGTGCGTGAGGTGTCGGCGTCAGAGCGCGAGTGCAGTCTGACGCGCGCGCGAAGGCGCCGTATTTTGGAACGTCGCGCCAAACGAAAGGCGAGCCACAAAATGCCGCCGGAGATCTCGTCGTATGCGTCGTAGTGAGGGATACAGTACGCGCGTATCGTAGTACGATGAGGCGTCGGGCTTCTCGCTTCCAGTTCACGTTATTGTCGTGACAAAATCGAAACGCTCACTGAGCTTCTACGGCTACTCCTTCGCGCGCTTCTTCGCGCGCTTCTTCGCGAGGCATCGCCGGCGTCGCGCCTCCCTTCTCCTCCTTCTTCTTCTTCTTCTTCTTCTTCTTCTTCTTCTTCTTCTCGCCCTTCACAGCCCTCGCCCATCGCGGCGCGACGTGACACGCGACGCCGACGACGAACCCGAACGCCCCCCACGCGATCGCCTTCGCGATCCGTTCCCGCGTCGTCCGCGCGCGCCCCTTCCCCGCGGGCGCGAACGCCTCGTCCACCGCGAACGTCCGCTCCGTGGCGTTCTTCGGCTTGTTCACGTAGTAAATCACCGAATACCGCGTCCCCTCGGTCGCGTCGAACCCGCGGACCCAGTGCGCGAACCGGCCGTCGACGCGTCCGATCTTATCCCGCGTGTCCACGACCCACCGCGTGTCGCCGTCCTCGCTCTCGACGACGAGCTCGCCGCCCTTCCCTCTCCAGTCCCCGAGCGATATCGCGTACTGATGCGACGCGTCCTCGCGGTCGACGTGCGGCGACCCGACGAAGTTACGCGTGATCGCCATGTGATCGCACGGGTACTCCGGGTCCGCCCATCGAAGCACCGCGAGCGCGGCTCTTTTCAAATCGCGAAACGGATCCACGACGTCGTTCGTCGCGCGCGCTCGCTCCGCGGTCTCTTCCCCGTCCCTCGGTTCCCCTCGCACGTCCGCGGCGACGACGAGGTACCGCTCGGAGTTCACCTTCGGTCGGTGCGACACCGGCGGCCACCGCGCGCGCACGAGCTCCCTCAAGAGGTCGGCGCGAAGGGACGAAGGGACGGACGCGCCTCTCGAGCGTCTCTCTTCAAACGCGAAGGCGGCGGCGGCGGCGTTCTTCTTCTTCTTCTTCTTCTTCTTCATCATCATCGCGTCGGCGTCCTTCGCGGCCGCCCTCAGCGCGTGCGGCGTCATCCCCGCGCGTTTCGCTCTTCGTTCGATGACGCTCGACGGCCAAGCGTTCAGAACGCGATCGAGCGGCGGGTCCTCCCCCGGCGCGAGCGGCGGCGGCGCGGCGGAAACGGCGTCGGCGTCGGCGTCGTCGCTCGTCGTCTCGAACAACGCGGTGTCGTCCAGCGCGGACGAAGACGGTTCGACCGCCGCCGTGGACCGCGACGCTTTCAGACGCACGCCCTCCGCGGGGACCGCGCCCTCGATGTGCGCCATCGCCGCGAGCGCTTCGGTCTCGTCGCGAAACTGTGCGAAGCCGTATCCGACCCATCCGCCGTTTTTTTTATCCCTCCACCCTTTCCTCACGACGCGTCGAACCACCGGCTGCGCGATGCCGCTGCTGCCGGGGAGCGACGACCAGATGAACTGCTTCAGGTGCTTCGCGGTGGCGTACGCCGCGGGAAGGCCGCCGATCCAGAGCTCGTTCGGGGCCGCGGGCGGGCGCGTCGCGCCGCGAGGCGCGCGCGGGTCCCGGGCGGCGGCGGCGACTTTCTTCGACTTTTTTTTCGACGCCGCCGCGGGCTTTGGCGGCGGCGGGGTAAACCGCGGGACCGCGTCGCCGCCGCGCTCGATGATCTCCGCCGCGGACGCGAGCCCGCCTTTGGACTCGCACCACGCGCCGCACTCGCACGCGAGCGATCGGAGGTGACGGAACAGCTTGTTCCGAGACGCGAAGACGCCGCCGCAGAGCCGGCACGCGAGGTCGCTCGCGTTCGCCGGCGCCGGCGCCTCGCCTCTCGCGTCGTCGCCGTCGTCGTCCTCGTCCACGACGTCGTCGAGGTCGTCCCCGTCGTCCTCATCGTCGTCGTCGTCGTCGTCCCCGCCGCCCTCGTCGCGCAGCCCGAGCTCGTCCGCGAGAGTACCGCTCCCCCTCCGGTCGGTCGCGCCGTCCTTCTCCCCGCCGTCGTCCCGCGCGTCCTCGACGTTCAACACGACGAACCGCGCCGTCGGACGGTACGGACACGCGGGGAAATCCTCCCCGGGGCCGATCCACTCCACCGGCGTGAGCTTCCGACCGCACAGCGCGCTCGCTTCGTCGATCATCTCGACGAACCGCGCGTCCGTGACGGTCAGCGCGTTGATCCCCGCGATCAACGTCGCGTCCGTGTCGGTCAACGCGCCCGCGCACATCGCGAGTAATTTTCCGGTGTGAAGCTCCGCCTCGAACGCCCAGTCCGACTTGCGGCTGAACCGCGGCGGCGGGTCCACGACGACGAGGTCGTACTTCTTCTCGCGCGCGACGTCTTTCGCCGCGAAGCGCTTCGTCAAGAACCGAATCACGTCCGCGCGGCGAAACACGCGCGGGTCCGCGGGGTCGACCTCGACGCCGTTGAGCGCATAATTTTTCCGCGCCGCGCGCAGACACGGCAGCTTGCTGTCGACGTTGTGCGTCCACAGCGCGCCGCCCACGGCGGCGGCGACGCCGAACCCGCCGGTGTAGCTGAACAAGTTCAACACCTTCTTGAACTTGGACATCGCGCGCACGCGCTCGCGCGCGGGGCGCGAGTCCAGGAACACGCCGTAGTGTTCCTCCCCCGTAAGCCAAACCTCAAAGGCGGCTCCGCGCGTCCCGGGCTCTTTGACCACGACGCGGTTCGCGTGAGTGCTCTCGTCGTCGTCGCCGCCGTCGTCGTCGGGCGTCGGCAGCGCGCCTCCGGAGACCTGGACGCCGCCGCGCGCCGCCGGGTCCGAGCTCCATCGCCGCTTCAAAAACACCGGGACGTCCGCGCCGAAGCGCTCGGCGACGGCGCGCGTCATCGGCTCCGCGGGCGCCCACCGCCGATGCTGCTCGACGAGAATCGCGCGCCCCAACACGTCCACGGTGATCCCGTCCACGCCGTCGCCGGTGCCGTGGATCAGCCGAAACGCGAGCGGCGGCGATTTCATGCGCATCGCCGCGAGGACGCCGCGCGCGCAGAGCGACGGGTCCGGGTACGGGTCTCGCACGTACGGCACGAGGTGGGGCGTCGACGCTCGCTTCGTCAGCGCCGCGTCCAGAAGCGTCAGCGCCGCGTCGCGCGCGAGCGGCGCGATGGCGGCGGTCGCCGCCGGCGCGCTGGTGGGTTTGCCGTCGACGGCGACGCCGTGCGACGTCTTCGCCGCTTTCGGGGCTTGGCGTTTGGCGCCGTCGCGCCACTCCGCGTTTTGGTTTTGGTTTTGGTTTTGGTTTTGGCCTCCGTCGCCGCCGGCGCCGGCGCCGGCGCCGGCGTTCCTCGTCTCCTCCCTCGGTCGCGTCTTCGCCTGGACCGATCGCTTCGGCTTCAACGGCACGATGTTCTTCGCGCGGCGCTCGCACAGCTCCCTCGGGAGGATCGATATCCCGCACGCGACGACGTTCGGCGCGAGAAGGTTCACGCGCTTCGGACCGCGAAAACCTTCTTCTCCTCCTCCTCCGCCGCCGTCTGTCGCCGCCGGGACGCGCCACTGCGACACGAACACGGTCACGTCCGGGTCGTGCAGCTCCGCGACGACCGGCGGGAGCTTCGCTTCCGCGCGCGCGGCGTTCAGCCCGCGCAGCGCGGCGTCCAACACGACCCCGCGCGGCGTCGGCGCCGGCCCGTTCTCGCCCGCGGCGACGCTGTCGTCGCCTCGCGTGTGCACGCTGATGGCGACGCGCGCGACGTCGCGCGTCAGCGCGGTGTCGAACAGGTCCTCGCCGCGCATGATCGCGCTCGCCTCCGCGCGGACGCACGCCTCGATCGCGTCCTCCGCGGGGTCGCACCGGCGCGATATCGGGAACACCAGCTGCGCGTGTCGCATCGGCGTCGGCGGCGGCGGCGGCGGCGGCGGCGGGGAAACGTCGTCGTCGGATCCGCGACGCGTCGCGACGCCGTTGAGCGCGGCGAACATCGACACCGGGGAAGACGACGGCGGGATCGAGGGCCCGAGGCGCAGCCACGCGACGCCGCGGTGCGCGACGTCGCCGCGAGGGAGGAGACGCGCGTGGCGCGGCGCCGACGTCGCCGCCGCCGCGTCGTCCCCGGTCGACGAGGGTTCCGTCGTCGCGACGGTGCCGTCTTCATCGTTCGACGACGACGTCGACGACGACGACGACGACACGAGCGTCTCGATCGCGCGTTGGACCTCGACCGCGGCCTTCTCCTCTCCGCCGAACGCGCTCACGACGAGGAACCCGCGCTCGTCGTCGCGCGTCATCGCGCCGCCGTCGCGTGAAGAGCGCGCGGCCCCACTGCGCGACGCGCGCGCGTTCAAATTCTGTCATCGCGATACTGTATCGCCCGACGAACACGTGGCGGTTCGGGTTGTCGGCATGACATCGCGAGGCGCGCGACGGGGCCCTCCCCGCCCGCGCGCCTCCCCCTCTCCCCTCGCGCCAGGGCGCGCCGCCACAGCATGGGCTGCTGCACGTGCGGCGACGACCCGTACGCGCGCAGCGAGCGGCGGTTCAAGGACCACATGTCCGCGGAGGAGGTGAGCGTCCTCGAGCAGATGGACGACTTCGCGCCGCTCGCGAAGCTCCGACGGCTGTTTCACACGGTGGACGACGACGGGCACGGGTCGATACACGCGGAAGACGCCGCGGTCGCGCTGCGCCTGAGGGACGACGCGTGGGGGCGCGCGATGCGCGACTTCCTCGAGCCCGACCGCGAGGGCGCGCGGCTGAACCTAGGCGACTTCATCGTCGCCGTCGCGCGGTTCAAGCACCCGAGCCTGTGCGACGGACGGACGCAGTTCGCGTTCGCGCTGCTCGACATGGGCGCGGGGTTCGTCACCGCGAAGCGACTCGCGGAGACGATCAGGGCGCACGCGAAGAAGAAGTACGGCGGCAGGGAGGGCACGCATCTCAGCGCCAAGGCTGGGATGGAGGCGCTGCGGAGGTTCGAGGAGGACGTGGCGAACTGCGAGGAGTTGGGCATGCGAGAGTTTTACTACGACGACTTCGAGGCGATCTTCTTGAAGCACAACGAGCTCTTCTCGGACGCGGTGTGGTGCTGGGAGAAGTGCGTCGAGCCGTGCGCGATCGCCGCGCGCGCGGTGTGCGAGAAGATGCGCGCGCGAGGACTGAGGGAGTGGAACCTGGACTACAACAACTTCACCCGCGTCATGGCGCGGCGGCGGCGCAGAAACGGCGTCCAGAAGGGCGCGTTTCAGACGATCGGTTCTCAGGCGCGGCGGCCGGACGTTCGCGCGGGCGCGCCCGGCGCGCCCGGCGCGCCGACGTCGAGCCCGCTCCCGGGCGCCTTGAACGCCGACGCCAACGCCGACGACGCGAAGAGGACGGGGACGGAGAGAGAAAATCTCGTCGCGAGCGTCCTCTTCGGCGCCGACGCGCAGGCGCTCGTCGTCGCCAACCGCCGCCGCGAGAAGGAAGCCGCGGCGAGGAAGGAGAGCAGCGTGTCGGACGACACGCTGGCGCACGTGAGTCGGTACCGGGAGGAGAAGGTGCGCGAGGCGAGGGAGCGGCGCGAGGCGCGGGGGGCGTCGGGGGTGATGGGGAGGGCGAGAGAGGCGTGGGCGCTGGTCACGAAGACGACGAAGAAACTGTTGAAGATGCGCCCTCCGAAGGACGAGAAGACGGACGAGGACGTCGACGGGTGGGTGAACGAGACGGTGCGCGAGAGTGGTCGTCATAGTAAACGGTTAGGTGGCGGGCGTTACGACGCGCCCGACCACGGCGGCGGCGGCGGCGGCGACGACGACGAGTGGATCGGAAGAGGCGAGCGGCGGCGGGCGAAAAAAACCGGCGGGCTGGCGTCGTTCGGCAAGAGCGTCAAAAAGTTGTTCGCGGGGGGGAGGAGCAAAAAGAAACTCGCCGCGGAAGCCGCGGAAGAGAGGGACTGGGACCACGTCCCGGTGCGAAGAGGTCGAGGGAATCGCCCGCGCGGTCGCGCGTCGCACCAGTAGCGCAGGACGACGAGACGCCGCCGTGAATCAAATCAATAAGCTCAGCTACGAGAACGCGTAGCGATCGTCCACCATCGCTTTGTACGCCTCAAGATCCGTGTTCACGCCGTAGTGCATCGTGTTGTGAAACCCCTGGAGCACCGGCCCGAACGCGATCGACTCGTGCCACCGCGCCGGGGGCCGGTCGTCGAACAGACATCGGTTCGCGCGAAGGAGTCGGTAGTACCACCCCACCTCGAAGTCGTCCACGCCCGCGGCGTCGCTGATCACCGCCGACACGTTGTCGCCGTGTTTCATGCTCCGCTGCCACCGCCGCACGTACGTCTCCTCGCTCTCCGGCACGTGCACCGTGGGTTTCCCCAGATTCGCGTGCAAGAACATCGGGGATCCGTCCGGGGCGTGCTGCAGCATCGAATTCCCCAGAACCTCCGCGTGCATGTGGTCGCGTATGCCGACGCTATCCGGACCGTGCGAGACTAAACCGTACGGCGTCCCGAGGTGCAGGAACGCCATCGCGAAGAGCTCCTTGTCGCCTATGCCCATGTAGTTCACGGTGAGGCCGTAGAAGAACCCGGAGTTGGCGTTCATGAACATGGAAACCATCAGCGCGCGCCAGGTTTTGCTCTTCTTCATCACCACCTGCGCGCTCTCGTGCGTGTGTTTCACGTCCGTCTCGTTCCCGAGGACGACCTGGCAGTCCGGCGCGCTGCTCCCGCGCCAGAAGTCCTTCCACAGCAGCGACCCGGTGCTTCGATAGAGCTTCGACTCGAAGAGCGCGCTCGGATCCGCGAGGACGATGTTATCCGAGTCTAAGAGTAACACCTCTTCGAACTCTGAAAACGTCAACGCGACCATCTTGTACATGAATCGATTCGTCATCACCCCGCCCCCGACGCCCGCGTCTTTAAACGCCGCGAACGAGACCACGTCGACGCGGAGCTCCGCGAGCGCGGCGACGCGCTCGCACGACGGCATCTCCCCCTCCGGGAACCACAGCTGAATCGGGAGCGCGCACCCGGTTCTGCGAATCGCGTGCGCGGCGACGAAATACGACGTCTGAAGCCGCCGCGAATTCCCTCCGACGACGACGATCCCGCGGCCTTTAAACGTCGTCGCGGGGTAACTCGGCGCGGCGCGTTTAAACGCCTCTAACCGCCGCTTCACGCGCGTCACGTCTCGAGCGCTCAGTCGTTCGCCTCGGACGACGAAGTCCCGCGTCGGGTCGCGCCGCGGCTTCTTCGCGGGTCCCGGGAGTTTGACCCCGAGCGGCGGCCCCCTCGCGTCCGCGAACGACGCCGCGAACGCGACGACCGATCTCGACGGCCGCTTCACGTTGGGATGATAGCTTCTCCCGTCGCGACCTCTGGGCCCCGAAATCTCGCACGACGTCCGCTTCTTCCGCGCGCACCTCGGCGGCTTCGTCCCCCGGACCGGGCGTCGCGCGCACTCGACGCCGCACGCCACCGGCTTGGAGCCGCATCCTTTAGCGCCCGCGATCGTGGTCCCTCTCGCGTCGTCCGCGCACGGGCAGTACCCCGCGCGCATGCCGCTCAGCCGCTTCGTGCGCGTTGGCGGCGACGCGACGACGACGCGCTCGTGCTTCGGCGCGAAGAACGGATGGCAGTGCTTCGCTTCCACGAACCCGCGCGCGTTCCCCGCGTCGGCGGAGTAGAGATCGAAGACGTCGTAGAGCGGTGGAGGTCGCAGACCGAAGAGGAGGAGCGTCGCGAAGCCGCAGCACGCGAGCGCGGCCGCGCGGAGGAGACGACGCGCGGAGGACGACGACCGCGCCGCGCGGCCGCGCCGCGCGAAGACGGAGCTCGCGGAGCTCGCGCCGGGCGACGCGACGCGGAGATCTCGCTCGGGGCGAGGCATGGCGAGATCCCGGCGTCCGCGCGCGCGACGACGACGACGACGACGACGACGACGACGCGCGCGCGCGCGCCGGCGGTGCGATCTCGAGCGCGCGACCTGCCGCGTGCGATCCTCGCGCGCGGGGGCGGTGTGGACCGCATCCGACGCGCCGGCTCGGCGCGGGCGCCGAGGCGTCTCTGACGGTATCTCCGAGGCGTTTCTGACGGTATTTCTTCTCGAACGCGACGAGCGACGAGGCGTTTCAGATGATCACGCACGGTCTGGTATCGACCGAATCCACATCTGGACGACCCGCGCCAGGCGGCTCCGCTGGCGCGAGTCCTCCTTCGACCGGCGGCGACGCCTCCGGACGGCACTAGAAGCCTCGATATGTATTAAATAGAAGATAGACGACGCGATAGTCCGTCGCAGTCTACGAGCGAGCGGGTCGGGTCGGTCGAGGTCGTCATCCGTCACGTCAACATCAGCGCACCCACCGCGGCCCCACCGCGAGCCCGTCGCTCGGCTCCTCCCCCAACTCGCCCGCCGCGTTCTGGTCGATGTCAAGTAGCGTGCTGTCCGGGCTCGCGCCGACGGCGAGGAACTCCTCCGCGCCGCCAACCCCCAGCACCGCGACGAGCGCGGCGAGGCACTTGCTCGCGTGCGCCTCCGCCTCCGCGCGCGGGTTGTGCCCGCGCCGCCGCGTTCCGTCGTCGTCGTCGCCGCACGATTTCAACGTCGCCTTGTACGCGCGTCCCGCGGCGCGACGAAGGCGCGCCGGCCGATCGTCGCGTCGCAGCAACGCCGCGATCCGCTGCCCGTTGTGCACGAGCGCGAGCAGCGCGTCCGCGGCGGCCGCGCGCGCGCCCGGGTCCGCGGCGCCCGCGGCGGCGACGAGCGCGTCGATCGCGCGAGGGTTGGACGACACGTGCGCCTTGGCCTCGGAGTGAAAGCACACGTTCCGAAGCAACAGCAGCGACTCGAGCGCCGCGATTGGGAGCTGCGGCTGGAACACCGTGTTCATCTCGTGCGAGGATAACCCGGTGAGAATGACGTCGATGTCGTCCTCCTCGTCGCCGTCGGGTCCGCCGCCGCCGCTGACGCCCGCGGCGGCGAGCACCTCGAGCAGGAGCTGGACGAGCGACGAGCCGCCCTCTCTCAGGACGGCTTGCCTGCCTTCGTCGCCGCCGCCGCCGGCGACGTCCGCCAAGGCGCGAAGCAGCGCGACTTGCCTCTGCGCGTCGCGCTTCCCGACCGCCGTCTTGAACGCGTCGCATACTTTGTTAAGGAACGGCGAGCGAAGCAGCCACCGGCGGCTCGTCGCGTCGCCGGCGAGCGACGCGAGCGGCGCGAGCGCCAGCCGCGTCGTCGCCGCGGGCGACGTGTTTCGAAACGCCAGCCGCAGCATCCGATCGGCGAGGCACGCGGGCTTCTGCCCGTCGTTCCCGTCGTACTCCTCCACGGCCGCGCGCTTCGCCTCGCCGCACCCGGCGAACACGTTCGCGGCGAGGCCCATGAGCTCGTGCGACAGCGGCGGATCCGCGGCGGCGTGCCGCCACAGTTGGTGCACCATCTCCAGCGCGCCGCGCGCCATGGCGTCGACGCGCGCCGACGCGGCGGCGGCGCCGAGCGCCTCCGGCGTCTCCGACGCGCCCGTCTTGTCCACCAGAATCTGCCAGCCCTCGCCGCCGGAGGCTTCGACGACGGCCGCGTGCGCCGCCGCCGCGGTGGGCGGGCAAAACAACAGGTGCTTCAAAAGGCTCGCGCACTCGATCAGAACCAGATCCGCGGGCATCGCGAGCGGTTTCGGCGCCGCGGGCGTCGACTTTGAGGAGTCCACGCTCGACCGCGCGAGCGTCGTCTCGTACGCGACCACCCTCTGCGCGCGCGCGATCGTCTTGAGCAGCACCCTGGCGAGATCGAGCGACGCCGCCGCGCGCTTCGAAGACGCGCTGTACGCGAGCACGTTGCGCAACGCGGCGGCGACGGCGCCGTGCGGCGCCGCCGCCGCCGGCGCGCCCGGCGCCGCCCACTCGCCCACGCCGACAGCCTGCGCGTGCCACAGACGCGCGAGCGACGCGGTGAGCCTCGCGCCGACGCCACCCTCCGCCGCGGTGACGCCGCCGCCGGCGACGACGCCCTCCGAGTTGATCACCACGGCGGCCGCCGCCGCCGGGGAGCGGAACAACGTCGCGAGGAGTTCGCACGCGGCGGCGGCGGCGTCCGCGAGCCCGGCGCCCGCGCCGCCGGGCGCCATCGCGCTCGGTCCCCTCCCGCCGCCGGCAGCGAGGTCGACGATCAGCGCGCACGCGAGCGGCGCGGCGCCGAGGACGCTCCACGCGCGCGACGCCGCGCCGTCGTCGCCGCCCGGGTCGGGCCCCGCGGCGAGCGTCGACGCGAGGCCGCTCGCGGCGCGGCTAAACGCTCGGACGATCGCCGCGCGCCTCGGCGCGTCGTGCTTGGACGGCGCGCCGCCCGAGCCGGGCGGCGGCGTACTCGTCAGCGCCTCCGCCGCCGCGAACAGCGCGCTCGCGGTGGACGGCACGACGGACGTGTCGCACGCGAGCCGCCGCGCGTCGAAGCACCACGCGGCGGCGGCGACTGAGGGTCGTTCCATACGAGCGAACGTCGGGGTGGAGTTGAAAGGCGTCAGTTGGCGTTGAAAGGCGTCGCGGGCGGGGATTGAAAGCGGGCGGTGGACGGAGAGATGCGCCGGGCAAAGTCCTTAAGGATCGGCGTTCACCACGCCGACGCGGTCGTATGGGGACCAGTGTCTAGAACGCACCTGACGCGCGGTCCTCGTCTCGCACCGCGTCCGACTCCGGGTCCATGTCCGCGAGGTCCGCGGCGGCGATCGCGCCCGCGAGCGCCGCGGATGACGCGCTCGCGGCCGCCGCGTCGGACTCGAGCGATGACGGCGGGTCCGCCCAGCTCAGCGCCTCCGCGGGGGACGCGATTAAAGCGTCGGCCCACGGCGCCGGGTGCATCGCCGCCGTCGTCGCGCTCCACGCGGGGGGCCAATCGTCGCCGCCAAAGCTCGACGGCGGCGCGTCCTCCTCCCTGGGCGCGAGCGCGACGGCGACGACGGCCGGCGCGACGCGGGTCGCGGCGAGTAAAGCCGCGGCGGCGCCGCGGCGAAGGCACGCGCGCTCGGCGGCGTTCGTCACCACGGGTTGCGAATTCGCGGCGGCGCCCTCCGCGGCGACGATCCCCAGCCCCTGCCCCGCGCACGCGATCATGACTTCCGCGAGGCCGCGCCAAACGTCCCTATCCGCGAGCAACGGCGCGACGTCGAGGATCGTGTCCAGCGCGGCGTCGTCCCCACTCGCGCGGACGACCGCGGCGGTGGACACGGCGGCGGCGAGAAGTTGACACGCCGCCGCGCGCACGGCGGCGCACTCCGAGACGTCGAGCGCGACTCTCGCGGCGTGCCTGGGGGACTCCGGGAACCCGTGCAGGAGCATCGCGGACGTCGCCCTCGCGGTCGGCGACGCCGCGCACGCCATGAGCCGCCACGCCGCGGCGCGTCGCCTCGCGCGGCGATCCCTGGAGAGCCGCGTGAGCCAAAACGTCGACCCCTGGCTCGACCACGCGCGGCTCCACGCCTTGCCCGGCGCGGCGGCGCAAATAGCCGCCAGCGCCGCCATCCCCGCGTCGCATAGCGCGCCGCCGCTCGCGGCGCCGTCCTCCGCGTGCGGCTTGTAGGTCTTTGACCCCTTCTTGGCAAACGCCTTGGCGCCGTCGACGACGTGCGCGTCGCCCGTCTCGCTCGACGGCGCCTCCCGCCCCAACTTGGGCCCGCAGCAGTGCGTCAGCAGCGGCTCCACGGCGAGAATCGCGAGATCCGTCGCCGCCGCGTGCGCGTCGCCGAACGCGACGACGCCGTCGCCGTGCAGGCGGTTCGGCGACTTGCCGCTCACCGACGCGAGCGACGCCGCGGACGCGATGGCGACGACGCACTTGCACGCGGCGACGCGCGCGCCGTACTCCGTGGTGGGATCCGCGATGAGCTTCCCGACGACGGCGTCGACGAGGTCGGCGTCGCACAGCATCGTCCCCGCGCACTCGGCGGCGCGCGCGCAGCCCCCCTCCGCGGCAGCCCCTCCCGCGCTGTACGCGGCGGACGACGCCGCGGCGACCGTCGCGTCGAGGACCGCGGCGGCGAGCGTCGCGGCGGCGGTCGCCGCCGCCGCGGACGCGGCGGCGGCTTCCCCGAGATCCGCCCCCGTCGCCGCGAAGTGCGCCACCGGGTGCCGCATCCCGGGCGGGTCGTGCTGGTGAAACCCGCCGGGTGCTTTCCTCCCGCCGCCGCCGGGGATGACCCTGTGGATCGCGGGCACGCACGCGTTCTTCACGCACTGCGCCAAGCCCTCCAGCGTCTCCGGCGACGGCGCCGTCGTCGCGTGTTGAAGCGCCTCCGCGAGCGTCGACGCGAGCGACGCCCATAACCTGGCATCCGCGGGCGACCGCGGCGGCGTGTGCAGCAGCCGCGCCGCGCGCGTCGGCCACGACGCCGTCGCGATCGCGTTCGCGCCGGGCGGGCCGAACGACAGCACGCCTCTGAGCGACGTCGCCGCGGACATCGCGGCGTCGTGCGAGTCCGCGATGGATAACCGCGCGAGCGACGTCATCGCGCTCGACGCGGGGGACGCCCACCTCAACGTCGCGTCCGCCACCTTGGCCGCCGCGCCGAGGCCTTCGCCCGCGCCGACGCCGTCCTCGTACATCATGCGTTCCAACGTCGCGAGAACGCCCGCGGCGCCGCCCATGCGTCTGACCTCGCGGCGTTGGTTGAGCATCGCACGGACGCGGGTCTCGTCTACGCGCGCGTCGCCGTCGGCGCCGCCATTAGCGCCGTTGGCGCTCGGAAGCGTCGCGACGGGGACGGGGAACCGCAGCTGCGCGAGCAGCTCCGCCGGGAGCGCGATGCGGTCCACCGCGCGCGGCTTGGAAGCGCGCGCGTACGCCTCCGCGTGGTCGCAGACCGGCGCGAAGACGACGTGCGCGGCGAAGACGGCGATCTTCTCGCGCACGCTCGGCCGAGGATGAAACGCGAGCGCGAGCAAACCCATCGCGCGGCCGTACGGCGCGCGCTCGGACGGATCCGCGTGCGCGCGATCGGACACGCCGTCCTCGCTCGCGATCGGCGCGGACTCGGCGAAGAAGGCGCGCGCGGCGGGCGAGTGCGTCGCCGCGGACGCGACGATCGCGAGCGCGGCGAATCCGACGTCGGCGTCGGCGCCTTCTCTCTGAAGGCCTGACGCGGCGAGTCGAGCCAGCGACGCCATCGTGGACGGCACCACGAGCGCGGGGTGCAACCGCGCGTCTTTCGCGCAGACGACGAGCTGCTCCCCCGCGCTGCACCGCACCGACGGGCCGAGTGTGTCGTTCGTCAGGACGCGCAGCAGGTCGTGCACGTCTTTGCTTCCGAACACGCTCGACGCCGCGCACGGGTCTCTATGTGCCTCCGGGGAGACGGAGTAGTCCTCCTTGACGTACGCACCCGCGGCGGTGGACGGGTCGCCGTGGCGGAGCATCGTCCCGAACGGGTCGAGCCACGCGCGATGCGCCTCCGTCAACCCCGCGCCGCGCTCCGGCGCGGGCGGGGGTTTCACGCCCATCGCGCGCGCGAAGCCGTCCGCGGCGGCGGCGCGGCGACGCGCCGATTTGTGGAACAACCCGCGGAGTAACGGTTCGAGGGGCGTCCAGCTCTCCGCGGGGGCGGNGCGCACCGCCGCCGCCGCCGCCGCGGACGCCGCGGGGCCGACGACGTCGTCGTCCAGGTCGCACTCGAGCCACGGCAGCCACGGCAGCAGCGCGTTCGCCGCCGCCGTCGCCGCCGACGGCGCGCCGCGGTGCGACTCCCCGCCCGAGCCGACGCCCGCGGCGATGACGTTCAGGCACTTCGCGGCGGCGACGCGCGTGTCCGCTCGCGACAGCCCGCCGGCGATGATCTCCCCGGTGACGATCGGGGAGACGAGCACCGCGCGCGCGGCTTCCGCGACGGCGGCGGCGTCGCCCGAGTTTTGAGTTCCGTCGAGCGCGATCTCCGCGGCGGCGGCAAGCGCGGCGTACGCGCCGCCCCGCGCGCGCTCGCTGTCGTGCCGCAACAAATCTCGCGTCGCGCATCGGCACATCTCCATGCCCTCGTGCAGCCACCGTCGGTCGGACTCGGACGCGCCGCCAGAGGACTGAGGGCCATTCCATACGAAGCGATGTCGAGGTGGAGTTGAAAGGCGTCAGTTGGAGTTGAAAGGCATCGAGGGCGGGGATTGAAAGGAAGGGGTGGGCGGAGAGACACGCCGGGAAAAGTCCTTAAGGATCGGCGTTCACCACGCCGACGCGGTCGTATGGGGACCAGTGTATAGAACGCGCCTGAAACGCCATCTTGGCGCTCGCGGCGGCGGTGAGCGCGGTGGCCACCAACCTCGCGCCGAGCGCCTCCGCCTCCTCCGGGTCGACGTAACACAGCGCGGGCATCGCCTCGAACGCGAGCCGCGCCGCGTCGTGCGGCGTCCTCGCCGCGGCGGCGGTGCCGTCGTCTCGCGCCGCCGTCGCGGACGCGGCGAGGCCGCTCTCCGCGGCTTCCGCGGCGGCGCACTCGAGCGACGGTTCGCCGACGCCGAGCGTCTGGAGCGCGGAGAGCGCGGCGCGGCGAAGCCCCGGGACCGCGGCGGCGAGGAGCTCGTCGATCGCGGCGGTCTCGAGGCGTTTCGTGAGGCGTTTCGGGACCCCACCGGCGTTGCCCCCGAGCAAGCCCGCGGCCTCCGATCCCGCGGCGGTGATCATGACCGCGACGAGCGCGAGCGCGGGGAAAAACGCCGGGCACTCGCCCGTGGGGAGCAGCTCGTCCTCGCCGTTGATGGACACTGATGCGGCGGCTCTGCCGAGCGCAGCCTCCATGGAGTTGGCGTACGCGGCGAGCCGCGCGGCGACGGAGGAAAACGTCCGCGGCGGGAGCGTTTTCCCACCCTCCCCGAGATCCACCCTGGTGAGCTCGAGCAGCGGGAGAAATTCTTCCAGCGCGAGCAACGCGTCCCCCGCGACATCCGGCGACGAGATGAGCGGAATCACCGACTGCGCGATCAGGTGCGCGGTCGGCAGCGTCGCCACCGGCGCCGCCTTCTCGCTCAGCGCGGCGACGATCTTCGCCTCCGCGTCCGCGTCGTCGCCCTTCCCGACGCGCTTCCCGTCGGCGTCCACCTCGACGCCGGCGGCTTGCGCGAGTCCCCCCGGCGGCGGCGGATACGACAGCGCCGCGCGCGACGTCACGTGAAACGCAGGGAACTCGTCGTCGTACCTCGGCGGGTGCGCGCGGTGCGCACCGTCCGCGGCGTGCCCGATCGCCGCCTTGATCGCCTTGGCGAATGTGCGCAGCGTCGCGAGAGCGGCGGTTCGAACCGCGCCCGCGGCGACGCCGCCCTTCTCGTCGATTGGAATCCCGTCGAACCCGCGCGCGAGGCCGACGACCGCCTCGACCGCGGTCGTCTTATCCTGCAGCAGCGCTTGGATCGGCAGGTCCGCGATGACCGCCTCGCGCATCTCCGTCAGCGCGGCGAGCAACGCGGGAGAGTCCGTCGCGTACGTCAGCTTGACGCCGAGTTCAAACACCCTGGCTTGGTCCGACGGCGCGATTAAAACGCGCTCGAGGAAGAGCTCGCCACCCTCCGCCGCGGGGTCGACGAACGTCGACGCCTCGAGACCGATTTCGCGGTCGATCAGCGCCTGAATCGCAGCCTTGCGGCGCGCGGAGTCTTGTGGGACGTCGTCGGCGGCGGCGCCGCGGTGCTCGCGCGCGATGCGCCAGTAGGACGCCGCCAGTCGCGGGTCGCGCAGAAACGCGTCGCGCGTCTCGTTCGTCAACGTCGGCGGCGCGTCGCGTTTGAAGTCCGTGGCGTAGGCGGAGCGCACGGACGCGCGCACGGACGCGGTCTCGGGGGCGTCGCCCGCGGCCGCGTCTTCGTCGTCGTCTTCGTCGTCTTCTTCTTCTTCTTCGTCCTCCTCGTCCGCCGCCGTCGTCGTCGCGGCGGCGGCGGCGGCGGCGGCGGCGTAGGACTTCGCCTTCTCTGTCGTATTCTCCGCGGCCGCCTTCAACGCGGCGTCCACGTCCGTGGATTCCATCGTCTTCATCAGCGCGTCGATCTCCGGTCGGACGTGCTTGCCGCTGTGGACGAGGAGACGCGCGGGGCGGGACGAGCGAGGTGAGTCGAGGAGATTTGAAACGAGGGAGCGACGAAACGAGGGATGGGATGAGAGCGAGGGACGAGCGAACGAACGAACGCGCCGCGCGCGCGCACCTGTTGTCCGCGAGCTCGGCGAAGAACCGCATCGCGCCGAGGCCGCGGAGCGTCTTCACCGCGATGGGTCGCTCCGCGATGATCCGCGAGAACATCGCGACGGTCTCCGCCTCGCGCATCCCGGTGTCCGCGAAGTTGAACATCTCGAGCATCGCGCGCAAGGTCGGCTCGTGCACGGCGACGTCGTCGAAGGACAGGAGCTCGTTCTCGAGCTTGAACTGCAGCGATTGCAGCGCGCGGACGCGGACGTCGAGGATATCGTGCCCGAGCTTCTGCGCGAGCTCGTTCAGGCCGAGCCTGATGCCCTCGGAGGCGGACGACGTCGCCATCGCGTCCGCGCGCGCGCGCGCGATTTGAGCCGTTTGTCGCCTTTTTCCCGGCTCCTCGTCGAGAACGACGACGGCGAGGCGGTCGACGTCGGACGCGCGGTGCGAACGCACGCCCGCGCCCGTCGTATCGCGCGTCGAAGCGCGACTACTGCGCGTCCTCTCGCTCGAGCGACGCGTGCGACGCGGTGTCCAGCGCGGTGGCGGCCGTCGGCGCGAGTGCGCGCGTCGGTCGGCGCCGGTCGTTGTCGCGGCGGCGGTCGTGGCTCGAATTCAAACTGTTTCGCGCTCGAGCCCACAACCTGACACCCTCGATTCGCTTTCAAATCTGCTCGCCAGTTTCGACGTAATCGGGACGAAACCTGCCTCCTATGAAATCCGCTTTCAAACGCGCGCGACCGTCGCGCTCGTCGTCGCCCCGGAAAGACGGCGGAACGCGAACGCGTCGTCGCGTCGTCACAAACACTTTTCGCCACGCGGAACGCCGCCGCGCGCGCGCGACCCCCGCAGCCTCTCCCCGCAGCAGCACCCGTCGCGCTCCCTCATCTCGCCGGTCGAGGCGTCCCGCACACGAGACCGCTCGCGATGCTCCTCCGCGAGTTGGCGCGCCGCGCCGGGGCGCGGCTGGGGCCCGCCGCGATCGGCGCCGGTGCCGTCGCGATCGGCGGTCCGATCGGCGTCGCCGCGTGCAAGGACAAGGACAAGGAGAAGACGGTCACGCCGTCGTTCGACCCGGAGGCGCTCGAGCGCGGCGCGAAGGCGCTGCGGGAGATCAACGCGTCCCCGCACGCGAAGAACGTGCGCTCTCACCCCGTGCGCGCGACCGATCGATCGACCGACCGCCCGACCGATCTCGGGATCGGCCGCCGCCGCGAATCGTCGGCGATCGGTCGTTCCGATCGATCCGTTCGATCGTTCCGTCGTTCGATCGTTCCTCCCCTCCGCGCTCCCTCCTTCCATCGACGCGCGCTCGCTCGAACCCTACCCCTAACCCTAAACCCCTACCCCCCGAACCCACCCCCAACCGACCCCGCAGGTGATCGAGCTCGCGCGCACGCAAGAGACGACGAAGGCGGCGGAGGCAAACGCCAAGGCGGCGGAGATGCAAGCGGCGGCGGCGCAACACGCGACCAACACCGAGAAGGTGCGATGGGAGGAGCAGCGCAAGACGGATCAAGCGCGCGCGCAGCAGCAGGGGCAGATCAAAGAGTACGAGGACGAGCTCGCGCGGAAGAGGTACCAGCACGAGCACGAGAGCACGCGGAAGCGAAACGCGGAGATGGTGAAGATGCAAGAGGAGGCGTCGCATCGTCAGGTGCGTTCTATACACTGGTTCCCATACGACCCCGATGGCGTGGTGAACGCCGATCCTTAAGGACGTTTGCCGTCGTTTCTCTCCGCCCACCCCTCGCTTTCAATCCCGACACACCTCGACGCCTTTCAACTCCAACTGACGCCTTTGAACTCCACCCCGACGTTCGCTCGTATGGAATGGCCCTCAGGAAAACGTGAGACGCGCGACGGAGGAACAGATTCAGCAGTCGCGAAGAGAGACGGACCGTCAGAAGGCGGAGCACGAGCGCGAGCTCATCCGCGCGAAGAGCATCGCGGAAGCGGAGGGGAGAATCGCGGAGAACCGCGCGAACGAGGACGTCATCCGGAGGCAGATGCTCGCGAAGATCGAGGCGGAGACGAACAAGGCGATGACGTTGCTCAAGGAGACGCTGCGGGCGGCGGGCGACGGCGTGAACGCGCTGCTCGCGGATCAGACCAAGGGCGCGGCGCTCGTCGGCGGGCTCACCGCGCTCGCGGCGGGGGTGTACGGCGCGAGGGAAGGGTCGAGGATGGGCTTTCGGATGCTCGAGCGGTATTTGGGTCAGCCGAGCCTCGTGCGAGAGACGAGTCGAAACGTCTGGGGGTTCCGTCCGTCCGCGGTTTCGGCGACGCCGGCGGCGGCGCCGAAACCGGCTCTGGGTCCCGACGGCAAGCCGACCGCCGCGTCCGCGGTCTCCTCCGCGTTGTCTTCTTCTTCCAACGGCAACGGCGGCATCCTCGGCGAGGTCGTCCTCGAGCGCGGGCTCGAGGCGCGCGTGAGACACCTCGCGGTGTCGACGGCGAACACGCGAAAAAACAACGCGCCGTTCCGCAACGTCATGCTCTACGGCCCTCCCGGCACCGGGAAGACCATGGCCGCGAAGCGCCTCGCGCGGTACTCCGGCCTCGACTACGCGCTCATGACGGGCGGAGACGTCGCGCCTCTCGGCGCGGACGCGGTGACGCGCATCCACGAGCTCTTCGACTGGGCCGGGACGTCCAGACGCGGCTTGCTCTTGTTCATCGACGAAGCGGACGCGTTCCTCGCCAAACGCGGCGGCGGCGTCGCCGCGGCCGAGCACTCCACCGGCGTCCGCGCGGCGCTCAACGCGCTGCTGTATCGCACCGGCGAGCTCTCGCGCGACGTCGTGCTCGTGATCGCGACGAACCGACCGGAAGATCTCGACGCCGCCGTGCTGGATCGCATGGACGAAGCTCTAGAGTTTGGCCTGCCCGATCTCGACGCGCGGACGCGGCTGTGCCGGCTGTACTTCGACAAGCTCATCGCGCGCGGCGAGGACGCGGGGGACGACAAGCCCGCGCAGGGGTTCCTCGGCGCGCTGGGGATCGGGAAGGGCGGGAAGCGCGGCGGCGGGAAGATCGGGACGCCGATTCGGGTGGCGCCCGACGTCGACGACGCGTCGATCGTCACGGCGGCGAAAAAGGCGGAGGGATTCAGCGGGAGAGAGATCGCGAAGATGATGGCGTCCGTGCAGGGCGCGGTGTACGGCAGCGGCGACGCGGTGCTGACCGCGGAGACGTTCGAGGCGGTCGTCGCGTACAAGGTGAAGGAGCACGCGGGGCGCAAGGCTGGGTTCGCCGCGGGGGGCCCCGGGGCGAAGAAGCGATGATGATTTTTGAGAGAGAGGCGTTTAATAATTCGATCGAGTGTGCACTTCTTTGAACTTCACCCTGTGAGTCGAAACCTTGATCGACGGATTCCTTGATCGACCGCGACTCGGGTGAACGGCAGCGCGACACGTGAGCGTAATTTTTGCCACGGTGTAACGGCCAAAGATCTGACTACGACAGTAGTCGACGTCACGCGCGCCCACCCTCGCGCGCGTCCGCACGCGCGTCGCTTCCGCACCCCCCCGCGCCTCCGCGACGCCGCCGCGATGGCCGCCGTCGCGCCCGCTCGCGCGAGCGTCGCGCTCAAGGCGCCCAACGCGCTCGCGCGCCGAGATCGCGCCGCGGCGACGCGATCGTCCGACATCAAATCGTCCAAATCGTCGTCGTCGTCCTCGCGAACCGTCGTCGTCGCGCGCGCGGCGGGCGACCGCCGCTCGGCCAAGTCGATCGCGATCGAGCCGGAGGCCCCGTCGCGCCGCGACGTGCTCCTCGGCGGCGGCGTCCTCGCGACGATCCCGCTCCTCCTCTACGGATCGACCGATCACTCGCTGAACGCGGTGGAGGAGATCCCCGTCGCCGCCGCGCTCAGAGCGCAGACGGTGTACGCGGGATACTGCATCCCGATCATCGAGAAGTACGTCACCGCGTCCGTGGACGATCTCATCGCGCTCGCGATCCGCGACGCGGGGACGTTCGACGCGGCGACCGGGAAGGGCGGGCTGAACGGATCGATTCGTTTCGAGCTCGACCGTCCCGGGAACGAAAAGTTCGCGCCGGCGGTGAAGCAGCTCGAGAAGGCCAAGGCGGCGATTGACGCCGAGGTCGGCGAGCCCATCGGGTGGGCGGACCTCATCGCGCTCGCGCCCGCGGGGAAGGCGCGGTACGCGTTCCTCCGCGACTTTTGCGGCGCGACGCCGCGGTTCGACCCGCGTTGGCAGTACAAGGCGGGCGACATCAACATCGTCGGCTGCGACATGGACGCGATGCTCCGCGCGCCGTTCGGGTCGTCCGCGGAGCAGATCGAGGCGACGTCGTGGTTCCGGCAGAACTACGCGAGCACCGGGCCGCTGACCGGGTCGCGCGTGCACCTCGGCAGGGAGGACGCGATCGCCGCGGACGCCGCCGGGATGGTCCCCGCGGAGGGCGCCTCCGCGGAGGAGTACAAGGACTGGTTCCGACGCATGCGGCTGTCGCTGCCGTGCCTCGTGAACCTCGCGCCGTACGTGGACGCGAGCTGCGAGGCGACGCTGCGCGCGGACCCGGCGTGCGCGCGCTTGTTCGACGAGATCGATCGGAAGAAGTACCAGCCCGGGAACCTCGAGAAGCCGCTGATAAAAAATTACCGAGAGATGACGCTGCGCGGTCCCGCGGAACGCGCGGACATTCGCAAGTACGTGGTCGTGGAACCGAACGGGGAGATACTCCCGGCGGTGCCCAAGGTGAACGGGAAGACGATGAAGAACGTGAAGGAGCTGATGACCGAGTACACGGACCCGTTCCCGGTGTGGATGATGTGACGATCGAGCGAAGCGTTCGCGAACGCGAATACGAAAACGATTCTTTGACGACGTAATTACACGCATCACCCGCTCATCACGACGACGGCCCCCGCTTCGCCGCCCTCGCGGCGGCTCTCTTCGCGCTCATCTCCCGCCTCGCCGCCGCCGCCGCCTTCGCCTTCTCCCGCGGGCTCAACTCCGTCGGCGGCGCCGTGCTCTCCGGCCGCAACTCGCAATCCTCCGTCGCGCCGACGCCCGCGATGGTCGGCCCGCGCGAGTCCGCCGCGGGCGCGTCGGCGCCGCACGAGCTCCGCACTCTCCCGCTCGCGTCCGTGAGCCCTTCGCTCCACACCAGATCCGTCCACTGCGAGATCCCGAGCTTCCCGGTCTTCCCCACGTCCACGGCCTCGAATTCTTCCTTGAGCGTCGCACGGCAGAGCTCCTCGCTGCCGTCCCACGCGCACACCTCGTCGGCGACGTCGTCGAACGTCACCGTCTCGTCCAGAGCGTCGAAGACGTCGGCGCCCGGCTTCGATTTGTTCTTCTCGAGGAGCCGCTGAAACGACGCCTTCGCGATGGCGTCCCAGTCGTACGCGTCCGCCTCCGCGTCGTCGCCCTCGCCCTCGCCCTCAGCCTTCGCGCGCGACGACGCGGTCGCCGCGAGCTCGAACGCCTCCGTGGACGCCTCGTCGTCGAAGTGGCTCGAAAACGACCCGCCCGGAACCGCCAGCATCGCGGCGAGCGCGGCGTTGTCCACGAAATCGCCCTTCCCGCCGAAATCGCCGCGCCTCCCCTTCCCCGCGACCGGGCGGATGAGCGACATCCACTCCTGCGGCGCGAGCTCCGCGCCGTGATCCCGCAGCGCGACCCGAAGCGCCTCCGCGCTGACGCCCGCGTAGGACCCGTCTCGCGTCGTCGGCGCGTCGCACTCGACGTCCAGGTGTTCCGCGCACGCCGCCGCCGCCGCGCGATCCACCGCCTCGACGAGCCGCGCGGTCTGGTCCTCGCCCCCTGGCGCGGACGTGTTCACGAAATCGCCGCCGACGGCCTCGTACGCCGCGCGTATGGACGCGCGTCGGACCGCGCCCAACGTTCCGTACGCTTGCAAACGCTCGACGACGACGCTCGCGAGCGCGTCGGCGTGCTTCGCGACGCCCTTCTCTCTGACCCAGTAGTGCTCCGCCGCCGCCGCGCACGACATGCGCTTCTCCGGGTTGAGCTCCAACAGACTGCTGAGCAGGCTCTTCGCGCCGGGGGACAGCGGCAAGTCCTGGATCGCGTGCTCCGGTCGCCCGCGTCGGATGTTCCGAAGCAGGCCCTCTTTCGTCGGCTCGCGGCCCTCGCGAATCGCGTCCCAGTCTGAAAACGGCGGCTCTCCCGCGAGGAGCATGTAGACGACGACCCCCGCGGCCCAGCTGTCGACTTTAAAATCGTACGGCCGCCTGCGCGCCATCTCCGGGGATAAGTACGCGTACGACCCGCACACCTCCGTCAAGGTCGCGTCCTTGCTCTTGATGCGCGCGGCGAGGCCAAAGTCGCTGAGCTTGAGCCGCCGCGAGCCGTCCGCCTCTCGCAAGAAGAGGAAATTCGCGGGTTTCACGTCCCTGTGCACGACGCCGTGCTCGTGGCACGCGGCGAGCGCCCTGAGCATCGAGCGTATCATCGGCGCGGCGGTCGCCTCGGAGAACGGCTGCCAGCACTCCGCGTTCGCGCCGCGCTCGGCGCCGCACTCCGGGTCCAATTGTCCGGAGGAAGAAGAAGAAGAAGAAGAAGAAGCGGAGAAACTGCCGGAGTCGTCGTCGTCGTCGTCGTCGTCCACCGTGATGAACTGGTTCGGCGCGTTCGCCTCGTCCTCGGTCGTGTGCGCCCTCGACGCGCCGACGAGAAGGTCGCCGCCGTCGCACAGGTCGACGAGCAGGTGCACGCCCGCTTCGTCCTCGAACGCGTCGTGGAGGGTCACGATGTCGAGCGACGCGCCGAGGGCGAAGTGCAGGTTCACCTCGTCGCGCACTTTCCGCTCCCAGATCGTCATCGCGTCGCCGGACGGCGTCTGCCCCGCGAGCGAGACGGGCCCCGCCTTGGGGATCGTCTTGAGCGCGAACTTCGCGCCGTCGGATTTCCGCGTCGCGACGCGCACGACGCCCATGGCGCCGCGTCCGAGCGGTTCGCCGAGCGCGAGCGCGTCCTCCGCGTCTCGTCGGAGGTTCAGCGAGAAGGGCTCGTCGTTCGACGCGCGCGAGGAGGAAGCGCTCTCGGCGTCCGGATCGGCGACTGCTGCGCGACGGGGGTCGACGCGCGCGCGACGCTCGCCCCGCGGGGAGCGCGGGGAAGGACGACGCGCGGCGGCGGGAGGGCGCACCACGAGGGAGCGCGGCGGCGCGAGCGGGCGCGGCGTCGACGCCATGACGACCGCGTGCGGGGGAGATCCACGTGCACGTGTTGTGATGAACGCGATCGCGCGCGATCTGTTGTTCGTTTTTCAGGCGCGTTCTTACAAAAGTTTTTCACCCATCGCCCGGTTTCAACGTTTGATAATTTGATCGCTTTCTCTTTCAACTGACCGGTGAACTTTATTTGTAGGGATGGCCCTCAGTCGTTCGCGGGCTTCGATCATCACTCTCGCCCGCGCGTCGCCAGTCGCCGCCGCCGCGATGCCCGACGCGATCGAAGGCGCGGCCGCGCCGATGGACGACGACGACGACGACGAACCCCCGACGTTCGTCCCTCTGGACGACGAGGCGGACCCCGCGGAGGCGTGGGAAGACCCATCGGTCGGAGGCGTCCTCACGAGCATCCTAAACGCGTGCGAGTTGGGCGACGCCGACGCGCTCGCGTCGCTCCTCCCGTCCGCGTCCCTGAGCGAAATCGAGACCAAGGGCCCGGACGGCGACACCGCGCTTCACCTGGCGTGCCTGTACGGCCACGCCGCGTGCGCGCGGCTGCTGCTCTCGCGCGGCGCGTCGCCGTCCGCAAGAGACGGCGACGACGGCACGCCGCTGCACGACGCGTCCGCGGGCGGGTTCGACGACGTCGTGGCGCTGCTGATCGACGCCGCGGCGAGGGCGGGGAGCGGCGGCGTCGACGGCGTCGTGCGCGCGGTCGACGGCGACGGCGAGACGGCGCTGCACTGCGCCGCGAGGGGGGGGCATCTCGACGTCGCGAGGGCGCTGCTCGCCGCGGGCGCGCGCAAGGACGCGGCGTCCGCGTTGGGGGATCTCGCGTGGCAGTGCGCGGAGGAAGGTTCGGACGTGCAAGCATTGTGCAAGTAGCCGTGGGTGGACGCGAGGAGGACGCCTATCCTATTTGACGTAAACCAACCTACTATCGTCCTCTCCCTCTCCGCGACCCTAAACGCTTCCTTCCATCGCGCCGTCGGTAAATCAGTCGCTGTCGAACCCGGCGTCGCCGAGCGCGCTGAGTATCCGCCGCTTCCCCGCGCTCACCGCGGGCGCGCGTCGCCGCCGCGCCGCCGCCGCCGCCGCCGCGTCCTTCTCCGCGCTCCCGACGCGTTCGCGCATGCGCTCCACGAACGCGTCGAGCTCCCTCGGCGGCACGGCACCGACGCCGCCGCCGCCACCGCCCTCGACGTCGTCGTCGGACGCGTCGACGAACGTGAACGGCGCGGGTTGGACGCGCGGGGTGAACATCGCCGCCTTGGCGGCTCGGCGCGCGGCGGCGACGACGTGCGGCGTCTTTTCATCCGACGACGACGCGGCGGAAACCGCCGAGACGTCGACGGCGGCGGCGGCGGCGGCGCTGGTCTTCTTCTTGACGCCGACGCCCGTCTTGGACGAGGACGACTTGGACGAGGACGGTTTCGTCGCCGTCTTCGTCGTCGTCGTCGTCGCGCGCGCGGTGCTCGGCGTCCTCGGCGGCTTCGACGGCGCCTTCGCGGCGGACGCCGACGCCGGCCGTCGTTCCACTCTCGCCGCGAGCTCGGCGAAACGCGTTCGGAGCTCGGACGTCTCCGCGGACTGCTCGTCGACGCGCGCGAGCAGCCGCGCGATGATCGTCGCGTTATCCTTGCCATCGGCGTTCTCCTTGTCGTTCTCCGCGATCCCCGGCATCGACAGAGCGGGGGAGCGCCCTCCGGAGAGAGGCTTCCCGTCTGCGACGTCCTTGACGCGCGCGTATTCCTTCAGCCCTGTGGGATGAAGCGATCAAAAAGTCGAACGTCTTACCGGTCAAACGTTGAAAGGGAAGCGCGGGTGAAGAGTGACGATGGGAAAAGTCCTTAAGGATCGGCGTGCACCACGCGAACGCGGTCGTACGGGAAGCAGTCTCATCGGTCTCGCGCACCGTGGTTATAAAACGTCACCAGCTTGTTCACGCGTCGCTTCATCTTCTCTCGGTCCGCCTCCATCGCGTCCAACCGCGCGCACGTCTCCGCGCTCAGGCTCACCCTCCCCGCGGCGTCGCCGCGCGTCGAGCTCGACTCGGCCAGCTCGGCGACGGCGGCGGCGGCGGCGCTCGCGACTCGCTCGGCGTCGTCCACGCGAGCGCTCAACGCCGCCGTCTCCGCCTCCTTCGCGCCGCCGCCGCGGCGTTCGCGTTCGCTCGCGACGGCTTTTGCCGACTCCACCTGCTTCGTCATCTTCGCCAGCGCGTCGTCGAGCATCACCTTGAACGACGCCTTCAGCTGCTTCACCGCCGCCGCGGTGTCCTCGCGCGTCTGCGAGAGCGCGTTTCGCACGTCGCGGCGGATCGTGTCGTTGTCGTCGACGCACGCGAGCATCTGCGCGTTCAGCGTGTCCACCGCGAGCTTCGCAGCCTCGAGCTCCGCGCGGACGTCGAAGTCGCCCACGGTCCCGCGGCCGACGGCGTCCTCCACGCGCGCGATGCGCGCGGAGACGTCCACGACGCGCACCTCTTGGTCCCGAAACTTGGACTCGTGCTCGGTGACGAGATCTAAGACGCGGTCGAGTCGCGTCACCGCGGGCGAGACGGACGGGAGCGTGCCGAGGCGCGGGGAGTGCGCGGGGCCGTGCGAGAAGTGTCGCGTGGGCGTGTGCTGCGACGGCGTCGCCATCGCGCGCGCTCGCGGGGGTGGGGTGGGGGTGGCGCGGCGCGGGGAGATGTGATGGCGCGCGCGTTTGCTGGCAGGGGGACGAACAAACAGAAACACGCGAACGGAAAATATAAACGGCACCTGCCTGGCCGCGTCGGCGGCGGCGGCGCGGGGAGCGAAGACGACGGGACGCCGCCGCGCCGCGCGACGATCGCCTCGCGATGATGCCGTCTCAAAACACGCGGGAAATACGTCCCCGCGTCGTCTACTTCGTTTTACACCGTCCGCTACGTGTAGTGCTCGGCGACGCGCGCCGCCCGCGCTGCCGCCTCCGCCAAATCGCCGCCAAACGCACGCCCTCGGAGACCTCCCTCCGCGACCGCCGTCGTCGCCGTCGTCGCCGCTACTCTGTCCGCTCGCCAGCGAACACGCGCGCGTGGTCGTGATGCCCGTGGTGGTGGTGCCCGTGACGATGCCCGCGCCGACGCGCGTCCCCTTGCGTGTGACTGCGACCGTCGTACACCTCCTCGCGATCGCGGCGGTGTTCGAGGTCGCGGTCGTCGTCGTCGTCGTCGTCGTCGCGCGCGCGATGACGCGCGCCCCCCCCCCCCGCGCCGCCGCCGCCGCCGCCGTCGTACTCGCCGCCGTCGCCGCCGCCGCCGCCGCCGTCGCGCGCTTCCCACGCCGCCTCCCCCGCCACGCCCGGCCGCTCGTACGCGCGGCGCATCCGCCCGCGGTGATGCCTCGCGTTCGCCCATCGTCCCCCGCGCGTCAGCGGGTCTTGCCCTTCGTGATGCACGCTGACCGTGGTCGAGACCCACATCAGGAGCGCGATGAGCGCGGTGGAGAAGATCGCCATGAGCGCCATCGCCTTCTCGGGCGACCGCGGCGCGCGGACCGCGACCGCCATGTCGACGCGTGCGTGCGTGCGGCGCGCGCCGGACGTCTGCGCGCGCTCCGAAACCCTCGCGCGCGCAGAAAGGCGGAAGGGACGAAACCTCGCGCGCTCCGAGACCGAAAAACGTCTACGAGTACTCGGAAGGACCCGCGAGACGCCGAGGACCCGCGGGACGCCGCGGCCTCGGAGGCGACGCAGTCCCGAGCGCGTCCTCGGAGGACGCGCGACGCGCGCGTCGGAACGCGCGAGAGGCCACGGCGAGTGCGCGGGAGAGCGCGATAGGGAAGCTCGGAGAGCGCGACTGAGGGTTCGTCGGACGCGGCGAAGATAACGCGCGTGAAAGGCTCTCTCGCCGGTCGTCCGCCGCACACCCTCACGCGCCGCGCAGCCCGCTCGTCATCGACCTCGGTCTTCATCTTCATCCTCCACCTCGACGGCAACATGGCCCGCCTCTCCTCCATCGCGCTCGTCGCGCTCGTCTTCGCGTTCGCCTTCGCCGGCGCCGCGAACGCGCAGGGCGTCCCCCGTCCGACGACGGAAGCCGCCTCCGGGCGCGGGTTCAGGGACAGCTACTACAAGGAGCCCATCAAGGAGCCCTACTACAAGGAGCCCATCCACCACGCGTGCGTCGGCGTCGAGATCGCCAAGGACGGCGAGACGTACTCCCCGTGCGGCAAGTTCGACAAGTGCTGCGACGGGTTCTTCTGCCGCGTCGACGCGCCGCTGTTCGCGAAGCTTCCGTACAAGGAGATAACCGGACCGGTCGACTCGCTCGCCCAGGCGACGTCGAACTTGAACCAGTGCTGCATCCCTGAGGATGCGCTGGACGTCACCGAGCTCGTCTGCCCGGCCGAGTTTTTCGATTCTACGGCCGGCACGTGCAGCCTCAACGCCGCTAACAATGCTGGGTACACCTGGGCCGGCACCGGCGGTTCCGCTCTGAACGAGCTCGCGTGCCTTTGCTGCGACGGCGTCATCCGCAGAGACGGTTACCGCAACAACGCGAAGATCACCTGCAACGTACCCGGGACAGGCAATGCTGGCGGCACGTGCCCCCAGCCCGCTCCTTAAGGAGCTCGCGCGCCCGCTTCGACGACAACGCGCGCTGGCCGGTCGGTAGGATGAGAGAGGCCTACGCACGTGTACATACGTCCGGCGAGCCGCGGGATTTTTTCCCGCCGCGTCCGCGCGTTTCGTCTTCGCGCCCCGTCTTGTTTTCGTTTCGCTCGATGAACCTCCGCCGTTTGTAATAACAACACGAGCCGAGCTTCGCTACGTCACGTCGTCGCTCACCGCGCCCTCGTGCGCTTCACCGGCGGCGTCTTCTCCACCTTTTCCGCCTTCTCCGCGCCCTTCGCCCCCGCCGCCGCCCCCCGCGTCCGCTTCGCCGCTCGCGGCTTCGTCGCCTTCCCCGGCTTCTCCGCCTCTTGCGCGTACGGATCGACGTCGTCGTCGCCGCCGCCGCCGCCCTGCCCGTAATCGTCCAGCTTCCCCTCCGCCTCCGTCACGAGCTCGTCCACGTGCCCTCTCGCGCTGAACCCCTCTCGCGCGGCGGCGCCCTTCGTCTCGCCCACGACGACGACGTCGTCGCCGTCGTCCCTCCGCGCAATCTTTCTCTCCCACGCCGGTCGATGCACGTGCGTCGACGCGCCGCCGCCGCCGCCGCCGCCGCCGCCGCCGCTCGCGCCCGTCGTCCCGGACGCGAGCCCGACGTCGCCGCCGTACGCGAGCGCGTCGTCGCCGTCGTCGATCTCGATCTCGTCCTCGGAGCCGCTGAGGGCCGTTCCGTACAAAAAAAGTTCACCGGTCAGTTGAAAGGGACCCACGCGATCAAATGTTGAAACCGGGCGATGGGTGAAAAACGTTTGTGAGAACGCACCTGAGGTCGTCCGCGTCGTACTTGCCCGTGATTTTCGCGACGAACGCCTTGACGTCCGCGACGGTGCAGTCGCCGCGGCCAGACGCCGACGGCGGCTTGACGATCAAATCCCGCTCGCGCGCGCTGTTCACGAGCGCGCACCAGTTCTCGTCCCCGGACGCTTTCAGGGCTTTACCGCTTCCCAACACGATGAGCGACGCGCGCGCGCGCGTCAGACCGACGTTCATCCTTCGCTCGTCGGACACGAACCCGAGCCTGCGCGTCTTTGGGTCGAGGGTCCATACGAGCGGACGTCGGGGTGGAGTTCATAGGCGTCAGTGGAAGTTGAAAGGCGTCGAGGGCGGGGATTGAAAGGAAGGGGTGGGCGGAGAGAGACGCCGGCAACAGTCCTTAAGGAACGGCGTTCACCACGCCGACGGGGTCGTATGGGGACCAGTGTAAGGAGAACGCACCTTTTTTTTCTTCGCGCCGCGGTCCTCCCTCGGCGCGCGGCACACGGAGAACACGCACACCTCCTTCTCCCTGCCTTGAAACCCGTCGATCGAGTTCACGTCCACGCGGCTCGAGCGCTCCTCGCCGATCGCGTCGTTCAAGATCTTCCGAATGTTTCGAACTTGCGCCTTGTACGGCGATATGATGCCGATCTTTTCCCCCGTGGCGAGCTGCGGGTAGTTTCGCATCAGAGCCGTCGCGATGGCCACCGCGGCGTGCGCTTCCTCGTCGTTGCTCCACGACGTCCCGCCGCCGAGGTACTCCTTCCCCGCGATGTCCACGAACACGAACGGCCGGAACAGCGAGACGTTGTGCCACGGCCTGGACGTCTTCGCCGCCTGCCGCGGCCCGTCCTCGAGCTCGTTTTGGTAAAACCGCGCGCTCGGAAACTCGCGAATCGCCGGGTGCATCCGATACTGCGTCTTGAGGACGTGTATCGGGTACCCGCACCGCTCGAACCGCTTGAACAAGCTCTGATTGTACGCGTACTCCGTCGCCCGCGAGGACAGCACCGTCGCCGGCAGCTGCCGCGGGTCGCCGACGAGAAACACCTGCTTCGCGCCGTAACACAACGGCACCAACGTCGACGGCTCCACCGCCTGCGCGGCTTCGTCGATGACGACGACGTCAAACTGCCGCGTCATCCGCGCGAACATCCCGCTGCCGCTGAACGACAGCGTCGAGCACACGACCGCGGCCTCGTCTAGGATCGCGATCTGCGCGCGGTCGCGCTCGAGCGCGCGCTCGAAGTTCTTCTCGGCGGCGCCGCCGTCCTTGTTGGCGTCTTTCCCCGTGCCCTGCCGCTCGTTCACGAGCGCCTCCATCGTGACTGAGGGTAATTGTCCATACGAGCGAACGTCGGGGTGGAGTTCAAAGGCGTCAGAAGCGGAGTTGAAAGGCGTCGATGTGTGTTGGGATTGAAAGCGAGGGGTGATGGGCGGAGAGAAACGCCGGGAAGTAAAGTCCTCAAGGAACGGCGTTCCACCGCGCCAACGCGGTCGTACGGGGACCAACGTAAATACGAACGCGCCTGACTCGACGCTGTGGTGCCAGCTCACGCCGACGCGCACGAGCGTGGGCGAGTACGGGTCGCCGTCCGGGCCAAACAGCCCGCTCTGCATGATGCGCAGCACGATCTCGTCCAGGGCGGAGTTCGAGGGCGCGCAGACGAGAACCTTGGTGCGTTTGCTCGCGACGTCGCCGACGATCTCGGGAACCTCCGTCGGCGTCTTCGGCGGCGGCGGCGCGCCGCGCGGCAGCGGCGGCGCGTCGCGGGGATTCGCGACGCCGCTCAGCCACGGCATCGCGCGGCGTATCATCGCGCTCGTCTCCGCGGGCGTCCGCGGCTTTTTCTTGTTGCGAACGTCCAGGTACCGCTGCAGTTCGAGCTCGTGGCCGCTCTTGGCGCCGGGAACCGCGTGCAAGATGACGGAGAGCAACGAGAGGATGATGCGCGTCTTGCCCGTGCCGGGTGGGCCTTGGATCAGCGTGATCGGCTGCTTCTCCAGCGCCGCTTTCAGCGCGGTGACTTGGCTCACTGCGCGCGTCCATCGATCGGATCGCGGCGATGGATGGGGGGGGGAGAGGTGTCGGTCAGATGGAACTCGCGGATCGAGAGCGCGCGCGAGTGGAAAAAAAACGCGTCCGTCCCGCGTCGTCGCCGTCGCCGCCGTCGTGTGCTCAGAGAAACCACATGTCTTTTGCGTAATCAAAGAACGTGTTCATAATCTACTATCAAAGATTTTGTCATCAACGCACACGCGGCGGCGGCGACCGCGAAACGCAAACCTCGAGCGTGGCGAGGCCGAGTCGAAACGCGACGCGCGAACGACGAACGACGAACGACGAAACCAGAAGACAAAACGAATCCAAAAAAAACGCACCGTTGTACGCCGCGTTCATCGCGTTCAAAAGCGGCGGCGGGAGCTCCCACACGCTGTGCGGCGCCCTCGCCTGCACTTTCCCGCTCATGACCGTGTCCGCGAACGGCAACGACGGAAACGCGTGCAGCGCGAGCCACTCGCGCGCGATCGTGGACATGTTCGCGAGGTGCGACAGATACCACCGGTTAGAGTCACCCGCACAAAAAAACAATCAGACACGCACACGCCCGAGTAGTTTGACAGGTCTCTAACCGGCGACAGCGACAGTGACAGTGCCCGCGGGCGGTGCGGAGGGAGATGGAGATGATGCCGGGGGTGCTCGGGATGAAGATGAGATCGCCCTGACCCGCACAAAAAAACAACGCAAGACGAAGCGATGAAATAGACAGAGTAAATCGCGACGATGTCGCGAGATAGCGTCGTCAATCTGACGGAACCGGCGGAAACGAACGTGTAGACCATGATATGTAACGAAAACGAACGAAGATACGGGGAAGCGAGGGGATCCCTACCACGCGCCCTTCCCGCGCGCCAACGCGTTTCGCACGCTTCGAAACCGCGCGTAATCCGCGTCGTCGAGCGTCTCCCCCGCGCGCGCGCTCAGCCTCGATGTATTCGGGGAGTCCGGGAGGAAGAACCGCACGCGGACGCGTTCCTTTCGCTCCTTGGCGTCGACGAACCCGAGCGCGTACGCGCGCCTCCACTCGCGGTCGTCGTCGGGCGCGAAGGCGTCGGCGGCGCGCTTATTCGACGCGCCCGCCGCGCCCGTCAGGAACGCCGCGTCGGGGTGGTCGTCCGCGAGGACCGCGGCGCGCTTTGCGCTCGTCTCGCTCTTCTTATTTTTCTTCTTCTTCGCGTCGTCGCCGTCGCCGCCTTCTTCCTCGTCCTCTTCCTCGTCCTCGTCGTCGTCGTCGAACTCCTCGTCTTCGAACGGGTCAAACTTGCTCAGGAGAAACACGTCGTTGTCGCGAAATTCTCGCGCCGCCTCCTCCCGCAGCGCGAACCGCACGACGTGGAACCCGTTCACGCGCTCGCTCTTCTCCACCGCGCCGATCACCGCCGCCCTCTGATCCTCGTCGTCGTCCGTCCGCCCCAGCTGCGCCGCGCACTCCTCCAGCACGAGCGGCTCGAACACGTTTACGTACTCGTCGACGGAGGTGAAGGTCTGCGGCACCTCACGGAGCGTTCGGTTCCCCGCGGGCTTCACCGCGTCCTCCTCCTCGGACGTGCCTATGCGGTAGTAGTCCCACGGCAGGATCTCCTGTTGGAGCCGCGAGAGGTGCGACGTCTGCTGCTCGGACGTGAGCGCCATCGCGCGCGGGACGGCGCGGCGCCGCGGGCGATCGGATGGATGTGGATCTGCGGCCACGATCCCGGCGGCCGGCGACGACGACGCGGTCGCGACGCGAGCGGCGCGACGCACGCGGCGACGCGCTCCAAACTCGCGCGACGCCGGCGCCGGGGTCGCGTTCGCCGCGCGCGTCGACCCGACCGCGCGCTCGTCGCTGTGGGGAGGACCGCGGCGATGGCTCGCTCGTCGTCTCGTGGGAAAAGCGACTTCGGGGTTTCCAGTCGGGGGCTGGGTTTCGGCGCGGCGACAGGAAGAAAACGTCGAGTTCGGGGAGGCGCCGCCGCCCGACGAACCTACTACAACACGTCAATTAAACCAACGACAACTCGATCAATACGGCCCTCCTCGCCTCGGAGGCTCCGGGCGCCGGTAGTTATCCTCCGAGTACCGCCGGTGCGTCGGCATCGGCGGCGGCGCCGGCGGCGCGGCCTCGAAGCTTCGCCCGGCGGCGAAGTCGTCTCGGTTTCGGTTTTGGTCGCGGTGGCCTTCTCCCGCCCCCCATCCACCACCGCCGCCGCCGCCGTTGTTTCCTACGCACCCGCCCCACCCGCCGCCTGGCGGCCCGGGCGCGCCTCTGCCGCCGCCTCCGTGCGCGCCCGACGTCCACCCCCCCCCGCCGCCGCCGCCGCCGCGCCAGCCGCCGCCGCCGGCCACGCCCATGCCTCCGTACGGACTCCTCCCGCCCCCTCCACCCGCGCCGTTACCGATGACATCCCGCAGATCACCCCCGTCGCCACCACCCCCGCCGCCGCTCGCCGACGGGCACTCGCGCGCGATGTGCCCTCGCTTGCCGCATCGGAAACACGCCAGCTCGCCCAAAAACCGCGCCGCGTCCCTCCCGCCGCCGCCGCCGCGTCTTCGGGGTGGAGTTGAAAGGCGTCAGGGGTGGAGTTGAAAGGCGTCGAGGTGTGTCGGGATTGAAAGCGAGGTGTGATGGGCGGAGAGAAACACGCGCCGGGAAAAGTCCTTAAGTCCTCAAGGAACGGCGTTCACCACGCCGACGCGGTCGTATGGGGACCGGTGTGAGATAGAACGCACCTCTGCGCGCAATCCGCGTCGACGTGCCCCATCCCGCCGCACCTGCAGCAGCTCTTCCGCTTCCCCCCGCCGCCCCCCGCGCTCGCGAGCGCGCCCGCGGCTTCGTCCTGCGACGCGCAGCACAGGTGCCCAAACTCGCCGCACACGTAGCACGCGACGCGCGCGACGTCCGACGCGGCGAACGACCGCGCGCAATCCGTCGCCGCGTGTCCGCGACCGCCGCAGCGCAGGCAGCACAGCGCCTGCGTCTCGCGCCCCACGCCTCTCGGCTCCGGGCAGTCCCTGCTCTGGTGGCCGCTCTTGAGACAGTTGAAGCACAGGCCGCGGCGGCAGTCGCGCGCGAGGTGGTCGAGGTAGCCGCACAGGTGGCACGGGCGCTTCTTCTCGGGAAGCGAGCACTCGCGCTCGAGATGGCCGCCGCCTCCGCATCGGAAGCATCGCGTCGCGTTGAGCTCGAAGTCGTCGTCGAAGTACCGCGGGTTGCGCAGGAGGCGGCGGACTTCGTAATTCTCGCCCTCGTGCAGCGCGTCCGAGGCCTGCGTCGGGATGGGCGGGACGGGACGGCGCGGGGCGGGAGAAGGATTCGGTTAGGGTACGCGCGACGACTGGCAGACGTCGTGCCCGCTCTCGACGACGGGACGCCTCGGGACGCCTCGGAACGCACCCGCTCGGGGGTGCCCTCGCGCTCCTCCGCTTTCATCGACGCGCTCTTCGTCGTCGTCGTCGGCGTCGGCTTCGCGCTCGCTTTCGCGTTCTCTTCCTCCGCGACCGCGGCGGCGGCGTTCGGCGCGTTCGCCTCCTTCGATGAGGTCGCCGCGCTCTTCCGGCGCTTCAGCGCCTTCTCGACGATGAGCGCCTGGTGCGGGTCCGCGTCCTCCTCGTCGTCCGTGCCGCCGTCGGACGACGGCTCCGGGGACGGCGACGGCGACGCGCGCGCGCGTCGCTTCTTCCCGCGCGGCTTCCCGCCCATCGCGGCGGTCGCGCGCGCGAGGAGTGCGACGCGACGCGACGCTCGAAACTTTTCGAGACGGGAGGCGTTCGCGCTGATGAGTACTCGCGCGTTGAATGAAAATCGCTGGTTCCTTCACCGCGGCGGCGACGTATGTATTAAATCTGCGAGCATGCATACTATGTACGACGCGAGGGCGTCCGCGCGACCCCGGCGTCTTCGACCCCCCCCCTCCCCGACCCCCCAAAGTTTCGACCTCATCCCGGGTCGGCGCCCGCTCGGATCCGATCGATCGAATTCTTCGATCGAATCGAATCCGTCGTCGATCGAATCGATTCGCCGTCCTCCGAGATCCGATATCGCTCCGCGCGCATCACTTCTTCGACTTGAACTCGTGAATCTCCTTCCCTTTCGCGACGTACTTGGCCAAGAACTCGCTCAGGCGGTCGACGTTCTCTTTCAGCTCCTCCAGGCTCCCCTCGCCGCTCGCGCACTTCTTCAGATCCGTCGCGACGCAGTGCTCTCTGAGCTCCTCGCACTTCGCGAGGACGCCGTCCGCGCCGAACGTGCTGCTGCTCCCCTTGAGCTTATGCAACACCGCGCGCGCTTTATCGTAGTCCACGGCGCTCTCGTCGACGTCGAAGAGCGTCCCGAGCTCTTTCAGCATCTCTCGAGCGTCGGTGACGTACATCTCGACGATCTCAGGGTCGTTCCATACGAAGCGAAGTCGGGGTGGAGTTGAAAGGCGTCAGATGAAGTTGAAAGGCGTCGATGGCGGGGATTGAAAGCGAGGTGTGGGCGGAGAGAAACGCCGGCAAAAGTCCTTAAGGATCGGCGTTCACCACGCCGACGCGGTCGTATGGGGACCAGTGTATAGAACGCGCCTCGTGCACGAAGTCGGGCTCCTCGTCCGTCTGCAGGTCGAGCAGCTTTTGGAACTGCGCCTGGTTCAGGAGCTTGTTCTTCTCGTCGTACGCCTCCTGCTCGAGCGCGGCTCTCTGTGTGCGCACGGGGGTTGGAGCGAGGTTGGGGACGAGGGTCGTCATCAGCGAGGGATTCGATTCGTTCGATTCGTCTTTTCCCGAGCGAGGGTTTGTTGGAGAGCGAAAATACATGCATGACAGCGTGCGCGCGACGGCGTCCCTCGGGGAGGGAGGGAACGCGCGCGGGGTCCGCCGCCGTCGCCGTCTCGACCGCGCGCGACGGACGAGACGGACGGACGGACGAACGACGCGCGGCGCGGGGAGGGACCGCGTCGCACCTCCTTCTCGAGATCCTCCAGCGTCTTGGCCCCCATGGTGTCCGCGCGGTCCCGTTTCTTCCCTACTCGAGGAGCGGCGATTCTTCCGATTGTCGGGCTCGCGGACGCGCCGCGGCGTGCCGAAGCCGCGCGCTTCGCCTTCTCGGTCGTCGCGCGTCCGTCCGCGCGCGCGAGATCGAGCGCTCTTGGCACGCGAACAAACGGGGGGTCCCAGTCGCGGTGACCTTCGCTCGAGGGCGGCGCGTTGTGTCCACGACGAGCCGCGCCGGCGCTGGAACGAACGATCCACGTGCGACTGGATATTCGCGAGATCGACGGCATCGATCGATCGAAGCGACGGCCCGTTCGCGTTCTGGTGTCCGTTCGAGCGGCCGCGTCCGCGCGCGGGGGGACGCGCGCGTTCCGCGCACAACGAGACGCGCGGGATCCACCGCACGCCGCGTCACCGCACGCGAGGTCACCGCGCGGGGGAACCCACGCCGCGCGAGCGACGCGCACGGCGAGGAACGCGGCGACGGCGAACGGCGCGCGCGAGGGAAATCGTCGAAATCGAACCCGCCCGGGGGCGCATTGGCGTCGCATTCGGACGCGATGTTGAAGAAGCAACAACAGGCCGTCGGCGGGTTCGTGCACGCCGCGCCGAAGAAGAAGAAGGTGCTGAAGGAGCTCACGCCGGAGGAGGACGCGGAGCTCAGGGTGCGTCTCTCCGCGCCGGAGGAAGCGCGCGCCGCGATCGCTCGCTCGCGCCTCGCCTCGCCCCAACCCGCGCTCGCGTCGTCTTCAAAACGACTCGATTCAATTCAATTCATCACAACCGCTCGTCCCCGCCTCATCGATCGTCGCCCGCCTGACCCCGCCCGCAGGAAGCGTTCAACCTGTTCGACGCGGACGGCAGCGGGACGATCGACATGCGCGAGCTCAAGGTGGCGATGCGCGCGCTCGGGTTCGCGGTTAGCTCCGAGGACGTCAAGGCGATCATGACGGAGTACGACGCGGACGGCAGCGGCGAGATCGAGTACCCGGAGTTTCGAAACGTGATGCGCGACAAGATGGCGAGCCGGAACCCGGAGGACGAGCTCGCGAAAGCGTTTAAGGTGTTCGACGACGACAGCAGCGGGAAGATCACGCTGAAGAACTTGAGGCGGATAGCGAAGGAGCTCGGCGAGGACGTGGACGACGACGAGTTGCGCGCGATGATCGACGAGTTCGACGCGCGCGGCGCCGGGTACATCGACGAGAGAACGTTCCTGGACATCATGCACAAGGGCGCGGACGCGGAGTGACGTCGACGGACGTACAGTACGTCGCCCTCGTCGTCCGCCTCGGGGGGTCTTCGTGTTGTAGCAGCAGCGCGCGTCGCGTGCGCATCGTGAGTAAACTATTTCGTATCCTACGCGTTACTAGACAGACTACTTCGCCGTCGCCCCCCCGCGTTTGACGCCGCCGCCGCCGCTCCACGCGCGCTCCAACAAGTCGATCGCGGGCGCCACCTTCTGCTCCTTCGTACGCCGGTCGTACGTCCCCTTCTGCATCGCCATGGAGTGGCCCATGTATATAGCCAGCGCCTCGAGCTCGCGTTCGCTCGCGTCCTGGGCGAAGCGATCGTGGGTGAACGCGTCGGTCAGTCGAACGTCTCACCGGTCAAACAAACGTTGAAAGGGAAGCTCGGGTGAAGAGTGACGACGCGACGGACGGGGAAAGTCCTTAAGAAACGGCGTTCACATCGCGAACGGGGTCGTATGGGAAGCAGTCTCACCGTGCCGCGCAGATGCGTGATGATCATGTCGCGAATCAAGTGCGGATTCGTTCGCTTCCCCGTGTGTCGAAACGTCGCCGTGGTCACGATCCTGTGCAACCCCGCGTCCGTGAGCGGTTCGCCGCCGAACCTGGACGTGAAGAGATAGTCGTGCTTCGGGTTCAACGCCGCGCGGTGCGTCTCGATGAACGCCTCGAGCGCGGGGTAAAACTTGGGGTGAATCACCATCGGCGGCCGCACGCCGTAGACGTGCCCGGTTTTGTAATCGTCCGGCCCCTGGCGAATCACCCACCGGTAATCAATCAACCCGCCATGAGGATCGCCCCCCGCCGCCGCGCCCCCGTCCGCGTTTGCGACCGTCTCGCCGTCCTCGCCGAGGACCTCAACGACCCTCTCCGCGTCCTCCTTGAAGAGCGTCCGCCCGATCTGCAGCTCGCGAAACGTCCGCTGTCGATCCGGTGGAGTTGAAAGGCGTCAGTTGGAGTTGAAAAGCGTCGAGGTGTGTCGGGATTGAAAGCGAGGTGTGGGCGGAGAGAAACGCCGGGAAAAGTCCTTAAGGCTCGGCGTTCACCACGCCGACGCGGTCGTATGGGAACCAGTGCGAGAAGAACGCACCCCTCGATCCGGCACGCACGACAGCATGCCGAGGATCAAGTATCGCTGGTACGCCCACGCGACCGCGCGCGCGGGGCGCTTCGCGCCGCTCGCCAGCCTCGGCGCGCACTCCTCCCGCAGACGATCGACGACGGCGACGAACTGGTCCCATGCGAGCCACTTCTTTCGAGCGTCCGACGTCGGCGTCGCGCGGTCCGCGCGCTTCATCGTCTCTGAGGGTCGTCGTTCCATACGAGCGAACATCGGGGTGGAGTTCATAGGCGTCAGTTGGAGTTGAAAGGCGGGCGTCGAGGTGTGTGCGTCGGGATTGAAAGCGAGGGGTGATGGGCGGAGAGAATCGACATCGACCGCCGGGAGAGAAAGTCCTCGATCGCGCGGGAACCGAACCGGGTCTGGCGCGCGGGACGGACAGGACGCGCCTTTAGAGATCTTCCGCAGCTGCCCGACGAGCGGGACGTCGGCGTATGGCTTTGCGAAGCCGTCGTTCTCCGCATCGTCGCCGCCGTGGCAAAACTTCGCCGCCGCGACGAGCGCGCGCAGCGTGAACAGCTCGTAGTTCGCGCTGCACTTGCGCTCGTTCGCGAGCCACTGCAGGTGATCGAACGCGAGCGCCGCTGAGGGTCGTTCCATACAAGCGAATGTCGGGGTGGAGTTGAAAGGCGTCAGTCGGAGTTGAAAGGCAACGCGGGCGGGGATTGAAAGCGAGGTGTGGGCGGAGAGAGATGACGGCGAAAGTCCTTAAGAAACGGCGTTCACCACGCGAACGCGGTCGTATGGGGACCAGTGTATAGAACGCACCTGACTTGCGCTCCTTCGTCGGAAAGATGAGCTTCATCGACGTGAGCTCCTCGATCGGGTACCGCCCTCTCCCGCCGTGGTGATGCATCCACCCGAACACGCCGAGGACGTGGTCGACGTACTTGCGCGCGGTGACTTCTCGGATCGGCGCGTCGACGGAGCCTAACCGCCGCGCGGTTAGAAACTTGACGAAATCCTCGAGCTCGCGCGAGAGCTCGTCCGACATCAGATCGCGTCTGAGGCGATACGGCGTCTGCTTCGCGCCTCCCTGCAGCCGCGACGTCACGCGCACCGCCTCCGCGTTGCCGTGCGCGGTGACTATCTGCCCGGACCGAGCTTCATCGATGGGACCGCCGCGGCGGACATCGCGCGCGCTCTTCGTCGCCGCGGCCGCGGTCGCGGTCGCGTCGGCGTTCGCGTCGGCGTTCGCGTTGGCGTTCGCGTCGGCGTTCGCGTCGGCGTTCGTCGTCGCGTTCGCCTTCGCCTCTGCTGCCTCTTCGGCTTTCGCCTCGGATTCCGGCCTCCTCGCCTCGGCGGCGGCCGTTGCGTTGGCTTTCCCGCGCGCGGGCGGGGGTCCCGACGCGCTCGTGGAGGCGCGGCGGGAGAGAAGCTGCCGATCTCCGCCGTCCGACGCGCCGAGGCGACGCGCGAGGCCCGCGGACGCCGCGAACGACGACGCGTCCGACGGCGGTCGCGTCCACGCGATCGCGCGGTTCGCGCCGCGCCTCGCGGCGACGGTCAGGAGTCGGCGCATGACGGCGCGCGCGCGCGATGGAGTGCGCTCGGAGCCTCGCGCAGCCTTTCGGAGTCTCCAACGACTCGCATTCTTTCGAGCGCGGGGGGAGTCTGGGGAGGGTCGGAGATGCGGTCAACAGAAAGTTTTCATATGCCACCTTGAAAGCGCGAAAAAAATTGAAAGAACGACTTTCATCGGCGCAGCTCCCAGAAACAAACATGCGAAGTTGGGCCTTGTTACTGTAACCTGTGCTGGGAACAACCACTTTCGCAAGATGTCCGTCGAGCACGACGCGCGAGCCGCCCTCGAGACACTCACGCAACGCGCGCCGGCACGCTCGAAGGTCCGTCGCGTCTCCCCGCCACCACGCCGATCGCTCGCGTCGCTCGCGTCGCGCCGCGGGCGCCGCGCGACGCTCGATCGCGACGCGATCAGCGCGCCGCGCACGCCGCCGATCGGTTCATCGTCGCTCGTTTCAAAAGCGCGCGCGCTCGATCGCGGCTCTCTTCCCCCGCGATCGATCGAACCGACTCCATCTCCATCCTCCTCGCTGACGCCGCGCCGCGCCTCTCTCCTCGCCCGCGTCAGTAGGTAGAACTCGCACGTCATGTCGATGATGGGCAACAGCGCGGGGACGAACGTCCTCGGCGAGGGCGCGAGCGAGGAGAAGGGCGAGCACGCGCGCCTCGCCTCCTTCGTCGGCGCGATGGCGATCAGCGACCTCGTCAAGTCCACGCTCGGGCCGAAGGGGATGGACAAGATCCTGGTCTCCATGGTGCGATCTTCGACGGACGTCGTGATGTCTCTCTTCGCGCGCGTCGTTTCCTCGTCGTTCCCGGACGCGATCGAACGCCGCGGCGTTCCTCGGTCGCGCGGCGCCGCGTCGCGTCCGATCGCCGGTCGTCGTCGCGATGTTGACCGAACAGAAACGTCCTTCTTCTCGCTCGAAGTCTCGCGTCTTCTTTGACCGACGACTGACGCCCGCCCCGCGCCCCAAAACAAACCACCCACCCCGTGACACCCTACAGGGCCAAGGCAACCACGTGACGGTCACGAACGACGGCGCGACGATCCTCAAGTCCATCTACGTCGACAACGCCGCCGCGCGCGTCCTCGTCGACATCAGCAAGGCGCAGGATGACGAAGTCGGCGACGGCACGACGTCCGTCGTCGTCTTCGCGGGGGAGCTCCTCCGACAGGCGGAGCAGCTCGTGAACCAGAAGGTGCACCCGATGACGATCATCCAGGGGTTCAGGGAGGCGTGCACGGTCGCGAAGGCGGCGCTGGAGGCGGAGGCGATCGACAACGCGGGGAACGACGAAGCGTTTCGCGCGGATCTGCTCAACATCGCGCGCACGACGCTGTCGTCGAAGATTCTGACGCACGACAAGGATCACTTCGCGAAGCTCGCGGTGGAGGCGGTGATGCGACTGAAGGGCAGCGGGAACTTGGAGATGATTCAGCTGATCCAAAAAGCGGGCGGGTCGCTGAAGGACTCGTTCCTGGACGAGGGGTTCATCCTCGACAAGAAGTTCAACGTCGGGCACCCGAAGCGGATCGAAAACGCGAAGATTCTCCTCGCCAACACGCCGATGGACACGGACAAGATTAAGATCTACGGCGCGCGCGTGCGCGTCGACAGCATGTCGAAAGTCGGCGAGATCGAGGCTGCGGAGAAGCAAAAGATGGCGAACAAGTGCGAGAAGATCGCCTCGCACGGCGCCAACCTGTTCATCAACCGTCAGCTCATCTACAACTACCCCGAGCAAGTCTTGATGAGCAGAGGCGTGACGTCCATCGAGCACGCCGACTTTGACGGGATCGAGCGGCTCGCGCTCGTGACCGGCGGCGATATCTGCTCCACGTTCGACGACCCGGGCGGCTCGAAGCTCGGGACGTGCGATCTCGTCCAGGAGATCATGATCGGCGAGGACAAGCTCATCAAGTTCTCCGGCGTCGCGAAGGGCGAGGCGTGCACCATCGTGCTTCGCGGCGCGTCGTCGCACGTGTTGGGCGAGGCGGAGCGATCGCTGCACGACGCGCTCTGCGTGCTTCAGTCCACGGTGAAGGACTCGCGCATCTTGCCCGGCGGCGGGTGCCCGGAGATGGTCATGGCCAGGGCGGTGGACGAGCTCGCGGCGAAGACGCCCGGGAAGCGGTCGCTCGCGATGGAGGGCTTCGCGAAGGCGCTTCGGATGATCCCGACCATCATCTGCGAAAACGCCGGCTTGGACTCGAGCGAGATCGTGTCTCAACTCCGCGCGTGCCACGCGGACGCGGCGGTTCGGTCGAACATGGGCGTGGACATCATCACCGGCGAGACCGGCGACATGGTGAAGAACGGCATCACCGAGTGTTTCCGCGTGAAGCAGCAGATTCTGTTGTCCGGCACGGAGGCGGCGGAGATGATCATTCGCGTCGACGACATCATCAAGTGCGCGCCGCGTCAACGCGAGGAGTGAGTGATCTGATCGATCGCCGGCCGCGAGGGGGACGACGACGACGACGACGACGGCGAGAGGGAGAGAGAGAGAGAGAGAGAGAAGAGAGCGCGACGGGAGGGAGGAGGGATTCATACATTTTACCGGATAGGCGCCGCCGCGCGTAGCTTTGCGAGGTCGACGAGAGAAGTTACGAGCACTCTGCTAAAAAGTTCAGAGCTGAAAAGTTCGTTACGACGAGCTCGGGATCTCACAGCGCGGGTCCGGCCGGGGAGGGAGCCGCCGCCGCCGCCGCCGTCCTCGTCCGCGTCATCCGCGTCTCGTCGATCTTCCGATCGATCCTCTGCGGTTTAGGGTCTCCTCGTCGCGTCTCGTCGGGCGAGTCCGTCGTCGTCGTCGTCGCGAAGTGAGGAGGATGTTATTCGGCGAGCTGCGTAATCCGTGGTGGCACGCGCCGACGATGTTCTGGAGCGGCGAGCGCTCTCGCGACGCGCACCTGTGGCGCGAGCACCTTCGGAACCGCGAACGCATGCACGCGGAGATTATCTCCATGGGCGTCCGCGACGTCCCGTGGTCCTCCAGAAGGCGCCTCCTCGGTGTGATCCTCACGTGCGTCACGTTCGCGCTCTGGGTCGTCGCCGGCGTCGCGAGCCTGGTCCTCCTCGCGATCGGCGGACGCGCGACGCGATGCCTCGTCGCGGCGTACTACCTCGTGTCGACGCTCTATAAGACGCCGATGAACGCGCGGATGCTGCGATACGCCGCGGAACTCGAGGTGGGCGAGATGAACGGATGGCGTCTGATCGTCAAGGCGACGAACGTGGACTGCGGCGCGCGGAATCATCTCTTTTGCTCGCACCCGCACGGACTCTACTGCGCGGGCGTGAGCCTCAACCTCATCCTCAGCGCGAAAGGCTTAGCGAGCGTGCGCGCGACGCACATCCGCCTGTTCGTGCACTCGCTGCTCGCGAGCGCGTTCCCGATCGTGAAGGACTGGGTCCGCGCGTTGGGTTTCCTCCCGTGCGCGAGGGAGACGATGCGCGACGTCCTCGAACGCGGCGAAAACGGGTGCGTCGTCCCGGGCGGCGTGCGCGAGGTGGTCTACGCGGGGCGGTGCGACGTCGAGCGACTGTATTTAAAGAACGTCTACGGGTTCGTGAAGCTCGCGATGCGGACGGGGACGCCGCTCGTGCCGGTGTACACGTTCGGGGAGTCGCTCAGGCGCGTTCTATACACTGGTCCCCATACGACCGCGTTCGCGTGGTGAACGCCGATCCTTAAGGACTTTTGCCGTCGTCTCTCTCCGCCCACACCTCGCTTTCAATACCCGCATTCGACGCCTTACAACTCCAGCTGACGCCTTTCAACTCCACTCCGACGTTCGCTCGTATGGAATGGCCCTCAGCGCCGGGCCGGACCCGGCGCCGTTTTTCGAGTCGCGGCGGCGACTGACGTATTTTTTAGACGCGCCGGTGCGATACCTGTCGCTGTGTCAGCGGTGGTTGACGCCGTTTCCGAACGGGCGGCTCGTGACCGTCGTCGGCGACGCGATCGACGTCAGCGAGGGCGCTGAGTATGCGAAAGGTGGTAAGGTGGAGAGCCCGAGCAGGGAGGAGGTGAGGAAAGCGCACGCGCGGTATTGCGACGCGTTGTTGAAGCTCATCGAGGAGACCAAGGCGGAGGCGGGGTATCCGACGCAGCGGACCGTGCTCGTGTAGCGCCGCGGCGGCGGCGCGACGGACGGACGGTCGCGACGACCTGGTGTAGTGCGCGCGTATTCTATCGATAGGAGTAGCGTAGGGTACTGTACGCGTCGTGAGGGGAGTAGTCTGATGCGTCTTCGCGCACCGCGCGAGCTGCGATGTCGCGAGTCAAAGCGCCTGAAGTGCCCGGGGTCGGGTCGCGGTCGCGTTTAGGGTTCGGAATCGCGCGCGCAGATCTCACTCGCCCCCGCGCTCGACGCGTCGCAGACACCTCCTCGCGGTCACCACCCTCGCGCGCGCGCGCTCGCCGGCGGGATGACGACCGCGCACAGACCGACATGGGCGCCGGCCAAGGGCCACGAAGAGCAGGGCGGCGCGCGCATGTTCGGCCCCTCGCACAAGCACTCCAAGCTGGACGACAACGCGCACATGACGCTCAAGACGCGGACGGACGGTCAGCAGTCGATCAAGGAGCTCATGGCGAGAGACTTCAAAGCGGAGCTCGAGGAGAAGGAGCGGAAGCACTTCAAGAAGAAGCTCGGCGGCGGCGACGGCGGCGGCGACGGCGAGCTCATGCTCGGCGACGGCGGGATCGAAGAATCGTCCGCCGCGCGGTTCGCCCCGAAAGCGATCGACGCCGACGACAGCGACGACGACGACGACGACGGCGCGAGCGGCAGCGACAGCGACGACGACGAGGACGACACCGCGGCGCTGCTCGCGGAGCTGGATCGCATCAAGACGGAGCGCGCGGAGGAGGCGGCGAGGAAGGAGGCGGATCGATTGGAGGCGGAGGCGTTGGAACGCGCCGAGGAGGTGGCGGGGGGGAACCCGCTGCTTGACTTGAGGCAGGGCGCGGCGGACTTCACGGTGAAGCGGCGGTGGGACGACGACGTCGTGTTTAAGAATCAGACGAGAGGGGAGCCGAAGTCGCAGAAGCGGTTCATCAACGACACGATCCGGAGCGACTTCCACAAGCGGTTCTTGAACAAGTACATCAAGTGAGTGATGGGTGGTATCGTGGCGGACGTATGTACGTCGGGTGAAGTGCGTTGGAATCGGAAGTGAAAAAATTCATCTCTCATCAGACAAGGGCGCGGCGCGGCCGCGTAAAAACAAAACACACCGAGACGTCGTCTCGTTCTCTCTTCATCGTCGCTGTTCATCGCATCGCTCGCGTCTTTCGCGCGCGGTCCGTTCCGCCCTACGCGATGACGCCGTCGATGCCGTGGATCACGCCGTTCGACGCCGCGAGGTCGGGCTTCACGACGACGTTCCCGTTGACGACGACGCCGCCTTCGTCGTTCGTATCCACGACGAGCCCGGACCCTTCGAGGGATTCCAGCGTGACGGGGAGGTCCATGGCCAGCGCCTCGCCCGCGGTCACCGCGGTGCCCGCTACGACGTGCTTCGCTAGGATCGCTTTGAGCGCGACCGGGTCGGCGAGGACGTCTTCCGCGGTGAGCTCGTTCTCGTCCAGAAAGGTCTTGATGCGGGCCGTTCCGTACAAAAAGAGTTCACCGGTCAGTTGAAAGGGGACGCGATCAAATGTTGAAACCGATGGACGGGTGTGTAGATTTTATTGGACGTGTACAACTACGACACGACGCGCCTTGAACGCGTCGTCGGTGGGCGCGAAGACGGTGAAAGGCCCTTCGCCGGCGAGGTCGTCGATGACGGCGGACGCGTCGTCCTTCGCGACGGCGACCGCGGCGAGGAGCGTGGAGAAGTCCCCGTCCGCGGCGAGGACCTCCGCGAGGGGCTTGTCGTTCGCGAGTGGCTCGTCAGACGCCACCGCGGTGGAGTCGTCGCCGGTCGTGGTTTTGGGGGTTTCCCCGTACGTGTGCGCGTGTTTTCCCCAAGTCTTCCCCGCCTCTGCCGCCCCGGGAGCGATCAGGGCTGCGGCGGCGAACGCGGCGAGGGAGAGTTTGTAGAGGGAGCGCATCGTGCGGTGTGTGTGAAGAGATTGAAGAAGACGGGGCGGCGTGGGTGCGCGGGGTAATGAGAGGGCGGGAGACCCTGCGAGCCACGTCTTGTTATCTTGTCTAGTCCGAGAGGACGAAATACTGTACCTCGTTCGTCCTCGTTCGTCACTTCGTCCCAACTTCGCGTCCCCGCCTCTTTACTCGTGTCCCTCGGACCGTCGAACGCTCGTGAACACGTATCGTATCTTATTAAAACCAAAGCACCGCGTATTATCATATGCATCGCGTCGACTCGACGACGCGCGACCGCCGTCCCCGTGACCTCGGGGCCGGCGACCGTCCGCGCGTCGTCTCGACGACTCGCCCGCCGGTGGGAAAAACGAACGACTTTTTCGCCTTCCCTCCTCCACCGTCGTTCTCCATCGCATCGCATCGCATCACATCTCGCCGCAGTCGACGACGGAGACGGGCTTGGACGTCGCCCCGCTCTGCGATCCGACCGCCTCGACCGCCTTGACCACGTCCATGCCCTCGATCACCTTACCGAAGACGACGTGCTTCCCGTCGAGCCACGGCGTCTCCGCGGTGCACAGGAAAAACTGCGAGCCGTTGGTCCCCGGTCCCGCGTTGGCCATGGAGAGAATGCCCTCGCCCTCGTGCTTGAGCACGAAGTTCTCGTCCTCGAACTTCTCGCCGAAGATGCTCTTCCCGCCCGTGCCGTTCTGGTTCGTGAAGTCGCCGCCCTGGCACATGAAGCCCGGGATCACGCGGTGGAACGGCGAGCCCTTGTACCCGAACCCCTTCTCCATCGTGCACAGCGCGCGGAAGTTCTCCGCCGTCTTGGGCGTGACGTCGCCGCGGATCTCCATGACGATCTTCCCCGCAGCCTCGCCGCCGATGTCGATGTCGAAGAAGCACTTGAACTTGTCCTTGTGCTTCACGTCGATGCGCTCGATGGACATCACCTCGATGTCGAAGTTCAACGTCTGCCCCGCGAGCGGGTGGTTGCAGTCGAGGACGACCTCGTCGTCGGTGACCTCCGTGATGGTCGCCTGCATGCCCTGGCCGACCATGAGCTTGCTGCCGACGACGGCGTACTCCTCGCCGACGGCGTTGACGACCTCCGCCTTCGGGACGTTCATCTTGTTGGCGTCGTCGCGTTCGCCGTAGGCGTCCGCGGGGGCGCACTTGAGCGTCTTGGTCTCGCCCTGCTTCATCCCGAGCACGCCCTTGTCGAACCCCGGGATCATCATCCCGCCGCCGACGGTGAACGCGATCGGCTCGCGGCCTTCCGCTCGCGAGGAGTCGAACTCCTCGCCGTCGTCCAGGGTGCCGACGTAGTGGATCGCGACCTTGTCGCCCTTCTCGACGACGACGTCGCCGCTCGCGGCGGCGGCGAAGAATCGCGTCGCGGCGGGCGCGATCGGGGATCGGCGCGGGGTGCAATGGGCGCGAAGGAACGCGGCGCGAGGGGCGACGAACGACGCCTTGCGCGCGGCGGCGACGTTCACTGGCGCGACGCGCGTGAGCGCGCGGGCGAGGACGGACTGCATCGTGGGAAGTTTTGGGGGTGGGGCGAACGGAGGAGGGTGCGCGGGCGCGCTCCGAGTGCGTCGGCGGAGCGCCGACGTCGATTCCGAAACCCTCGAAACGTCGTGATGCTCGTGACGCGTCGATTCCTGGCGCTTTTTCGCGGCCGGCGCGATCGCGCGCGCGCGCCGCTCCGCACAACGCATGTCGCGCGCGTCGTCGTCGTCGTCGTCGTCGCGCGCCGTCCTCGCATCCCCACACGCACGTCTCGGTCGCGGAGGAGGAGGAAGAGCGCGCGCGAACCCGCCGGCGACCGCGCGGGGCGGCGTCCCTCGTCGCGCGTGGGCACCTTCTTCGCCGTCGATCGACGATCGCGCGAGAGGTGATCCGATCGCGCGCGCGATGCCGCTCGACGCGCGCGACGCGACCGGGTACGAGCCCGCGGACGCGTCGACGGCGTTCTTCCGCCCCGCGACCGCGGAGGACATCCCGCTCGTCGCCGAGATCGAGCAGTGCTCGTACCCCGCGGACGAGGCCGCGTCGCCCGACGCGCTCGCGTACCGCCAGGCGCACGCGGGCGAATTCTTCCTCGTCGGCGTCGCCGCGAGCGAGGAGTCGCCGGGCGAGGACGAGATCGTGTCGTACGTGTGCGGCACGCTGACGATGGCGGACGCTCTCACGCACGAGTCCATGACGACGCACGAGCCCGCGGGATCGACGCTGTGCGTCCACAGCGTCGTCGTCGAGGGCGCGCGGCGACGGAAGCAGATCGGCACGCGGACGCTTCGCGCGTACGTGCGCGTCGTCTGCGAGCGATCGCCGGCGGTTGAGAAGATCGTGCTGCTGTGCAAGAGGGAGCTCATCGGGTTCTACGAGGGGTGCGGGTTCAAGATGGTCGGCCCGAGCGACGTGGAGCACGGGGCGGATCAGTGGTACGAGATGTCGCAGAGCACCGCGTTCGCGCGGGCGGTGTTCGCGAGCGCGGCGGAGGAGGGGGAGGGCGGCGAGAGTTAGGGAGAATCGTTTCTTTTCCGACACGAGTGCCAGCTGTGTGATGGACGAGAGAAGAGTGCCGACGTCATCCATCCACCCGTCACCTCGCCACACCCCGCCGCGCCTCGCGCCGCCGCTACCTCTCTCCCCGCCGTCGTCATGTCGTCCTCCGCGCTCGCTTTCCGCACCGTCGTGTCGTCGCGCGCGCCGCCGCGCCGCTCGAAGACGACCGCGCGTCGCGCCGCGACGCCGTCGCCGCGCGTCGTCGTCGTCCGCTCATCGGAAGCGCAGCAGACCGCGTCGACTGAACCGGCGCCCGCGCCGGTCGCGCCGCCGTCCGAGAAACCTATCGTCGTCTTCGGCGCGAACGGGAAGACGGGCAAGCGATGCGTCGCGCACGCCGCGAAGGCTGGCGTCCCGGTCGTCGCGTGCACGCGCTCGGGATCGTTCGCGTCCGCGGACCTCGCGATGAGCGCGGACGATCAAAAGCTAGTCACCGCCAAAGCCGGTGAGTGCGCGCGCGACGACTGCGATTCATTCTTCCGTTTTCATCGCGAGCCGCGCATGATAACGCACGGTATCCTCCCGTTACTCGACCAAAATTAACTCACAACGCGTAACTCGCATCATCCATCCAGGCGACGTCTCGAAAGCGTCCCAGGCTGAGCTCGAGGCGCTCGTGTCCGGCGCCGGCGCGATCATCTTCGCCGCGTCGGCGTCCCCCGGCGGCGGCTCCCCGCAGGACGTCGACAAAGCCGGCCTCGTCGCCGTCGCGCGCGCGGCGATCGCTGCGAACGTCCCGCGGCTCGTGATCGTCTCCTCCGGGTCCGTGTCCAAGCCGCTGTCGCCCGTGTACGTCTTCCTGAACTTCTTCGGGGGCATCATGCGCGCGAAGGTGCGTTCTATACACTGGTCCCCATACGACCGCAATCGCGTGGTGAACGCCGTTTCTTAAGGACTTTTCCCGTCGTCTCTCTCCGCCCACCCCCCGCTTTCAATCCCCGTCCTCGACGCCTTTCAACGCCAACTGACGCCTATGAACTCCACCCCGACGTTCGCTTGTATGGAACGACCCTAAGATCGAGGGCGAGGACGCCGTTCGCGCGTTGTACTTTAATCGCGAAGACGCGGACTACGTGTGCGTGCGGCCCGGAGGACTCACGGAGGACCCCGGACAGGGCGTCCGCGCGATCGAGCTGAACCAGGGCGATGATAAGAGCGGGCGGATCTCGCGCGAGGACGTCGCCGCGATCTGCGTCGAGGCGGCGCGCGCGGCGGGGACGCCGGCGGCGAAGAACGCGACGTTCGAGTGCTACTGGAAGGACACCGCGAAGAGTCTCGGAGAGGTGGGACTCTCGAATATGATGGGCGGCACGTCGAACGAGGCGGAGTACGTCTCCGGGAAGGAGAGGCGCGGGGAGAGCTGGGAGGAGCTGTTCGACGGGTTGGAGTCGGACGCCGCGGGGGTCGCGCAGCAAGGGTGGGGGCCGTCGTTGTGAGTCGCGAGCGACGCGACGGAAAAAGTCCAATTCGTTTCCAATTCGCAATCGATCTCATCACGCGTCCTGTCGTCGAGCTACGTACCCGCATAACACAGCGCGCGAGCGTCGTCACTTCTTCCCGAAGAACGACGCCATCCCCATCTGCCCCGCGGGCGCCGCCTTCTTCTTCGCCGCCGCCGCCGCGGCTTTCCCGCCGCCCGCCGCCGCGGCGACGGCGGCGCCGACGACGACGGCGGCCACCGCGCCAACCGCCGCCTTGACCGGCCCGCTCTGTTGCGACGCGCTCGCGCTCGCGTTCGTCTTCTCCCCGAGCGCGGGGGACGCGTCGTCGACCTCGTTCCCGTCGTCGTCCACCCACACCGTCTTCGTCGTCTCCTCCCCGGTTTCCTCGTCCATGACGGTTACGATCTTCTTCTTCCTTCCCTTCCCGGCGGCGGCCGTCGCGGCTGTGAACTTCGCGAACGCGTTCACCTTCGGCGTCGGCGTCGGCGCGGGGCTCGGCTCCGGGATCGCGTCCGGTTTCTCCTCCGTCTCCTCGGCCGCGGGGGCGTCCAGGTCCCCGCTCTTGCGCTTCTTCGACGCGGCGGCTTTCGCCTTCGGCTCCTTCTTTTCCTTCGCCGGCGGCTTCTCCTTCTTTTCCTTCGCCGGGGCTTTGCTCTTCTTCGCGGGCTTCTCCTCGACGACGGGATCCGGCACCGGCGCGGGCGCGGCGTCGGGCATCTCGACGTCCGCGGGTTCCTCCTCCTCCTCCTCCTCGTCGTCGTCGTCCGAGTCCAGGCCGACGACTTTGCGTACGTTCCTGCCCCCCGCGGCGCGGTGCCGAGGCACCTCCATCTCGTCTTCGTCGTCCCCGGACTCGTCCCCGGACTCGTCCTCCGCCGCGATCGCCGCGTCCGCGGACGGCGGCGGCGGCGCGGGCGCCGCGGCGGGCGCGGCCGNCGGCGGCGACGACGACGACGCGAACGACGTGATGGTGCTCGCCGGGGCGAGTGGTGTGTTGGGNCGGCCCGTNCGGCCGGTGGTCGGCGGGGTCTTGAAGCGCGCCGACTCCGTCGCGCCGCCGCCGCCCTTCGCGACGGGCTTGAACCCCGCGAACGGCCCGGGGGTCGGTTTCGTCGTTTGACCCTCCGTCGTTTGATCCTCGGTCGGTTTCTTCGCCGCCGCGGCCGCGACCGGGGCCGGCTTCGCCGCAGCCGCGGGCTTCGCGGGCGCCGCCGCCGCCGCCGCCGCCGCCTTCTTCGCGCTCGGCCCCACCCTTCCCGGCTTGTCGCTCCTCGTCACGTGCGCGCTCGCGACGCCCGCGTGGCGGTTATCCCGCAGCGCGTTCGGCGTCTCCGGGGACATGTCGAACAGCTCGTCCGTCTGCGCGTTCACGCGCGCGGTCAGCGCGTCGTCCGAAGGGATCGCGCCGTCGCCCTCCGCGTTGGGACCCTGGGCGGAGAGAAACGATGGGCGAAGTCCTTAAGGATTGGCGTTCACCACGCCGACGGGGTCGTATGGGGAACAGTGTAAAGAACGCACCTTTTTCGCGACGCCGTACACGTGCGCGCTGACGACTTCGGTCATCCCGCCGCGGACCCTCTCGAGCTCGTCCGCGCCGCGCGCGAGCTTGACGACGCGCGTTCTGGACGCGTCGCCGACCGCGCCGACCCACCCGGTGACGCAGTACACCGCGAGCCCGCCCTTCTTGGCGTGGTGCGCGAAGAGGATCCGCTTCGCGGTCGTCGCGTCGATGGCGAACTTTCGAGAGACGTATTTGAACGTCACGACGGCGTCGTCGTCGTTCACCGTCGCGTCGATCGCGGCGAGGATTTCGTCCGCGGACATCGCCGGCATCGTGGCGAGCGGTGCGCGACGCGGGTGCGTGCCGTGCGCGGCGCTCTGCGTCGGTGTGGCGGCCGAAGAGGCGCGGGGACGGACGACCCCTTCCTCGGGATATTATTCAAATTTATTTTTTGACGATCCGAGAAACTGCTGAACGCGCATCCACGGCGGCCAGCGGGCAGGTCGGCACCGCGGGGGCGCGGTCTCGTCAGTCCTCTCGACGCCGCCGCGATGGCGCACAGCGAAGACGTCGTCGTCGTGGCGAACGGCGCAGTCCTCGCCGGGCTCGCGCTCGCGTCTCCCGCGGACTTCATCCGCGAGAGCGCCCCGAGAGGCGCGTACACCGCGGGACGCGCGGAGTTCGGCAAAGGGATGGGGTGGTGGAGCGCGCACCTCGCGCGCCTGCGACGAAGCCTTCGCGCGATGCGCGAGCGCGACCCGGGGTGCTTCGAGCTCGGGAGCGAGATCCCGGCGGACGACGATACGCTGGCGACGTGGGTGGCGCCGTCCGTGAAACTCGCGCTCGACGCGATCGACGCGAAGACGCTCGCGAACGCGAAGCCGTGCGACGCGGGTGCGCTCGAGATGATCGATGATGCGTCGGCGCGATCGACGCGACGGATGTTTTTTCTCTCTCCGTCCTTAAGGAATGAAGTTCACAACGCGAATGCGGTCGTATGGGAACCAGTGTGAACGCGCCTGATCCGTCCATCTCCGTCCAACCATCCATCTCCATCCATATCCATCCGTCCGTCCGTCCAAAAGTCTCGACGCTCTGACGACGCGACCTCATCCCCGCCGAATCGCAGTGAAACCACCGAAACAAGCGAAGCAGCACTGCGTCGTGATAATCGTCGCCCCCGCGCCGTCGGGGTACGACGTCTTCGTCCACGCGTCGCCGCTGCAGATTCGCGTCGACGAATTTTACCGCGGCGTCGACGTCGCCGTCCTCGGCCCGCCGCGTCGAAACCCCGCCGCGAAGGACACGAACTGGGTCCGCGACCGGCGGCAACTCGAGGCGAGGAAGCGAGAGGCGGCCGCGGACGAGGTTATCCTCGCGGACGACGACGGCGAGGTCCTTCTCGAGGGTCTCGTGACGAATCTGTTCGTCGTGGTAGAGACGGAGGATCCGGGCGGCGGGCACTTGCCGCGGCGACACGCGGCGTTCACCGCGCCGACGACGCGGTGCCTCCCCGGTCTCGCGCGGCAGGCGGTCTTGGACGCGTTGGACGCGGAGGGGATCCCGTGGGAGGAGAGAGCGCCGACGGCGTCGGAGCGGAGCGAGTGGAGCGAGGCGTTCGTGACGAACGCGGTGAAGTTGGCGCGACCGGTGCGGACGCTGCGGTGGCCGAGGGGGATCCCGGGGAAGTTGGAGGTGGAGTTCGGACCGTGCGCGGGGAGCGGGGAGAAGCCCCGGGGGGATTCGGAGTGGAAGAGCGAGGTGAAGTGCGAGTTAGACGCGTCCCCGGGGCCGGTGTGTCAGGCGGTGCTGCGACGGTTGAACGCGTCCATGGCGAGCGACGTGGGGCCGGCGCGGTGACGACGACGACGACGACGACGCGACTCGAGCGATGACGGTAATGTATTTTTTTCTCATCAGATCTGAGCGTCACCAAAAGTCGTCGACTCAGATCGTTGTCATTTCGCGTCGAACGTGTCGAACTGCCAGTTCTTCTCGAGCTTGAGCCGATACCGGTCGTCGATGATCACGATCGGTATCTGCACGTACGCCGGGTCCTCGCTCCCTTCCCCGGACAGATCCGGGGTCCACCCGTCGAACGTCGTCGTCATGTACGCCAAAAACGTCTGCGTCATGAGCGTCGACAGACTGATCCCCGGGCACTGGTGCTGCCCCATGCCGCCGGGGAAGTACGTCTCGCCGTTGACGACGTTCCCCGCCGCCGCGCCCTCGGGGAGGAAACGCTCGGGCTGGAACTTCTCCCGCTCTGGGTAATTCTTCGCGTCCAAAAACGGGATGCGCGGGTCCGCGGTGAGGACGTAACCCGCGGGGACGTCGTACCCGGCGAGCGTCCGCGTCGTCGGGTTGATCCGCAACCCCCCCGCGGTCTGCGGCACCGTCCGCAGCGCCTCTTTCACGCACGCCTCCGTGTACTTCAACTCCATGAGCGTCTCGATCGGCACGTTCCCGGACGCGAGCGCGTCGGGGGAGAGGACGCGTTTGCACTCCGCGCGGACCTTCGCCGCCGCGTCCGGGTTTCGCATGAGCAACCACGCGCAGTGGCCCATGCTCGCCGCGGCCTCGATGTACGCGCCCCACACCATGAGCACCACCGTCGTCGCGACCCTGTCGTCCGGGAATAGCTCGTCGTTCTCGTCCGTCGCGGTGCTGTACTGTCTCAGGAAGAAATACCTCGGATCCGTCTCGAGCTCCCCGGACGCGCGAACTCTCCGGTAGGTTTGCAACACGAACTCGGTCAGCGTCTCTAGCGCCGCCTTGCCTTGCTCGAACTCGTTCGTGAGCTTCCCGAGAGACAGTAAGCCCTCGTTGTAGTCGTACATCTTCATCATCGTGTCCTCGGGCGGGATCGCGCCGAGGAAGAGTTCGAACAGCGACCTGAGACAGTGCTGCCGGCACTCGTACCCGGGCTGCAGCGTCCCGCTCGCGAGTAAATCGCCGCGGACGAAGTCTCGCGTCTGCCGCGCGATGATCGGCGCGTAGTGCGTCAGCGCCGCGCGTCCCAACACCTTCCCGAAGTTGGCGCGCGTCGCCTTGTACTGCGCGCCGCTCTGCCGCAGCGCGCCGTACGCGGTGTGGAGCTCGCGGAACGTCTCCGGAAGCGCCTCGTCCGCGGGCAACTCGCCCTCGAAACGCTTGTACTCCTCGATGGCTTCCGCGCTTCCGAACACGATCGCGGGCTTGAAGAAGAACCCCGTCTTGAACACCGGCCCGTACGCCTCGACGCGGCGCTCGATGAACCCTCTCGGGTCTTGCAGGTACTCGAACGTCTCGCGAATGCCGCTGAGCCCGACCCTTCCCGGGGGCAGGTTGAGCGTGACCTCCTTGCGGACGATCGATCCGATGGCTTGACCGATGTCCGTCTCGAAGCCCGCCGCGCGCGTCGCGATGACGCGACGAGGACGGCGCCGTTGACGCGCGGGGCTCGAGTCGCGCGGCGCGCGGCGAATTCGCGGCGGCGGAGGCGCGAGCGCGCGCGCGGACGCGAGGGCGCCGGCGGCGGTCGCGGAGGTGGGCATCGCGCGCGTCGTCGTCGGTGTCGTCCGCGCGCGTGCGTGCGCGCGACGTGCACGTGTCTCTCTCTCGCGGCTTCCGAGACTCGCGCATCTGTTTCATCAGTTCATGCGCTTCGAGTCTGGTCGTCACAAACGATGGCGCCGCCCACGATGCGCCGCCCTCGCGCGCGCGAGGGCGAGGTCTCCCCCGCGGGAAAGCTCCTCCTCGTCTTCGTCGTCGCCGCGACGATCGTCTACGTCGCCTTCGGCGGCGGCGGCTCGCGCGAACCGATCGATCGCGCGACCGCGACCGCGGCCGCGGCCGCGACGGCGCGCGGGGAAGCGCGCCTCGCGGACGCGTCGCTCGCGAAAAACTTGGGGACGCGCGAGACGCAGCTCGAGCTTCGATGGGGCGTCGACCGCGACATCGCGACGCGGATATGCGCGAAGAACCGAGCGTTCGCGGAGCCGTCGGGGTACTGGGTCAGCGGCACGACGTTCCTGGACGACGAGGCGACGACGTTCCAGCACGCGGTGACGTTCCACGACTCCGCGACGGGGCTGCCGCTGTTCGTCGCGCCGCGGGTGCGTCGCGTTCGATCGATCCTCGCATCTTTTGGTTTTCGGAAAAACTTCGGTTTTCCTCGCCGTCCGCGGTGCCCACTTTTCCCGCCGCCGCGTCCCGTCCCCGTCCGTCCCCGCCGACGCGATCTCCATCCCCATCCCCATCCCCATCCCCATCCCCGCGATCGTCCCCAGGGCCGCACGTGGCGCGAGTTCGAGGCCGAGTCCCGAGCGCACGGGTGGCCGTCGTTCCGCGACGAGGAGGTGGTGTGGGAAAACGTCCGCGTCCTCGGCCGCGAAAACAACGCGGAGGTCATCTCCGCCGACGGCGTCACGCACTTGGTGCGTTCTGGTTCACACTGGTCCCCATACGACCGCGTCGGCGTGGTGAACGCATATCCTTAAGGACTTTTGCCGTCGTTTCTCTCCGCCCACACCTCGCTTTCAATCCCCGACCTCGCCGCCTTTCATTTCCACCTGACGCCTTTCAACTCCACCCCGACTTCGCTTTGTATTATGGAACGACCCCAGGGGCACAACCTCCCGGACGCGATAGGGAACAGGTACTGCGTCAACATCGCGTGCGTCGCGGGGCGCGCGTCCGAGGAGGACATGTTGGCGCGCGAGCGGGAGCTGAAGGAGGCGCACAGGGCGCGGACGGAGCGGGAGAAGAAGAGGACGACGGCGACGACGGCGACGGGCGATGAGGACGCGTTTAGGTAGCAGAAACAGAATGCTTTTTAGTTTAGAGACGTCGTTTGGAAAACCTCGGACTCGCCGTCGTCGCGCGTCAGACCGCGAGGAGACGCGATGCGCGACGAGACGCGGGCCGCGCTCGCCGCCGCCGCGTGCGGCGTCGGGTTCGGCACCCTCGTCGCGGTCGCGCTGTGGCGCGGCCCGTGGTCCGGCCGCCGCGGCCGCGTCGTCGTCACCGGCGCCAAGGAGTTCACGCGCGACGCGCCTAAACTGCTGCGGCGCGAGATGCAACTCCGCGCCGCGGAGCGCGAGGGACGCATCCGCGCGGAGCAAGCGCTGCGCGAGGCGACACTGCGGTGCGACGTCCTCGACGCGCGCGGCGGGCTCGGCCCGCCGATCGCGACGGTGCACTCGTGCTTCTCGCGACGGAACGGGACGCCGCGGCAGGGCGGCGCGCTCGTGCCGTCCGCGCGATGCGTCGTCGCGCTGGAACCGCACCTGCCGAGAGACCTCCTCGCGGGCTTGGAGGAGTACTCGCACGTGTGGGTGATTTACGTGTTCCACGCGAACACGAACATCGCGAGCGGCGACCGCGGCGGTGAGGGGGAGGAGGAGGAGGAGGAGGAGGCGACGGAGGAGGGAGGCGGCGACGGCGGCGACGACGACGCGCGGATGATGAGGGATTCGAAGAAGAAGTCGCGTCGAACGAACCGGAACCGCCGCCGTCACGGGCACAACGTAAAGGCGAAGGTGCGCGTTCCGCGGCTGAACGGCGAGCCCGTCGGCGCGCTCGCGACGCGCACGCCGCACCGCCCGCTGCCCGTCGGCCTCTCCATCGCGCGGGTGATCGCCGTGGACGTGGACGCCAAGACGCTCACGCTCGGCGGCGCGGATCTCGTGGACGGCACGCCCGTGCTGGACGTGAAGGCGCGTTCTATCTTACACCGGTCCCCGTACGACCGCGTTCGCGTGGTGAACGTCGTTCCTCTAGGACTTTATCTCCCGGCGTTTCTCTCCGCCCATCACCCCACGGTTTCAATCCCCGACACACCGCGACGCCTTTCAACTCCTGCTGACGCCTTTGAACTCCACCCCGACGTCGCTTCGTACGGACCCTCGACCCCGAAGCCGTACGCGCCGTTTTGCGACTGCGTGCCGGACGCGACCGCGCCTCCCTGGGTGAACGCTGTCGCGACCGACCGGGACGAGCCGCTGCGGATCGACGCGGTGGCGTCGAGCGCGCGCGCGGACGCGGAGGTGGGCGCGGCGTACGAGGCGAGCGTGAAGGAGCGACGGCGGATCCGGTTGGAGAGGGAAGGGCCGGAGTCGGGGATGAAGCAGAGGAGCGGAGGAGGCGGGAGGAAAAAGAGCCCCGCGGCGGCGGCGGCGAGCGTCGACCCCGAGACGCGCAAGCGCCTGAAGAGGGAAGCGAAAGAGCTGCGGCGGAGCGGGCTCGCGCCGCCGGACGCGCTGTACGCGTCCGGCGCGGCGTTCGTGGAGATGGTCAAAGAGGTGCTGGCGTTGGACATGAGAGCCGCGCGAGAACGCGTCGCCGCCGCCGACGCGAAAAAGTTTGACGTCTACCGCGTGACCCTGTGCGACGTGGAGGTGACGTACGTCGTCGACGAGGCGAGTAAGACGGTCACGATGACCGGCGGGAGAGCGGTGCCGCCGTTAGATAACCCGGGGGTGAGCGCGAAGACGACACGCGGCGGCGACGACGACGAGGAGGAGGAGGAGGAGGAGGTCGCGAAGAGGCGATGGAAGGTCGCGGGGGGCGTCGCGAAAGTCGGCGTCGGGATGGCCGCGGACGAGGAACTCGAGTTCGACGAGCAGACGGAGTGGAGGAAAGCGGGAACCGCGGCGTGGATATCCGCGAACGCGTCGAAGAAAGAATAGACTGGATCGGATCGGAACGAATCGCGCTCCATCGTGCTAGCGTAGTTTCTACCTTCGCGGAAAAAAATCCCTCGTTCGCCTACTCGCGGTACCGCTCGGACTTCTCCTCGCGCTCCTCGCGGCACTTCGCGCACGCCAGCGCACCCGCGACGACCGCGACGCCGAGCGCGAAGAACATCGTCTCGCGAACGACGCCCTCGCTTCGGTACATCTCGATCCCGATCGACGAGGGCCAATCACTCTCGGCCCAGAGCGCGTCCGCGCCGCCGGGGAGATCCTCCTCGTCCTCGTCCGGGTCCGCGACGTTCCATCTTCCCGCGTCCGCGTCGAAGACGAACCGGTGCGACGTCGCCGGGATGAACCGCGGGGACGACGCGAGGCACGCCCCGACGCGCGCGTCGGCGTCGGCGTCGTCGTCGCCGTCACCGCCGACGAAATTTCCGAGGAGCCGCCGCCGGCGCCGCCGCGTCGCCGCCGGGGCGACGGCGCCGACGCACGTCTCGCCGCTCGCCGCGTCGCAGTCGCCGTTCCCACCGCACGCGCGTTTAGAACTCGAAACACCGCTCGGGGCCGCCACCGCGGTGACCTCGCCTAAGAAGTGCCACGCGAACTGCGCGACGTCGCCCTTCCCGCGTCGCGGGTCCTGATCCAATTCCCGCCCCGCCTCCGCGACGGCGACGCCGGGATAACTCCCCGGCGCGCGCTGCCCGCCCGCGTCGCCCGGCCCCGGATCGTTCGGCGTGAACAGCGCGCGCGCGGCGTCGCACGCCGCGAGCCCGACGCGCTCGTCGACGAGGCACGCGGTGAGGTTCGAAGTCGTGGACGCGGTCGCCGCGTCCGACACCGCGGCGGAGACGGCGGCTCCGGACGCGGCGTCGGCGAACGCGAGGCGCGCGACCGCCCTCGCGACCGCCGCGGCCACGCGCGCCATCCGCGCCGCGTCGACCGCGTCCACGCCCGCGTCGTAGACGCCGCCGTAGAACGGGTCCGAGTACGGCGCGCCGTCGTGCTCGGCGAGGACGACGACCGGCGTCGACGCGTCGCGTCGAATAAACGAAAACGCCGACGACGGCGGAAGAGACCCCGCGGAGGAGGCGTCGCTTCCGCCGCTCGCGCGTTTCACCTCCACCCTCCCTTCGCCGCTCGGCGCCGCCGCCGCGCCCGCGATCAGCGCGTCGACGATCGCGTCCGTCGCGTCGCCGCCGTCGACGTTCGCGTGCGCGTACACCGTCGGCGTCGTCGTGGACGCGGGCACGCGCCGCGACGCGAGGCCCACCGCGCCCATTTCCACGACGGCGTCCGCGGACATCCCCGCCAGTCCCCCCAAGACGCTCGCCGCTCCGTCCGACGACGACGACGACGACGACGACGACGACGCGCGCGCGCGGTGCAGCTCCCGCGCGAACCGCCTCGACCCCGAGTACCCGAACGACTCGCCGCCGAACGCGGCGAACACCACGGGCTTCGGCGCGACCCCGGCGCCGATCGACCCGGCGGCGGCGGCGAGCGCGGCCGAGTACGCCTTCGCCGCCGCCAGCGTCGCGATCAACCCCGACCGCGCGCCGTTCGCGTCTCGTGACATCTCCTGAAACATCCCTCCGCTCCCGCCGTCGAGCTTGCACGCGACGAGGACGAACCCGCTTGAGGAAGACGAACCGTCGCCGAGCCCGGAATACGAACCGCCGCCGCCGACGGGCGGCGCGGACGCGACGACGCTGTGCGCGCCCACGGGGAGGCACCGCCCGTCGCGCACGCACTCGATCGAGTCCCGCGACGCGTCCGACCGCTTCGCGCGGCTCCGCCACCCGTCCGCGGCCATCGCGAAGTTCGCGCTCGCGACGACGCTCGGGCGCGAGTACGCCGCCGCGGCGTTCTCCGTCGCGAACTCCAACGCGCGCGTCGTCGCGTCCGCGTCGAGAAACGCGATCGGGAATCTGTCGAAGCGCGCGGTCGCCGCGCCGTCGCCGACGGGGTTCCAGTCGATCGCGATTGCCGCGTCGCCGCCGAGCGCGAGCGCGCTCTGCGGGTACCGCTCCGCGTTCGAGAACGCGGCCACGCCGTCCGCGGTGGCGTTCAGCGCGTCGTCGGCGCGCTCCACGAGGACGCCCTTCACGCGCGCGCTCAGCGTCCCCGCGGCTCGCGCGCGCACCACGTCCGAGAACACCGACGGCGGCGTCAGCAGCATCCGCGCCTCCTTCAACTCCGCGACGTCGCGCATCGACGTCGCGCGCTGCAGCGTCGCGACGACGCGCGAGCGCCCAGCAGGGGTGCTGCACCCCGCCGCGCCGGTGCGGTTCAGGAGCATGACGCACGGGGCGTGACCGATCGCGTGATACAAGAGATGCTCGGACGACGCGAACGAGGAGGCGACGTACCCGCGCCAGGTCCAGGAACGGTCGTGCGCGGTGAGGAGGACGATCGCCGCGAGCGATAGGAGCCATCCGCGCGCGCGCGAGACCGCGCTCGGCATCGCGCGAGGAAGGACGAGCGCCCCCGCGGCGCGTCGGAGGATGAGATGAGATCTCGACGAACGCGAACGAACGAAACACCCGCCCTCCCGAACTCGGCACCTCCAGCGTGCGTGTGTAGATCGGGCTCGTATCATACTGTTTGCTCATACGAATTCGCATCGCGTGCGTACTACTTCGAATCTACACTACTCGTCGTCGGTCGTCAAACGCCGTACGCGTGCGTCTTCGTCTACTCTACTCGTCGTTTCTACCATCCTCCTTTCCTACCCTGCGGAACGACACCGTCCTAGACTGTCGCCTCGCGCGCCACCGCTCGTCCGTGCGGCAAATCTGACGCGCGCTCACGTCTTTCAAGTCGACGCGCGCGAACCCGTCCTTTTCGTGCGGCGGCGGCTCGTCGTCGGAGTCGGCGTCGTCGGAGTCTTCTTTCTCGGTCCGCGATCCGTTAACGACCGCCGCGACGTGAGGGTCGCGACGCATCGCTAATCGAAACGCGGCGACGTCTGTTTCGAAGTCGCCGCTGAAGGCGGCTTCGATCTCGTAACTCACGCGTCGCGCGTCGTCGTCGTCGTCGGAGTCGTCGCCGTCGCCGCCGCCGCCGCCGCCGCCGCCGCCGCCGCCGCGATACCCCCACGTCTCCCACGGCCGCCCGCACACGCCGTCGTCCGTCTCCCCGACGAGCACGTACTCTCGCACCGCGTCGCACGCGCGCATCGCGGCCGTCCAGTCCACGCCCATCGGCTGCCAACACGCGAGGACGATCGTCGGACGGTACCGTTCGAGCGCCGCCGCCGCGTCGACGCGTTCCGGCGGTTCCGGCGCCCCGTCCCGGACGACGCGATCTCCGCGCGCCAGTCCCAACGATCCGTCGTCCGTCGGTCGCACCGTCACCGACACCCCCCTGGACGGCGACGCGCGCGCGATGGCGGCGCACTCGTCGTTCAGCGCGCGCGACAGTCTCCCGTCGCCTGCGCCGACTTCGAGAACTTCGAGCGCGCGACGGCGCGGCCGATCCTCGTCCTCGTCCTCGTCCGCGTACGCGCGCGCGCGCTTCGAGAGGTACTCCGCGAGCGCGCGCATGTGCTCGCGCGTGAAGACTTCGTACTGCGGCCACGTCGGATGCGGCGGACCGAGCGTGCCGGAGACGTACGCTTTCCATCGCGCGCAGCCCTCGCACGCGCATCGCACGTCGCCCTCGTCGTCGATCTCGACGTCGCACTCGTCGCCCGCGTAGAGCCCGAACTCGGCCTCGATGTCGCGGCTCGACGGCAGCGCGCTGCTCGACGCCGACGCCGCGTCGTCGCGCGCGGGGGGGCGCGGATGTTCGACGCGCGTCGCCGACCGCGCCATCGCGCGCGCCCGCGAAGTGCGCTCGCGCGACGAGACGTTATTTTTTCTTGGCGCGCGAATTTTATTTCGAGCAGAGATCATCTCAGCCGAGTGGATTAGGGCAACGACCGATCGCGCCAGACGACGACGCCGCGCGCGACGCGAACAGGGCGACCACCTCGGCGACGCGCAGCCGCGTTCGGTGGTGCTCGCAGAGCGCGTCCGATCAGTCCCCTTCGCCGCGGCGATGCCGGACACGCCCGAGAAGAAGCGCGGGCGAACGTCGCGATGGGGCGAAGGCCTCGTCGCGAGGCGTAAGCAACCGGGGGACGATCCCGCGGCGGCGACGCCGGGCGCGGGCGCGGGCGCGGGCGGCGCGGGCGGCGCGGCGAACGTCCCGCCGCCGCCGCCGCCGCCGGGCGCGAACGTCGCGACGACGCGCGTCCCGCCGCCGCCACCGCCGCCGGGCGCGGGCGTCGCGAACGACGCGCCGATCGCGACGATGCCGTCCGGCGCGAGCGCCATGTCCGTCGAGGCCGCGAAAGCCGCCGCCGCGAAAGCCGCCGCGGCGATCCAGGCCCAGCTCGGGATGCCGCTCGGGTACGCGGACGTAGACGCCGCGCCCGCGGACCCCGCGCTGTACCCTGGCATGCCCGAGGGCTGGGGCGCGGGGATGAACGAGCCGCAGAGACAAACCGCCTACGCGCAACACACGCGTCAAGCGCGGCGGCTGTACATCGGCGGCATCCCGCCGGGCGCGATCAACAGCGACGTGCAACGGTTTCTGAACGACCTGATGCTCAACTCCGGCGCGGCGATCAACCCGGCCGCGGGGCCGCCGGTCGTGGACGTGAAGATTCAACACGAGAAAGGATTTGGTTTCGCCGAGTTTACCAACTGCGACGACGCGCAATCCGCGCTCATGTTCGACGGCGTCGTGTACGGCGACACCGGTAGGAAGATCCGCGTGAACCGTCCGCGCGATTACGACCCGTCGAAGAACCCGGTGGTAATTCGCGACGGGCTGCAGATCGAGGGACCCAAGGGGATCGGACTGCTCGGGGAGAAGCAGGCGAACGCGCCGCCGCCGTGGCCCGAGGATCTGGCGATCCCCGCGCCGCCGCCGCTCGTGAGCGAGTGGCCGAAGCTCCCGAAGCGCACGCCGGACGGCCCGAACAAGCTGTACGTCGGCGGGTTCGACCCGCTGCACACGGAAGGGCAGACCCGCCAGGTGTTGCAGGCGATCGGGGAGCTGAAGTCGTTTTGCGTCATGCCGGACGCGCGCGGTCGGAACACCGGGCACGTGTTTTGCGAATTCGCGGATCCGCGGTTAACCGTCGTCGCGGAAGAGGCGCTCACCGGCGCGTGGTGCTTCAGGCAGCCGATCGTGTGCAAGCGCGCGATGCCGGACGCGGCGCCGGCGAAGGAGGGCGACGCGGCGACGTACGCGATCCCGGACATCGCGCTGCCGCTTCTCGAGGAGCCCAACGAGAAGCTCTGGGCGTACAACGTTGTGTGCCGCGAGCACTGCGAACCCGACGACGTCGTCGCCGACGTCGTGGAGGTCGTCAGGCGCGAGTGCGCGGCCGTCTCCGGGTGGGACGTCGAGAGCGTTATCGCGCACGTCGCGCCGGAACACGGGGACAAGCGGATATCGCTGGAGTTCGAGGAGGGCGGCGGCGGCGCGAGCGGCGTCGGCGGGACGGCGCTGGAAGCGGCGGTGAGGTGCTCGTCGAAGATGAACGGAAGGACGTTCGAGGGTCGGACGATGTGGTTCCGGTACGTCCCGCAGAGCGACGAGGAGTGGCAGCGGAGGAAGGAGAGGGAGGGGGTCTTCTCGCGGGAGACGGGGGCGGGGAAGGATGCGGCGGCGGCGGCGGCGTTCGGGGGGGCTCTGCCGCCTCCGCCGGTCGCGGAGGTGGACTGAGTCGAGTCGTCGTTATTTGTGATAGCGCCAGAGCGGCGTTCCCTCCGTTCTGTTCGACGCGTCGAGGCTTCCGAGACGACGCCCGGCGCCCGCGCCCGAGGCTTGTGCGACGCCCGCGCTCCCCTCGCTCCCCTCCTCCCTCCCGCGCACCGCGCGTCGTCGTCCGTCGCCGCCACACCGCCACCGCGCGCGCGCCATGGGGAACTGCGTCTGCAGGCCGCCGCGATCGTCGAGCGAGCCCGTCGTCGCGTCGGCGATCGCCGCCGCGGCCGCGGAGGGCGCCGCGCGCCTCGTCCGAGCGCCGTCGTCGCTCGAGCGGAAGGCGACGACGACGACGACGCCGCTCGAGGTCGACCGCGCGCGCGTCGACGGCGACGACGACGACGACGACGACGCGTCGAGCTACCGCTCCGGACGCAGCAGCTTCGCGTCCGACGACGACGACGACGACGACGACGACGACGACGACGACGGCGGCGACCGCGTCCCCTCGCTCGCGCGGTCGCCTCGAAACGCGACGACGACGACGACGACGACGAAGACGACGCTCGCGTTCGCGCAGCCCGCGCCGCCGCCGGACACCCCGCCCGCGATGGACGCGCGCGTGGCGCAGCTCCTCGCGAGCGCGTCCGAGCACCTCGAGGACGACGCGATCGAGCGCCTGTGCGACGACGGCGACGACGGCGACGCGGGAGCGGCGGCGGCGACGACGACGACGACGACGACGACGACCAAGAAGAAGACGAAGAGGAAAGGCGCTCTCGCCAGAGTCGCGAGAGTCGCGTCGGGCATGCGCATGATGCGCTCGATGACGAAAGCCGCGCGCGCCGCGGGCGGAAGCCTCGACCTCACCGCGTTCGCGGGAACGCCCATCCGCTGGCACGCGCGGACGTCCGTTCTACGAACGCACGCGGTCGGCGAATCGTCGCTGAAGCCGCCCGCCGCCGCCGGAGCCGGTGGGCCGGCGTCGACGCGGCCGCCGCCGCGGGGTTCCCCGGGGGAACAGGAGCGACGACGACCGCGCGCGACGCGGCTGTTCACGCAGCTGCAGCGCGACTTTGGGGCCCGGTCGCGGTCGCGCGCGCTTCGAGAGGCGGCGCGAGCGCGCGGGATCGCGGGAGAGGCGGACCGATCGCGCGACGACGGCGACGGCGGCGACGGCGACGGCGGCGACGAACGAAAATCCAAATTCTCCTCCCCCTTCTTCGCGGTCGAGCGACAGCACTCGATCGAAGCGCTCGAGGACTTCGCGGACCTGGAGGACGACCACGCGGCGTGGGATAACGTCAGCGTGGACTACGGCGACGACGGCGAAGTCCACGGAGAAGTCGAAGTCGAAGTCGACGTCGACGCGGACGAAGCGCGCGACGTCGACGTCGCGACGACCGTGCCCCCGCCGGCTTCAACGCCCGAGGGACGGATCCTCCGCGTCGTCCGCGCGCTCCTCGCGGACGCGGAACCTCCCGCGCACCTCCAGAAGCCGTTTAACCCCGTCCTCGGCGAGACCGCGCGGCACGAGCTGCACCTCTCGAACGGCGTCGAGATACGAAGCGTGTTGGAGCAAGTGACGCATCACCCGCCGGTGACGGCTTTTCACAGGCGAGAGGCTCGCGTCCGACCGCTTCCCGCGCGGCGGGCCCCTTTCGCTTCTCCCTCTGTTCGCCGCTCGCTTCGCCTCGCCGCGCGCATGCCTTCCTTTCAACGCGACTGACCGACGCGCGCGCGCTCGCGCCTTCCCTCGCAGCGTCGGCGACGGCTGGAGCGTCCACGGGCACTTCCGCGCGCGGCCGCGGCTCGTCGGTCTTCGCGTCGAGATCGACATGATCGGGAAGCGCGTCTTCAGAGTCCGCGTCCCGCCCGCGCGCGCCCACGCCGCCGCCGCGATGGACGACCCGGTCTACGAGACGTACGACACGACGATGGTCGGGTTCGAGTGGCACTTCGTCCCGCGGATGTACGTGCAGATGGAGTCCAAGGCGCCGTTCGTCGTGCGTTGCCGCGAGAGCGGCCTTCGCGCGGAGGTGCGGCACAAGCCTCGGAAGTTCGCCGAGGGCGCGAGCGGCGGGTTCAGGGTCATCGGGAGGGTATTCCGCGAGGCGGACCCGGAACGGACGCTGTTCGCGATCGCCGGGCGGTACGACGCGAGGGTCACGGCGACCGACCTTCGAGGAGTAATAAGCGAGGAGACCGCCGCATTGACCGCCGCGAAGAAGAAGGGTCGCGATCGCCCCGAGGTCGGCGTCCTGTACGACGCGTCCGAGGCGGCCAGGAAAGAGGTCGCCGGGTTCGTGAAAGAACACAACTGGGCGCACGAGAGCGACGGCGTCAAGGCCACGGAGGCGGTGTGGGGGGAGGTGATACGCGCGATGGAGCAGCGGCGTTGGGACGACGCGAAGAGGGCGAAGAAAAAAGTGGAACGCGACGAGCGGGGCGAGCGCGCGCGCCGGGCGAGAGCGGGGGAGGCGTGGACGCCGCGATGGTTTCGATGGAGCGAGGAGGAGGAGACGTGGGTGTTGAAGGAGGGGGCGTGGAAGATGGAGCGCGCGGAAGAGAGCGCCGGAGGCGCGAGCGCGGCGCGATGAGAGAGCGAACGTGTGTTGAACGAAACTTTGACGCGCTGTGCGCCAATACGGGCGATTCCATATGCGGGTCATTTGAAAGCAGACACGATCAAATGTTGAAACCTATGAATGGGTGAAAAACTCGCGATTTGACCGCACGAAAATTCGCCCGTTTTCAAATTCACGAGCGACGACGCGTCGTCATCACTCACCCCCCGCACGGAGCGTCCCCACGCGCGCCCGGCATCATGGTTCGCTTCGGCGGCGTCCCCATGGCGAACGAGTCGTCGGAGGACCCCACCCTGGAGCGGACGTTCCGCGGGCACAAAGACGCGGTCACGTGCTGCGCGTTCAACCCGAACATGAAGCAGCTCATCACGTCGTCGAACGACAACTCGCTCATGATCTGGAACTTCAAGCCGCAGATGCGCGCGTATCGCTTCACGGGGCACAAGGTGCGCGCGAGCGTCGCATCGCGCGTCCCTTCACGCCGCGGCCGCGCTCGTTCTTTTTCAATTCGATTCTTCGCCCGCGGCGTCCCCCGCGCGCTCGCTCTCGCTCACGCGCGGCCTCGCCCCTCCTCCCACCCCCGCCTTATTAGGACGCCGTCACGACCGTGGCGTACAACCCGACGGGAGGCTCCATCGCGTCCGGAAGCAAGGACTGCACGATCCGCCTCTGGACGCCCTCCGTCGTCGGCCTGTACACGCCCAAGGTGCTCAAGGCGCACTCGGCGTGCGTGCGCTCCGTCGAATTCTCGGAAAACGGCGAGAGCCTCGTCTCGGCGTCGGACGATAAGACGATCAAGCTGTGGTCCGCGCGGGACGGCAAGTTCCTGTCCACGCTCACCGGGCACACGAACTGGGTCAAGTGCGCGAGCTTCTCCCCGGAGAGCAACGCCGCGGTGTCCGCGTCGGACGACAAGACGGTGAGACTGTGGGACGTGAAAGCCGGACGCTGCGTCTACGTGATCGACGACCACTTCAGCGCGGTGAACAGCTGTAAGTTTCACCCGGACGGCACGTGCATCGCGTCCGCGGGGGACGACTGCGTCGTTCAGCTCTGGGACGTGCGATCGAAGAAGCTCGTGCAGCACTACGACGGCGCGCACGGCGCGCGCGTCAACTCGGTGTCGTTTCACCCGAGCGGAAATTTCCTCCTCACGTCGAGCGACGACGGATCGATCAAGGTGTGGGATCTGCGCGAGGGACAGCTGTTTTACACCCTCAACGGGCACGAGGGCGCGGTCCTCAACGCGGAGTTCTCCCCGGCCGGGGACTACTTCGCGTCCGGAGGGAACGACGACCAGGTCATGGTGTGGAAGACGAACTTTGACCGCGTCCTCGGCGATTACAGCGGCGGCGAAAACAAACCGCCGGCGATCGAGCCCGCGTCCAAATCCGCGCCGGGCGGGAAGGAGAACGCGGGCGAGGGCATCATCCCCGTGCCGTCGCCGCAGAAGAAGCCGGCGTCGGCGTCGGCGTCGGGCGGGAAGAAGCCGTCCACCGCGCCCGCGCGGAGCGTGAGCACGCCGCAGAAGACGCCGCCGCGGGTGCGGACCAAGGCGCCCGCGCCCGCGGCGGCCGCGTCGCCGCTGCCGCAGCCCGCGTCGCCGCTGCCGCAGCCGCCCGCGGCGCCGGAGCACCCGTCCGCGCCGCCGATGCCGGACGCGCCGCCGGTGACCGCGATCGACGACGCGGTCACGTCGACGCTCGGGCACATCGTCGGGCAGCTCGACGTGCTCACGCAGACGATGCAGCTGTTGGAGGAGAGGCTGAGCATGAACGAGGACAAGGTGAACAGGATGGTGAACATCATCGGCGCCGCCGCGGCGAGGAGTACCGCGGCCGCGGAGGAGCAGGAGGCGCAGGCGGCGAAATGAGAGAGCGCCTCCATCGTGTACGTAAGGTAGCGGAGTCTTATCATATCACATCGACGCGAAAGAAAAAACATATTACGCTCGTCAATCGTCGTCGTCGCAGAACCCCCCCGGCCGCGCCTCCAGCGCCTCCTCGATCTCCGTGTCGTACTCCGACCACTTCCCGTCCCTCCCTCCTCCCAACCACTCGCGATCGCCTCGCTCCGGCCGCACGACGCAGTACTCGTCCGGCGGCGGCGTCTCCGGCGACCCCCACGTCCACTCGTGCCGCCGCTTCAGCCGTTGACACAACTTCCCCATCGCGAGGATGAACAGAGACCCGAACAGCGTCGGGTACGCGACGTACCACAGCCCCAACGACTGAAACCCCGAGATGTCCATGCACGCCATGACCGCCGCCGCGCCCGGCGGGTGCACGCTCCCGGTCCACATCATGAACGCGAGCGATATCGACACCGCGAGCGCGCGGCTCCACCACGCCGCGCCGAAACAATGGAAGCACGCGGCGACGACGGCGCACGACGCGATCGTGGCGACGACGCAGTTGTACCACCGCGCGACCGGGTTGTCGATCGTCCCGAACGCGAGCATGGAGATCGTGCCCCACGCGCCGTGCATGAACGGCAGCCCGAGCCGCGTTTTTATCGACGCGTCGAGGAGACCGAGCACGCTGAACGTGACGAAGCACACGAGCGCGCCCCAGAAGATGTCGCTCGTCGGGCGCTTCTGGACTTCCGGACCGCCCGCGCGATTCGGGAGCGCCATGCGCGAGTACGGGTCGAGCGCGAGCTCCCATCGTCGTCGGCCGGGGTAGTCGTGTAAGTCCGGGCGTCCTCGCGGCGCGGCGCGGTCGGCGGGGAGCGGCGCCGGGCTGGAGGACGACGACGACGACGACGCGACGACGACGCGACGGCACCGACGACGGCACCGGGCGGAAGAAGATCGCGTCGGCCGCGGACGCGCGGCGGCGGCCGGCGCGTCGCGCGTCGCGCGCGCGCGCGCCGTCGCCGCGAGCGTCGAGCGCGAGGGCGTCGTCGCGAGCGTCCACATTGGAACGCTCCCGCGCGCGCGGCGCGTCGCGCGCCCGCTGGAACTGGCGCGCGCGTCGTCGGATGCAGAGAGTTCCTTCCTTCCGCCGGAACATCACGTCGTCAGCGGATGACGCGATCTGGTCGTCGCCAAAGGGTTTAGGGTTCCGTCCCGCCGCGCGCCTCGGCACACCCGCGCGCGCGCCGAAGCTCGATGCGCCTGGCGAGGTCGGCGCTCACGAACTTCCTCCGCGCGCCCTCCTCCGCGCGCCCGTCCGCTCACGCCCGCGCGCTCGTCCACGTCGTCCCGCGCGCGCCGACGAATCGCGCCCGCGCGCCGCTCGCGGAATCTCGCTCGACGCGCGCGACGACGACGACGCCGTCGATGTCGATGTCGATGTCGATGTCGATGTCCTCCGCCGCGACGCTCCCCTCCGCGGCGCCGCGACGCGCGCCCGCGCCGCACGCCTCGAGACGCTCCCCCGCGCTCCTCCGGGGGACGCGCGCGAGCTCGACGACCGCGGTCGCCGCGAACGCGGACGCGGCGGACGTCGCCGCCGCGTCGGAGTCCTTCCTCTCGGACGAGCTCTCGTGGCCGTCGCGGTCGCACGCCGCGGGCGACCTCCGCGACGCCGACGTCGGCGACGTCGTCACCCTCTGCGGATGGGTGGACAAGCAGCGCGACATGGGCGGCATCGTCTTCGCGGACGTGCGCGACCACACCGGTTTGTGCCAGGTGGTCTCGGACGCGGACACGCCGTCGCGCGCCGTCGCGGCGCTCGCCGCGATGCGAGCGGAGTGGGTCGTGCGCGTGCGCGGACGCGTCAAGGCGCGCACGGCGCCGAACGATAAGATCCCCACCGGCGCCGTAGAGGTCGCCGCGGACGAGGTGGACGTCTTGAACGTCGTCGGGAAGTCGCTGCCGTTCGCGATCGGGGGTGGGGGAGAGGAGGACGACGACGCAGCTGGCGGCGGCGCGTCGGAGGAGGTTCGGCTGAAGAATCGCGTGTTGGACCTGCGGCGGCCGCGGATGGTGAAGAACCTGAGGCTGCGCGCGAAGACCGTCCGCGCGCTGCGCGGCGTCCTCGAGGACGATCACGGGTTCCTCGAGATCGAGACGCCGATGCTGACGCGGTCGACCCCGGAGGGCGCGAGGGATTATCTCGTCCCGTCGCGGCTGCAGCCCGGCGCGTGCTACGCGTTGCCGCAGTCGCCGCAGCTCTTCAAACAGATGCTCATGGTCGCGGGCGCGGACCGGTACTACCAAGTCGCGCGCTGCTTCCGCGACGAGGACCTGCGCGCGGACCGTCAGCCGGAGTTCACGCAGCTGGACATCGAGATGGCGTTCACGGACATGGACGGCATCTTGAGCCTCGGCGAGGATTTGATGTGCGCCGCGTTTAAAGAGGGCGTCGACGTGACGCTCCCGCGGCCGTTCCCGCGGATGACGTACGCGGAGGCCATGAGCAAGTACGGCAGCGATAAGCCGGACGTTCGGTACGGTTTGGAGTTCACGACCATCACGGACATCGCGTCGAGGTGCGCGTTCAAGCTGTTCAGCGGCGCGGCGAGCGAGAACGGCGGCGCGGTGAAGGCGATTCGCGTCCCCGACGGAAAAAGGCTGTCCAACTCGCGGTTGAAGCCGAAGGGCGACGTGTGCGCGGAGGCCATCAAGGGCGGCGCCGGCGGATTAGCGTTCGCGCGCGTGGGCGAGGACGGCGTCTCGCTCGAGGGCGGCGGGAAGGCGCTGTGCGAGGGCCTCGCGGACGTCGCCGGGGAAATCATCGACGCGTGCGGCGCCGGCGCGGGCGACGTCGTTCTCTTCGGCGCCGGGGACGAGAGCGTCGTGAACAAGTCGCTCGACCGCGTGCGGCAATACGTCGCGAAAACGCTGGACATGATCCCGGACGACGCGCACGCGGTGTTGTGGATCACGGAGTTCCCGATGTTCGAGAAGAACGAGGACGAGGACCGTCTCGAGGCGCTGCATCATCCGTTCACGGCGCCGAATCAGGACGACGTCCGCGACGGCGGCGACATCACGAAGGCCAGGGCGGTGGCGTACGACCTGGTGTACAACGGCGTCGAGGTCGGCGGCGGGTCTCTGCGCATCTACCGCCGGGACGTTCAGGAGAAGGTGTTCGACGCGATCGGGCTGTCGAAGGAGGAGGCGGAGGAGAAGTTTGGGTATCTCATGGACGCGTTTCAGTTTGGCGCGCCGCCGCACGGAGGCATGGCGTTCGGGTTGGATCGCCTCGTGATGATGCTCGCGGGCGCGTCGAGCATTCGCGACGTGATCGCGTTTCCAAAGACGGCGACCGCGCAGTGTCTGCTGACGTCCGCGCCGGGGAGCGTCAGCGACGCGCAGCTCGCGGATCTGCACGTCGCGAAGAAGATTCAGCTGAGGGCGGCGGAGGAGGACGCGAGCGGCGGGGGAGCGTCGAAGTGATTGTCGTGAGTTGAATACGGTTGATCCGATCCAATCGTCGTCGATTGCATTTCGGAGGTACTTTACCTTCTAGGACCTTCGTACGCGGCGTAGTAGTATTACATTCGGTCGTTCGTCGAACGCGCGACGTCGCGCGGGCGCGTCGCGTCATCTCGATCCTCGCCCGTCGTGCGCGTGCACGACTGGGGGCGGGTCGGTCACATCGCGCGCGCTCGCGCGCGTCCGCGTTCGACGCGAAGAAGAAGGGATCGATCAATTTCGGCGCGCTAATCACGCCGCGGCTTTTTATCCGAGCGGCGGGTTCTTCCCGAGCGGAAGGACCATGTAATACGCCGTCGCCGCGAACACGATGATCGCGGTGTTCCTGTTGAAGTCGTTCACCTCATCCCTGATCCTCTGCGCGATCGATTTATCCTCTATCGTCTGCAAGCCGGTCCCGTCCACGTCCCAGACCCCGGCTTGCGCGATGTTTCACAGACCCGTGGAGCCGCTGCCGAAGAAACCGATCGCGAAGAACAGCGGCAGCGCGAGGATCGCGCGCTCGTTCCACGGCGCCCCTCTGGGGATTTGATACGTCATCAGCGCCATGCACACCGCGATGAAGAACACGCCGATCTTACTCCGTCGCTCGCGCTCGTCCATGTCGATGTTCGTGAGGTTCGTCGCCGCGTCCTCGCGCCTCGCGGCGGCGTCTTCTTCCGACGGCAGATCCTTCGCGTCGACGTCTCTCTTGAAGACTCCCGCGTAGACGCGCTTCCCGCCGCCAGCCTGGTACATCGTCTTGAACGACGTCGCGAGCGCGTCGTCGCCGACGTACTCCTCGTAGACTTCTTCCTCCTCGTCGTCGTCGTCGTCCGCGTTCTTCGGCTCCACCGGCACCGAGCGCATCTCGTCCCAGTCGAAGATGCTCTGGCGCTCGTCCCTCTTCTTCGACGCGCGAGCGACGACGACGTCATCAGCGTCGTCGCGTCTTCCGCCTCCGCGTCGCCGCGCGACGGGCACGGCGGCTCGCGCGCGCGCCGTCGCCGCCGCCGCGCTCGGACGGACCCGAGGCGGCGACGCGACCGGTGCCGTCGCGGCGACGCGCATGCCGGGAGTGGCGCGTCGCGGGCGCGGGCGTCGCGTTATCCATCGATTGCTCCGAGAAGTCCTCCCGACGCGTCGTTTGGCCGTTGAAGAAGAGCGCGACGAGTGCCGACTCAGATTACAACGACGGGCGCGGAGCGGCGACGCGACGCCCTCCGCGCCGTCATGAGCGATGCCCGTCGCGACGACGACGAAGACGACGACGATGACGACGCGCGCGCCGCGCGCGTCCACGCGGGCATCGCGCGAGGGAACACGATGCGACGCGCGCTGACGCTTCGCCGTCCCGGCGCGGACGCGGCGAGCGTCGACGAGGACGAAACCGACGACGACGACGACGACGACGACGCGAACGCGCGCGCGTCCGGAATGCCGCCGTCGCGGCAGATATCCAGCGCCACGGGCATCGCGTCGCAGGCATCGCGGCACGGAATGAGCACCGCGCCGTTCATGCGCGACAGCTTCAGCACCGCGGTCGCGAGCTCGAGCCGTCGCGCGGACGACGACGACGACGACGACGACGACGACGACGACGACGAAACGCGGCGACGCGATTCTTCGAGTCGTCGCGTCGCGGACGACGCGGAATGGCGCGCGCCGTCGCTCGCGCCCGGAAGGCACCTCTCGCGATACAGCGGCATCTCCGAGGTGGACGACTACGACGAGATCGCGTCCGACGACAGCGGGTACTCCGGCCTGTCCGGCGTGTCCGGGATGGGGCCCTACCGACGGTCGTTCGCGTTCGCCAACGTCGACGCGCTCTTCGAGCCGGCGCCCGGGAGCCCGCACGATCCGACTGCTGACAGCGCGGCGTGGGCGAGGGCGAGGGTGGAGCGGTACGAGCGCGAGAGGCGGTGGCGCGGGGACGTTGACGCGATGGCGCGGAAGGAGCGGGAGGAGGAGGAGACGGCGGCGGCTACCGCGGCGGCGGCGACCGTGGCGGCCACCGCGGGAACGCGGCCGGCGACGTTCAGTCGATCCCTCGCGCTCGGCCTCGGCGCGCTGAAGCTCGAGAACTCCGGCGTCGACGCCATCGACGCGCTGTTGTTCGCGCGCGCGCCCGCCGCCGCGCCGCCGCCGAGCGACGTCGACGTCGACCGGACGCCGCCGACCGCGTCCGCGTCGGACGCCGCGGCGGGGTCGTGGTCGAGAGCCGCGAGCGCCGTCTCCGGGGCGACGCGCTGGACGCGCCGCTCGCGGAAGAACGACCCGGACCGCGCGAAGCGGCGCGCGTACGCCAAGCTGACCGACGTCGCGGCCGCCGCGGCGACGCGCGATCCGGACGCGATCGACGCGATGTTTAGCCGCGGCGGCGACGTCGATTTCGTAGACGACGACGGCCGCGCCGGCTTACACGTCGCCGCGGAGAGCGGCTGCGCGCCCGTCCTGGAACGGCTCCTCGCGCTGAACGCGTCGCCCGACGTCAGGGGCGCGCTGGGACTCACCCCCGCGCACGTCGTGGCGTACTGCGGGCACGCGGATATACTGCGGACGCTCCTCGACGCGGGCGCGGATGTCAACGCGGCGGACGACGACGGCTCGACGCCGACGCACTGGGCCGCGTCCGCGGGGCGCGCACGATGCGTGAAACTCCTCTGCGACGCGCCCGACGTGGACGTCTTCGCGCGCAACAAGAGAGGCCTCGCGCCAGAGGACGTGACCGAGTCCGAGGACGTGAGACGCGCGATATCCGCGGCGAAGGAGGCGATGAATCTCTTCGACCTCGCGTCGGCGGGCAAGCTTCCGATCGCGCGCCGCGCGCTCGCCGGAAAAACGGGCGACGAGCTCGCCGCGGTCGTGGACGCCGTCGACGCGCGCGGGGAGCGCGCGCTACACAAGGCGGCGCGAGGCGGGCACGCCGCGTTCGTGGAAGCGCTCGTGCGCGAGTACGGCGCGACGCAGGACGTCGCGGCGCTCGACGGAGGCACGCCATTGCACGCCGCCGCGGAGGCTGGGCGAGCGAACGTCGTCCGCGCGTTCAGAGCCCTCGCGGGGTGGCCGGCGAAGCTGCGATCGCGCGCCAACGCGAAGGACGCGCGCGGTCGAACGCCGACGCACCTCGCCGCCGCGCGCGATCGCGTCGAGATCGTCGAGCTGCTGATCGACGACGCGCGCGCCGACGTCGACGCCGTCGACGCGGACGCCGCGACGCCGCTGCACCACGCCGCGAGCGCGGGGCATCACGCCGTCGTCGAGGCGCTCATCGCCAGAGGCGCGCGCGTTGACGCGGTGGACGGGCACGGGTGCGGAGCGCTGCATCTCGCCGCGGAGTGCGACCGTCAGAAGGTCGTGCGAAGGTTGCTCAAGCACGGCGGCGCGGACATCGCGTCGAGGAACGCGCGAGGGGACATGGCCGTGCACTTGGCCGCCGCGAGGGGGCATCACGACATGGTGTTCGGGCTGCTCCCGCGAGAAGAAGAAGAAGAAGACGACACGTCCGCGTCCGCGTCGCGCGTCGGCGCCGGGTCTCGAGTCGGGTCTTCTCGAGGCGGCGCCTCCGAAGTCGGCGCCGACTTCGCGTCCGAAGTCGGCTTCTCCGAGTCTTCTCAAATCTCCGAAGCCGAGGCGACGCGCCGCGCGCTCGACGCCGCGCGCGTCGAACGCCGCAAAGCGCGCCAGCTCGACCGCGACAAGCGCCGCGCGCGACGCGCGCGCGACCCCGGGACGCACTCGAACCTGACCGGCGTCAACGCCCCCGGGCACCGCGGGTGGACGGTCCTCCACTACGCGTCGCACGGGTGCCACCTGGACATCGTCGAGCGGATTCTGCGGAATAAAAACGCGGAGCCGTCGCCCGTGGACATCACCGGCGCGACGCCGCTGCACCTCGCCGCGGAGAGCGGATCCACCGCGATCGTGGAGGCGCTCCTCGCCGCGCCCGGCGTGGACGCGAGCCTCAAGACCGACGCCGGGTTCACGCCGTTGCACCTCGCGGCCATCTCCGGTCAGGCCGCCGCGTGCCGGTCGTTGATTCGATTCTCGCGCGAGCGCACCGCGGAGCTGATACGCGACGCGGAGGCCGCCGCGGAGCGCGCCGCGGTCTCGGGCGCGATGGCGAAGCTGCGGAAGAACGACGCGAAGGCGGTCCGCGACGCCGCGGAGGCGGCCGCGGAGGCGATCGTCGCCAGGGAGTTCGCGGAGGACGACGCCGGAGAGGCGCTCGACGTCGACCAACCCGCGGCGAGCGGATACACCGCGTTACACCTCGCGTCCATGCGCGGCCAGGACCGCGTCGTGGAGCTGCTCCTCGGCGAAGGCGCGAAGATACTCGCGGGCGACGACGACCGCACGCCCGTGCACCTCGCCGCGGAATGCGGCTCCGCGGCGTGCCTGACGCGTCTCCTCGCGTCGGTCCGCGACCCAGCGGCGATCGTCGACGTTCGCGCGGTCGGAGGCGTCACCCCCGCGCTGCTCGCCGCGAACCGCGGGCGCGAGGATGCGATTTTCGCGCTGCTTTGCGCGGGCGCGGACCCTTTCATCCCGGACGCAGAAGGGAACACGTGCCTACACGGCGCGTGCGCGGCGGGGAAGCCGCTGATGTTCCTCGAGGTGTTACGCCGCGCCGCGGCGGAGCGAAGACCGATCGCCACGCTCGACAAGCCCAACGTCAGGCGCGAGCGTCCGCTGCACTTCGCGTGCCGCGGCGGATCTCTCGCGATGGCGCGTGCGCTTCTCGACCGCGGCGCGGACGCGACCGCCGAAGACGACCGCGGGCGAAACGCGCTGATGGCCGCCGCGGAGACGGGCGCGGTCGGCGTCGCGTCGTTACTGGTGGAGCACGCGCGTCAACGCGGCGACGAGAAGCCCCTCGGACTCGAAACCACGGCGGCGAGCGTGCGGTGGACGGCGCTTCGGAGGAGTTTGAGCGACGTCGTCGCCGCGACGCGAGCAGTGCCGCCGATCGACGTGGCGGCGCCGAACGGCGCGAGCGCGATGGCGTTCGCGGCGTTCGCGGAGAGGCGACTGATCGCTTCGCTGTCGCACGGCGAGGGCGACGAGAAGTCCTTCGCCAACGCGCGCCCGAAATCCTTGTGGGACGTGATCAACATGGCGCAGGAGCAATATAAACGCCGTCAACGCGACCGTCACGTGAACCATCTCTCCGAGGTGGACGGATACTCCGCGATGCACGTCGCGTGCGACCGCGGCCACGCGGAGCTCGCGCGTCTGTTGCTCAACTCGGGCGCGGACGTCGACGTCAAGGACGGCGTCGACGGCGACACGCCTCTGCATCTCGCGACGCGCGAGGGGCACATGGAGATCGTGAAGCTGCTGGTATCGCGCGGCGCGTCGCAGACGAAGAAGAACGCGCTGTGGTACACGCCGTTGCACCTCGCGGCGAGGAACGGCGACGTGGAGGCGCTCAGAGTCCTCGCGGACGCCGCGCGGGCCGCCGGGGACGACGTCCTCTCCGAGGTGGTCAATAAACCGAGAAAGGACGGCACGTCGCCGCTGCACAGCGCGGTCGAGCTCGGGCACCACGGCCGCTGCGCGCGAGAGCTTCTGCTTCGAGGCGCGGACTGGAACGCGCGGACGATCCGAGAGGAGTCCGTGCTGCACAAGGCGAGCATGGACGGAAACGCGGTCATCGTGCGGTTGATTCTTGGCGCGCGCGAAGAAGCCATCCATCGACTCAAACACTCGATCAAGTGTCCCGATGCGTCCGATGAAGACGACGACGACGACCCTCCCGAGCTCGAAGACGACCCGCTTCACGCGAGGGACTCCACCGAGAGCACGCCGCTGCACTGGGCGTGCGAGGGCGGGCACCTGGAGACGGTCAAACTTCTCGTCGAAGCCGGCGCCAGCGCGAACATCGGAGGGATGTGGCGCGGCTCCACCGCCGTGCACCTCGCGTCGCGTAACGGCCACGTCGACGTCGTTAAATATTTACACAGCATCGGCGCGAACATGAACGCGCAGGACAGCTGGAACTACGCGACGCCGCTCATTCTCGCCGCGGAGGGTGGCCACGCGGAGACGTGCGCGTTCTTATTGGACCGCCGCGTCGACGCCAAGGTGAAGGATAAGTTTGGCACCACCGCGGCGCAAAACGCGCGAACCGCGGAGGTGCGGCACATCGTCCACGCCGCGGAGACGCTGCGCTCCGTGGTGTTGTTTCTGCACGGCGCGACGACGCACGACGCGTTCCTCGGGTGGAGAGACGCGGTGCAGCGCGCGAAGGTGATGCAGACGCGCGACGCGAAGGGTACATGGCAAATGGTGTTCGCGCTCTGGGGCAAAAATAAAACCGCGACGTATTATTGGCTCTGGCGGCAATGGGAGATGCGCGGGCGACGCCGACGACGGACGTTGGACGACGAGGAGGCGTCGATTCGCATCGCGATCGACGCGATGACCGATAACCCCGGATTCGCGGGCGTTTCCGTCGCGTGCGTCGACAAGCTCGCGCGGTCGTTCGAGGAGGTTTCGTGTCGGAGAAACGAAACCGTGTTCGCCGAGGGCGACCCCGCGACGTCGTTTTACGTCCTCAAAGAGGGCAAAGCGAAGGTCACGATGACGACCGAGGACGACGACGGGCGGACGCACGAGACGCGAGTCGCGAGGCTCAAGACCGGCTCCGCGGTCGGCGAGGTGGCGCTTCGATTCGACGCGCCGCGCGTCGCTTCGTTGAAAGCGGTCACCGACTGCGTCTTCTTACGCCTCGACCGCGACGCGTTCGCGGCCGCGATGGCGACCGAGCGCGCGGCGAACGTCCGGCTCGCCGCGATGGGCGGCGGCGAGGACCGTCCGCGGACGATGCTCGACCCGAACGACCCGGTTCTCGTGGCGTTCTCGAACGAGAAGCTCGCGCGGCCGCTGGAGTTTTGGGAACGCGACCTGCTCGCGACGCTCTTCTCCGTGGAGACGTACGACCCGGGAAGAAAGCTCCCGGCGACGAGCGCGGAGAGTCAGATCGACGACGGGTACGTCGGCCTCGTCCTCCGAGGAAGCGTATCCGCGGTGACGACGCGCCGGACGACCATCACGCGAGGGACGCGGAGCCTGGAGGTGGAAAAGGATGGCGACGTCGTCGAGGTGCGCGCGGGCGACGCGTACTTCTCGATGGCCGCGATCGACCGCGAGGAAGAGGCGTACGTGGTCACGAAGACCGGCGCGAGGTCGCGGACGATCACGCGCGTCGGCGTGAATAAGGCGTGGGTCCCCGCGGGAGGATCGCCCGCGGTCGTCGCGATCATGCAGGGCGAGGACGTCAAGGCGATCCCCGAGGAGTTGCAAGGGGTGCTGTTCCGGAAGAGAGGGTTGCGCGCGCCGCCGGAGTGGAGGCCGCCGCCGCGTCGGTCGCCGCCGGCGTTCTCCTCCGGGTCCGCGCCCGCGGACGCGAACGACCCCGCGCACGTCGAGCTCGCGGCGCTGAGCAACGCGACGCGGAAGGCGCTCGTGGAGGCGGCGAAGGCGAGAGCGGCGAAGGAAGCGAAGGCAGCCGCGAGGGAAGCGAGGGGGGCGGACGGCGACGACGACGGGAGCGACGACGACGGGAGCGACGACGATGGGAGCGACGACGACGACGACGACGAGTCCCCGATCGACGCGCACGGGTTAAAGACCGAACTCGTGACGGAGCTCACGGAGGCGTTCAAGTTCGTGGACACGGACAACGGCGGGGACATCGACGAGAAGGAGCTCAAATTCGCCGCGCGCGCGTTGGGATTCGAACCTCGACCGGAAGAACTGAAGGCGACCCTCGACGCGATGGACGAGGACGGCGGCGGGACCGTCGACCTGGGCGAGTTCATCTCCACGGTCACCGAACGCATCGCGGATGCGACGACCGAGGACGCGCTCGACGTCGCGTTCGAGTGCTTCGACGTCGACGACAAAGGGTGCATCGTGCTCGAGGACATATCGAACGCGGCGAAAATCGTCGGCGACAACGTCACGAGCGAAGAGCTCGATGAGCTCATGAATTTGGGCGCCGCAGACGTCAACGACGACGGCGAGATCGACAGAGAGGAGTTCGCGACCATCATGGACTTCCGTGAGTTGACGTTGGAGGACCGCCTCGACGCGGCGCGACGCGAAATGCGACGCGAGGCGATCGCCGCGGAGAACGCGAAGGTGAGACTGCTTCCCATACGACCCCGTTCGCGTGTTGAACGCCGTTCCTTAAGGACTTTTCCCGTCGTCACTCTTCACCCGCGCTTCCCTTTCAACTTTTGACCGGTGAGACGTTCGACTGACCCACGCGTTCACCCACGAAGCACGCGCGCGACATGTTGAAGGAGTACGCGCACGGCGCCGGGGGTGGGTTCCCCGGGTGTCTGAGAGATAAGACCCGCGCGATCTTCGCGGAGTTGCTCGGGCCCGGCGCGAACGTCGACGAGGATGAGATCGACGTGCGGCACCTCGTCGCGGCGTTGAAGCGCGACGCGCCTCCCGAGGGCGACGGCGCGTTGGCCGCGATGTTGCACCTCCCGAAGCGCATTCGCGCGGGGGACGGCAGCCGGGACAAGTTTGAGATCGTGTTCAAAGAGATCGACGCGGACAGGAGCGGGACGATCGACGTGGACGAGTTCGTGACGTACTTTAGGAAGCTCGCGAAAGAGCGGGTGCGGGACATCCTAGAAGCCGCCATCGCGGCCGCGGTGAAGGACGACGACGACGACGACGACGACGAAGAAGAAGAAGAGGAGGAGGAAAATATCGACGACGACGACGACGGCGGCAAGGAGAACGCCGCGGCCGGGAAGAAGAGCCGCTGGGCGATGCTCAGACGCGGCGGCCTGCGGAACCTGTCCTCCCTCGTCGGTGCGTCAGGACCGAACCACGTCGCGGCGGCGGAGCTTCCCCCGCCGCCGCGAGGGTCGAAGTGGGACGTCCTCCGCCGCGCGAAGCTCGAGACGCAAACGCGCGGCGGTTGAACGACGCGAAGCGAAGGCGCGTAGGTAGACGATAGCATACGATACTAAGCAGCGCGTCGTTCATCATTCACGTTAGTATCATACTGTAGCACACACACAGCACGATGCCTCCCTCACGACGACGACACGACACGACACGACGCGACGCGAGAGCGCTAATACGCCCACGTGAACGAGCCGTCCTTCACGTGCTCGGTCACGCCCACCGTCTCGAACCGACCGGCGTCCTCCCACTTTTCCAACCCGCCCTTGACCTCGTCGTACACCCTCGCCCCGCACGTGTCCGCGCGCATCGCGCACCACCACCGCTCGCTCTCCGGCCGATCTCGAAACACGCCGTCTCGCCACCCGAAGTGTCTCGTCAGGCAGTGATCCATGAAGATGTACGTGGGAAACAACGCCGCGTCCGCGGTGGACGGCTCCGCGCCGGCGACGAACGGCCCTTCGTCCGCGTAGATTTTCATCACTCCCTCGATGACGTCGAGCTGCTTCGCGATGGCGGCGATGCCCTCCGCGCGCTGCTCGATCGGCATCGGGCCGCGGTACATGACGCCTTGGATCGGGACGACGTACTGGTCGTGCACGCGCGTCGCCAGCGCGCAGACCGCGCGTCTCTCCGGGGACTCAGCGGGAAGAAGCGAGGGCCCGACGTCGGCGTGCGCGTCGCAGAGGTATCGCGAGATGACCTCGGACTCCGGCAGCGCGAGGCCGTCGGGGAGAACGAGCAGCGGCATCTTCCCCTGCGGGTTCAGCGCGAGGTACTCCTCGGACTTGAGCCCGCCGATCGTCCCGGGGTCGCGGATCTCGACCGCGTCTTCGAGCCGCTTCCAGTACATGATCAATCGGCATCGCGCGCCGTTGTTCGACACCGGGACGTCGTAGAGGATCGGCTTGTCCGCGGCGGCGGCGACGACGGGCATCGCGCGGCGTCGTTGGCGCGCGTTGGCGGCGGACGCGCGGCGGAAGAATACGTTTCGCGCGGCGGCGGCGGACGACGCGAGGGCGGCCATGCGGACCTGCGTCGGGCGCTCCGAGACTAGTGAAGACTCGTGCACCCGAAACCTGGGTTTTCGGGGGCGCTTCGCGCACACCGCGGCCGCGCGATGGCGTCGTCCGTCGCGGGCGCGAGCGCGCGCATGTCGCGCGGCGTTTCCGGCGCGGAGAGCGCGCGGGCGGCTCGCGTCGCCGCGCCCTCTCGCGACGCCGGCGCGACCTCGACGTCGTCGCGCGTCGCGTCTCAGCGTCGTCCTCCGCGTCGTGATCATCGTCGCCCCGCGCGGCGAGGCGTCGTCGCCGCGGCGTCCGGCGAGGACGCGCCGCCCGCGGCCGCGCCGCCCGCGGCGGACGACGAAGACACAGCGCTCGTCGACGCGCAGATCCGCGCGGAGCGCATGGCCGTGCGTCTGAAGCTCCAGAGCGCGGGCGCGAGGCGCGATCGTCCGTCTCTCGACGCCGCGATCGTCCGCGCGGGCGGCGCCGCGTCGTCGTCGTCCATCCCGCCGCGCCCGCCCGCCGCCGCCGCCGCCGCCGCTCCCCCCGCCGTCTCGCCCGAGCTCGAGCTCGAGCGCGCGGCGGTGCGCGCGCGCATGCAGCGCTTCAGCATCAGCCGCTACGGCTACGTGCGGCACGGCGCGAACGCCGGGAGGGTCGTGGACAAGCTCACCGGCGAGGCGCTCTTGCCGTCCACCGCCTCGAGCTCCCTGGACGACGAGTTCGACGACCGCGACAACCGGAGCGTCCAGGAGCGCGTCGACCTCGCGCGCGAGCTCGTGAAGCAGGCGGAGCAGGCGCGCGCGGAGGCGGAAAGCGAGCTCGAGGCGCGGCGAGCGCGGTTGACGCGGCTGTCGAGGGAGCTGGACGACGCGCGCGCGACGGCGGCGCGCGACGAGGCGGCGCGCGCGGCGGCGGGCGCGGCGGTCGCGGGAGCCGAAGAGCGACGGCTCACGCGCGCAAGTCTGGAGGAGAAGCCCGTCGCGGCGCCGCCGTGCGTCGGCGCGTCGAAGGCGACGCTGCGGCGGCAGACGACGGCGGCGGCGGCGGCGGCGGCGAGCGAAGACGAAGACGAAGACGGAGACGGAGACGTCGCGGGGTCATCCGAGTCGGACGGATCCGCGTCGTCGAGGTTGAGATCGCGCGAAGACGAGGCGCTGTCGCGCGCGTCCGCGGCGATCCGCGCGCGCGCGTCTTCGAGCCTGAGCCGCCTTCGCAAGCGCCGAACGTTGAAACGCGGGCAGAGGAAGGTGGAGAGCTCGCGCCCCGCGGCCGCGCCCGCGACGACGACGACGACGACGACGACGACGGCGGCGACGGCCGCCGCCGACGACGACGACGACTGCCGAGACGAGGGCTCGGACGGGTGCGTCACATCGCTGTACCAAGACCCGGTGAACGACCCGTCGCGCGCGAAATTCTCCTCGCTCGGGTCCGCGGCGTCGAACGCGCCGTCCACGCGCGCGGTCTTGCCGAAGCCGGTGTTCGTGCTGTCCGACTGCACCGGCGAATCCGCGGCGAACACGTGTCGCGCGGCGTTGACGCAGTTTGAAGACGTGAACAATCTGGAGATGCCGACAAACTTTTACGTGTTTCGATTCTTGAGCGAAGAGAGCGACGTGTACAAGATCGTGCAGCAGGCGAAAGAGGACGACGCGCTCGTGGTGCACACGCTATCGGACGCCGCGATGGCGACCGCGGTGGCGACCGCGTGCAAGCTGTACGACGTGAAATCCGTCAACTTGTGGGGTCGGCTCCTCACCGCGATGGAGGAGCACTTGGACATGAACCGCACGGGCGTGCCCCTGAGCGCGATGGGCCGCGGCGGCGGGGTCGGCGAGGACGCCGCCGGCGGCTCGCGGCCGCGTCGAGGACACGCCGCGGCGGAGAGCCTGTCGAACGACTACTACAAGCTCATCGAAGCCGTGGAGTTTACGCGGCAGATGGACGACGGCGCGCGGCCGGAGCGGTGGAAAGACGCGGACATTCTCATCTTGGGCGTGTCGCGCACGGGGAAGACGCCGCTGTCGATTTACTTGGGCCAGCGCGGGTACAAGGTGGCGAACCTCCCGCTCGTGCCGCGGGATGGAAAGCTCATGGTACCGAAGCAAATCTCGGACGTGGACCCGTCGAGGGTGTTCGGTTTGCTCATCGACGGAGACGTGTTGCATTCGATTCGAACGAACCGGCTCTCGTCCATCGGCGTGCGCGCGGGCGGCGCGGACGCCGCGACGAACGCGAGGAGGGAGTACAGCGCGATGCGGCAAGTCACGCAAGAGCTGAGCTTAGCCAAGGCGCTGTACGCGCGGAACCCGGAGTGGGAGGTGTTGGACGTGACGCACAGGGGCGTGGAGGAGACGGCGGCGAAGATCTTGCGGAAGATGTTCACGTCTGAAAACGCCAACAACTTTCAAGGGATGGTCTCGACGTGACGACGCGACGATCGATCGCCGTTCTGTGAGAGGACGAGATGTCGTGTCGTGTCGCGTGGTGGGTGTTTTAGAAAGAATCGTAGCATTTCGAATATTTATCAGACGGCGCCGTCCCTTATCATCCCGTCGTGCGTGATCGTCAGTCGGGACAGCCCCGCGTGCGCGCGTCGTGAAAACAACTCAACCCCCGGCGCGCCAGGGGTTTTTTTTAGGCCCTAAACCCTTCTGGCCGCCGCCGCCTCTCTTCTTCTCTCTCGCTCACTGCTGCGCGCACTGCACCCGCTGCCCGGACGGATCCTCGTCGTCGTCATCCATCGTAGCGTCCCGCTGCTGCTGCTTGTTGCGTCGCATCTCGGACTCCATGTCGACGTCGTGCATCGTGCACTCCTCGTGCGCGTCCGTGACCATCACCGGCGGGTTGATGCGCTTCGGAAGAATCTTTTCGAGCGTCTTCATCTCGTCGTCGCCGAGGTCTCCGGGCTCGGGGAACTTCACGGTGAAGTGCACGAACAGCTTGCCCTTCTGGAACGGCCTTCCGTGCATCGGCATCCCCTCGTCGAACACCGCCTTGAACGAGTTCGGCTTCACGACGTCGCCCTCGTTGGTCGCGATCACGAGCTCGCGCTTGTCCAGATGCGTCACCGTCATGCTAAACCCGCACAACGCTTCGACGAGAGAGAGCGTCTTCTCGAGGAACAAGTCCGTACCTTTGCGCTTGAACGTCGCGTGCTCTTTCTCCTGAACGACGAACACGATATCGCCGGGGATGGTCCCGGGGGCTTCGTCCGCCTCGCCCTGGAACACGATCTTCTGGTTGTTCACCATGCCTTTTTCGATGTGCACCTCGAGAACTTTCTTCTCTTGGACCACCTTCGCGCCGCGGCACTGCCCGCACTTGTCCTTCTCGGAGATGACCTGCCCGCTGCCCTTGCACTCGTTACACACGGTCTGCATCTGTTGCACCATCCCGGGCGCGATCTGACGAACGACGACGCGCACGCCGCTGCCTTTGCACGTCCCGCAGTGCCCGCTCGCGCCGGATTTGCTTCCTTTGCCGTCGCACTTGGGGCACAACACGTTCTTCGCGAGCGAGAGCTTCTTCGTGATGCCGTTGTACAGATCCTCGAGGTTGACCTTCAGCGCGTGGACGACGTCCTCGCCCTTCCGCTGTCGCTGCCGGCCCCCGCCGCGGCCGCCGCCGCCGAACGGGTTCCCGCCGCCGCCGAACATCGCCTCGAAGATGTCAAACGGCGATCCGCCGCCGCCGCCGCCGCCATCCTTCAGGCCCTCCTCGCCGTACTGGTCGTAGATCTCCCTCTTCTCGGGGTCGGAGAGGACTTCGTACGCGGCGGTGACCTCTTTGAACTGCGCGCGTGAATTGAATTTTGGGGGGGGGGGGGCGGTGGGGTCGCGAGCGACGTCAGTCGGTCGTTCGGTCGCGCGCTTCGATCACAGTCTTGGAAAGTTTTTTTCGGCGGGCGCGCGCGAACGAAGCGAAGCTTCGATCGATCGGTCGATCGGTCGCGCGGATGGATCTGACGCCGGAGCGACGCGTCGCCGCGCGGCGGACGCCCGCGTCGTCGCGACCGACCGCGCGATCGCCGCCCGCGACGACGACTACCGGGACGAACGAACGAACGGCGGGGAGTGACGGACGGACGGCGTCGGCGTCGGCGCGCGGCGGACGCACCTTGGCTTCGTCGCCGCCCTTGTCCGGGTGATTCTTGATGGCCGCCTTGCGGTACGCCTTTTTGATCTCGTCCGGACCGGCGGACTTGCTCACGCCGAGGACGTTGTAGAACTTGTCGTTGTCGCCCTGACGCGGGGAAGGCGTCGAGGAAGAGAGCGGGAGGGAAGGGCGTCAGCGCGGAGGTCGCGGCGCGGTGGGGACGCCGCGTCCGAGGCGTCGGCGGCGTCGGAAGGATGCCGAAGAAATAAATCTTTTCTTCGCGCGCGTCGCGGCGTCGCTCGCGCGCCGCCCCGCCGACAGGGCGGTTGACCACCGCGCGGGACGTCGCGACGCCGACGCGTCGAATCCATCCTCGCGTCCGCGGCGCGGTCGCGATGTCGCGTCGCGTCCGCGCGGCCGCGCCGCGCGCCGCGCGCGCGAACGCGGCGCGTCGACGCCGATCTCGCGACGCGAGGACGACGCGACGCGACGCGCGCGACATCCGTCCGCAGATCGGCGGCGATTGGAAGCGACCGGGGACGGACGGCGGACGATCGCGCCGCGCGAGGAGGAGGGCGCGCGTCGCGACGCGACGGAGCGCGCACCTTAGGGGGGCGCATCCCTCCGAAGTTCATCTTGGCGTCTCTTCGCGTGTCAGCGAGGAGTGCGCGGCGGCGCGCGTGGTTGTGCGGGAACGACGGAGGGACGGCGGGAGGAGACGGACGAGACCGCGGGAGGCGGACGGACGGAGAAGAAGAACCGCGCCGAAACAGACACAGAGAGCGTGCGAGCCACGAATCTCGAACCGTGACTGAAACGCATACGTTTTGGCACGTACTACGCGGAAAAACTACTCGACGGCGACGTCGCAAAAAGCCCCGCGATCCGTCGCGGGCGCCGACACAACAGCTCGACACCATGGCCGCGACCGCCGCGCGCCACGCCGCGTGCATCGCGTACGCCTCGCGCGTCGGCGCGACGCGCCCGTTCTCGTCGTCCCGCGCCGTCACCCGCGCGGTCGGCGGCCAGCGCGCCGCCCTCCTCGGCGGCGACGACGCGCGCGCGCGATGGACGGCCTCGACCTCGGCGAATAAATCGTCGTCGTCGTCGTCGCGCCGCGCGCGCACGTTTCTCACCGTGCACGCGAAGAAGAAAGGGTTCGCGGAGCTCCTCGGGAACCTCGCGCCGCCGAGCGCGGACGACTACAACGGCCGACCGCGCCTCGTGAAGGGAACGGTCAGCGCGAAGCAGCACGTCCCCGCGTCGATCCCGCGGCCGCCGTACGCGGATAACGGATTTCTCCCAGGCGCGTTCTACACACTGGTTCCCATACGACCGCGTTGGCGATGTGGACGCCGATCCTTAAGGACTTTTCCCGGCGTCTCTCTCCGCCCATCCCTCGCTTTCAATCCCCGACCTCGACGCCTTTCAACTCCATCTGACGCCTTTGAACTCCACCCCGACATTCGCTCGTATGGAACGACCCTCAGACATGAACGAGAAGTACCAAATCCACGACGCGGACGGCATCGCGAAGATGCGCGCCGCGTCGCTGCTCGCCGCGCAGGTTCTCGACTACGCGGAGACGCTGTGCAAGCCCGGGGTCACGACGGACTTCATCGATCAGAAGGTGCACAAGATGATCGTCGACGCCGGCGCGTACCCGAGCCCGTTGAATTACGGCGGCTTTCCGAAGAGCGTGTGCACGTCGCTCAACGAGTGCATCTGTCACGGAATCCCGGACACGACCGAGCTCATGGACGGCGACATCATCAACGTCGACGTCACGGTGTACCTCAACGGGTACCACGGCGACACGTCGCGGACGATCATGGTCGGCGAGGGCGTCACGGACGAGGTGCGGCGACTGGTGGACGCGACGGATCGATGCCTCGCCGCCGCCATCGACGTCTGCGGGCCCGGCGTTCCCGTGCGAAAGATCGGCGCGACGATCCACGGGCTCGCGGACGAGCTCGGGTTTGGGGTCGTCGAGAAGTTCGTCGGACACGGCGTCGGGTACGAGTTCCACAGCGGTCCGACGGTGCGCCATCATCGGAACAACGACCCGGGGACGTTGGTGCTGAATCAGGCGCGTTCTCAGTATACACCGGTTCCCGTGCGACCGCGTCGGCGCGGTGAACGCGATTCCTTAAGGACTTTACTTCCCGTCGTTACCGTCCTCCCACCCCACGCTGCTTTCAATCCCGACACACATCGACGCCTTTGAACTCCGCTTCTGACGCCTTTGAACTCCACCCCGACGTCGCTTCGTATGGACAATTACCCTCAGACGTTCACCATCGAGCCGATGTTGACCATCGGCCGGACGAACGATCGGATGTGGAAGGACGGGTGGACCGCGTTGACCGCGGACGGGAAGTGGACCGCGCAGGCGGAGCACACGCTGTTGATCACGGAGGGTGGGGTGGAGATTTTGACCGCGTCTCCCGCGAAGGCGGCGGCGGCGGCGGCGGCGGCGAAGTAGGTCTCGCGTTGTAATTCTGCCGTGATGAGCGAGAAAATAAACCGAAAACTCCAACGAACGCGCCTCGCGAGCGACGATGAAGGATCTGATGAGATCCTCGCGCCCCTCGCGCGGCACTGCGCGATGCACGGCGGACGAGGCGGCGGGCGCGGCGGGCGCGGCGCCGGCACCGCGGCCGCGCCGATCACCTTAGACGACGACGCGATGCGACCGCCCCCCGCGCAGCACGCGAAGGAGCCGTCCGGCGCGCCGCCGCTCTACCCGCCGCTGATTCGCATGCCCCCGCCCCCCGTCCCCACGGAGCGAGAGATGGAGCTCCTGAAGATAAAGCGCGAGCTGCACGCGTTCTGGCGGAACTCGTGCTACTACCTCGACAGCGAGCCGGAGCGCGGCGAGCACCCCGAGGTCGTCGTGGAGCAGTACGCGGACAAGGTCGAGCGCGAGCGCGCGAAGAGCGCGCCGTCGAAGCTCGCGCGGCTGAGAGAGATCATCAAGGACGACGCCGCGTACTTCCCGGCGGAGCTGTTCGCGTGTCTGGGGATCCCGAGCGGCGGAGACGGCGGGGCCGGAGGCGGCGGGACGGCGGGTGGGAAGGCGGCCTCGGGCGGCGGCGGCGGCGGCGGCGGCGGCGGCGCGCGTGGGAAGAAGCGCGCGAGAGGGGACGCGTCCGCGGCGAGCGGCGACGGCGACGGCGACGACGACGACGACGACGACGGCGGCCGCATCGGCCGACTCGAGAAGCTCGCGAAGCTGGAGAAGGAGCGCGAGGAGGAAGCGCGCGCGGCCGCGGAGGGCGCGGGCGGCGGCGGAAGCGGCGGCGGCGGGAGAGAGCTCCGCCGCGGGTCGCGGCGCGTCTCTTTCAAGGAGGAGGACAAAGCCGCGGCGGCGACCGGGGGCAAAGCCGGCGGCGGCGCGGGGAAACCGTCGACGTCGACGGACGCGGGGAAACCCTCGGGGGGCGGCGGCGGCGCGACGACGTCGGACGACGCGACCAAGGACGACGGCGACGAGAGCGACGGCGGCAAGGAGGAGGAGGACGACTGGGACGACGAGGACGAATACCAGCGCGGGGAGACGTTCGACGACGACGACGGGTACGAGGACGACGTCGGGGGCGACGGCGACGACGAGGCGTTCTTTTAGTTAGGCGCGTTCTATACACTGGTCCCCATACGACCGCGTTCGCGTGGTGAACGCCGATCCTTAAGGAATTCGCCGGCGCATCTCTCCGCCCACCCCTCGCTTTCAATCCCCGCCCTCGGCGCCTTTCAACGCCAACCGACGCCTTTCAACTCCACCCCGACATTCGCTTGTATAGAACGGCCCTTAGGGTTCGAGTCCGCGCGCGCGGCCGGCGGCGACGTGGTTCTTCAGTAGTCTATCATTCGCGGGGTACGTACTGTTCGCGTGATGATCCCCGCGCGCGTGCCGCGACGCTCCCCGACGCGCTCCCCACCGCGCCTCCGCCGCTTCCCCCCCCCCCCCCCCGCCGCGCTCATCATTGGTTCATCCGCCCGATGCGTTGCATGATGACCTGCCCCGTCTCGAGGTACCTCAGCGCGCAGTTGCTCAGGCACGCGCTCTCGTAGCGATCGAGCGAGTCCGCGGGCCGCGTCACGCACTTGTCGAAGCACACGTCCGCGAGCTTGGACACGACCTCGTTGAACATCGCCTTGCGCTTCTCCTCCTGCGGTGGGTCAGGACGGACGGACGGACGGACGGGGGCGGTGAGCGGGCGATGGGATCGGGGACGGGATCGCGGGATCGCGGGATCGCGCGAGAGGCGACGCGGCCGCGACGGAGGACGGGGAGCGATTATCGCGGGGTTCCTCGCGCGCGGCGCACCTCGAGGAAGTTTTGCATCTCGGGCGTGACGCCCTGCGACATCTTCGCGCGGTTTCGGGACCTCGCGCGGGGCGTTGTGCGCGGCCGTCCTCGCGAGATCGCCCGCTCGTAGTTTTCGTCGATGAGTAGGACTCGACGCGCGCGGGAGATTGTTTCGCCCGCGCGCCCGTCGCGTCCTCATCCCTCGCGGCGCGGCGCAGCGCGTTCCGTTCCTCGACACCCGACGCGATGGCGCTCGCGTCCACGCGCGCGATCGCGCTGGAGACGCCGCCGCGCGCGCGCCTCGCGTCGCGCCGCGGCGACGTCGCCGGCGTTCGACGCGTCGTGATGCACCGCGCGGAAGGTCGGCACCGATCCGCCGGGGGCGCTTCTTCGCTCCGCGAGCGTCGTCCGTCGTCGCGCCATCGCCATCGCCAACGCGTCGTCGTCGCCGCCGCCGCCGCCGCGGACGACGACGACTCGAACAAAGGCCTCGGCCTCCTCGAGTGGCTCGGCCCGGTGATCCCGCAGGGCGCGCTCGTGACCGGCGTCAAGGGCGGGTGGAAGCTCGCGTGGCGAACGATGATGACCGAGCTCGCGCCGTCCGACGACGCCGGCGCGTACGTCCGTCCGTCGTACGGCTTCGACGACACGCTCTCGAACGATCCCACGGCGAAGCACCCGGCGATGTGCGGCCGGTACGTCGTCTACGTCGGCAACGCGTGCCCGTGGTGCCACAGGGTCACGCTGACGATCGCGCTCAAGGGGCTGAGCGACGCGATCGCGGTGGTGAAGATGACGGACGACGCCGAGCGCGCTTCGCGGGGCGGCTGGGTTTTTGAACAGTTCCCGGCGTCGGCGCGCGACCCGGTGTTCGGGGCGAGAGACCTGCGGGAGGTGTACGACGCCGCGGTGATGTCGAAGGGACCCGCGGGGGCGCCGTACCGAGGGCGGTGCACCGCGCCGTTGCTGTTGGACGCGGCGAGGAAGACGCCGGTGTGCAACGAGAGCGCGGACATCGTTCGCGCGCTCAACGACGTGGACTTCGTCGGCGTCGGACAAGGTGTCGGACAAGGTGTCGGACAGAGTGACGCGGAAGAGGGCGTCGTGGAGCTGCGGCCCGCGGCGCTGCTCGACGAGATCGACGCGTGGGGCGAGGAGGTGTATCGCGGTCTGAATAACGGCGTGTACCGGTGCGGTTTCGCGACGTCGCAAGCCGCGTACGAGAGGGCGGCGACGGACGTCAAGACGACGTTACTCAAGGTCGAGAAACGGCTGTCAGAAAGCCGTTTCTTGTGCGGGGATAAGATCACCGAGGCGGACGTGCGCTTATTCCCTACGATCGTTCGCTTCGACGCCGTGTACGCGACGCTGTTCAAGTGCTCGAACGTCAGAGTCGCGGACCTCCCGTGCGTCTCCGGATTCATGAAGGACGTCTACGCGTTGCCGGGCGTGAGAGAGACGGTGGACTTGGCGGGGTACCGGAGCTCGTACTTCGGTCAGCTGTTTCCGTTGAACCCGGGAGGGATCGTGCCGATCGGGCCGACGGAGGCGGACTTGGGGTTGGGCGAAGACGCGAACCGAGGCACGGGCGACGTGTTTCACAGGAGATGACGACTCACTCGTCAGCCGCAGCAGAGAGAAGCGACGTTCTACGAGAATGAATTACGTTCTGATGACAAACAACTCCGTCGTCACCGCTGTCGATTGTGCGACGTGACGCCGCCTTCCCACACCTCGAGCACGACGGACGACCGCCGCGCGTCCTCGCTCACGAGCGGCGTCACCCCGTGCACGCGCTCGGACGGAAACACGACCGCGTCGCCTCTCCGCAACCCCTCGACCGTGGTCCTGACCCCCGCGCCGTCCGCCGTAAACAGCACGCCGCCGCCGCCGGCGTCCTCGCGGTCGAGCAACACGCTCATCGTCAGCGTCGAGCCCGCGTCGCGGTGCGTCGGATCGCTCACCGACCCCCCCTGCGAATACGCGTGATACTCGATCGACCGCACGTACGCGTGGCGGCCGCGGAGGAGGCCCCACCCGCCGCCGCTCTCGACGACGCACTCGCGCGGCGCGCGGCGCGCGTCGCCGCCGGGCCGGTCGCGCGCGTCGCCCTCGTCCGCGCGGTGCAACGCGCGCAAAAGCTTCGCGCGCAGACCCGGCGCGCGATTATCGATCTCCGCGTTCGCGTGCAGATGCATCACGCGGTGCGACGGCATGGCGTGGTACGCGTCCTCGACCGCGGCCCACGTCCCGTCCGCGCTCGTCTGCGACGACGGCGATCCGCGGTCGGCGTTGAGGATCGCCTCAGAGAGCGTCATCGCCAGCTGTTCTTCCTCGTCCGCGTCGTCGTCGTCGTCGTCGTCGTCGCCCTCCTCGCCCTCCTCGCCGTCGTCCTCCGCGCCCTCGCCGCGAAGGCTGCCCCCGCCCCCGCGCGCTTCCCCTCTCTCCATCCTCTCTCTCTCTTCTTCCTCCTCGTCCTCCGTGCGCGTCCTGTGCGGCCCTTCGAAGCCCGTCGACGCGGCGAACAGATGCAACGCCGCGCACTCGGCGTCGGTGAGCACGTTTCGCACGACGGCGACGGGCTCCGCGTCGGCGGCGACGCTCCCGGGGCCGCACGCGCGCGGCGTCGGCCGCGACGCCCTCCACGCCTCCACGCTCACGCACCGCGGCGGGACGACGAAGACGCCGTACTTGGCGTGCGTCTCGTCTCGGTACACCTCCCATCCGTCCGGATTCGCCGCGCGCGGGTCGAAGTCGTCGAACGACACGCCGTCGCGGTAATCGACGCACGCGTCCAGGGATTCGACGCACGTCACGATGGTAAACGGTCTCGGCGCGCGCTCCCACTCGCGCTTCAGCCACGGCGATATCGCGCGCAGGCCGTGTCCGGTGACGAAGACGATCACGACCGTCGGCGCGGGCGTCCCCGGCGCGAGCGCGTCGTCGCGGCCCAGGACGCCCTCCGGCGCGGCGGTCACGTCCGCGAGATGCCATCGGCACAGGGTATCCACGACGGGCCCGCGAGACTTGGCCCTCGACGCGCACCGCCGCAGGCACGTCGCGTCGATCTCCACGCCGACGCACCGGCATCCGTACCGCGCGGCGGCGTCGTGAAGGACGCGTCCGTCGCCGCACCCTAGGTCCCACACGACGGAGTCGCGCGTCAGCCGCGCGGCGTCGTAGACGACGGGAAGCCGAGAGGCGCAGCACGGCGCGAACGGGGATATCGAACGCGGACCCGCGTGCGAGTGCGGATCGTCCGTGTACAGGCGCGCGGTGAGGACGTGCTCGCGCGCGAGCGCGGACTGCTCCGCCTCGCACAGGTCGAGCGTCATGACGGTCAGCGGCGGCGGCGTGTACCTCGGCGCGGACTGCGGCGCCGCGCCGATCTCGCCGACGTCCACGTACGCGGCGACGACGGGCGCGCGCGGCGTGGAGTGTGTGTGTGTGGAGTGGCGACGTGGGTCGGAGAACGAAAACCCTGCACGAGCGAGCGGCCTACTCTTTCACATTTGATGATGTCGACGACGCCCGCGCCCGCGCCCGCGCCCGCCCAAGCCGCTAATAACGCTCGCACTCCTACCCGCTACCCGAGCAACCGCATGAGGCTCATCCCTAACGCCCCCATGGACATCACCGCGCCTATGCTGTACTTGATCACGTCGCTCTTCGCCGCCTCTATGTGCGTGCGCATGTTTGAGATCTCCCGGTCCAGCCGCAACTCCATCGCCGCCGTCTTGTTATCCTGCTGCTGCAAGTCGTCCCGTATGCGCCCGCGCTCGAGGTTTAGGTCCAGCTTCTGCGACGACGACACCTTCTCGTGCGTGTACCGCAGCTCCGCGCGGAGCTTCTCGCACTCGGCCATGACCACGTCGCTGAGGTGCTTCGAAGCGCTCGACGCCTCTCGGTGCCGCGCCTGTAAATCTTGTTGAAATTCACGAAAGTCCCCGCGCTGGCTCAGGACGTGCCTGTCCAGGTCCGCCTTGGACGCGAGCGGCTCCGTCGCGCGCTTCACCGCGTCTAACGTCGTCCGCACGATCGTCTCCGCCTGCGACGCGGAGAACCCCGCGCGCTCGCACGCGCGGAGCATCTCCAGGGTGTCCACGACGACGACCTCGCTGCGACGCCCGCGCTCGTCCTGAAGAGACGGCGACGCCGCGCCCGTCCACGGGCGATTCGGGATGGACGACGGCCCCGGCGTCGCCGCCTGGTTCGCCGCGCTCTTGATTCGCGCCTCCGCGGCGGCGCTGCCCTGCGACACCGGCGGCGAAGGCGAAGGCGAAGGCGTCGACGGCGACGTCGGGACGTCCGACGACGCGGAGGAGGAGGAGGAGGAAGCCTCGGAGGACGATCTCGTCGCCGCGGCCTGCGCGTCGTGACGACGCGCGGCGCGCTGCGACGGCGGCGGCGCGGGTTCGACGGCGCGCCACGCTCGGGGTGCGAGCCGCGACAGCGCGCGGAGACGCGTCATGTTTTCGGAGCGCGCGCGGTCGCGTGTGGCCGCGCGCCGAATGCATTTTGGTTATTAAAGCGCGTGCGCTCATGTTTCACGCCGTCATCACGCGCTCGCGTTTCCTCCAGACCCGACAGCGCGCCGCACGCGTTCGCGATGGCGTCCCTTCTCGCGGCGGCGTCCGCGATGCGGGCCGACCCGCGATGCGTCTCTCTCGCGTCGTCGCGTCGCCCGACCGCGGGGCTTCGCGCGACGACGACGCCGACGACGCGCCCCCACAGGGCGGGTGGGAATTCCTCCTCCCGATCCGCCCGGGCGTTAACAACGATCTCCTTCGCGGCGGACGCCCGCCCGGCGCAGTGGCCCGGGCTCCCGAAGGAGCCGAAGAAGAAATCCGGCGCCGGCGGCAGAGGCGGCGGCCGAGGCGGCGGCCGAGGCGGCGGCAGAGGCGGCGGCAGAGGCGGCGGCAGAGGCGGCCGAAGAAAGACCGCGTCGTCCGAGCGACGCGAGAAGCGCGACGACGCGGCGCGGGATCCCTCCGACGGCACGACCGCGTGGCGTCTGTTCGACGTGAAACTCTCCGTGGAAGACGACCCGGGGAAGGACTCCAACGACGTCACGGACGCGCTGCGACGCGCGGTCGCCGTCGAGCTCGGCCTCCCCGCGGACGCGCGGCGAGAGGACGGATCGCCGTTGCTGAGAGACGGCGAGACCTACGGCGTGCGCGTCGTGCGCAAGTCGTGCGACGCGAGGAAAATCCCGCCCGTGTTCAACTACGTCGTGGACGTGGACGACTCCGCGATCAACTCCGCGACGGTCGCGATGGGCTCGATCAAGCCGCTGAAGGTCAAGACGCGCGCGAAGGTGTGCGAGCGCGCGCCCGCGGAGGAGACTCCTTCGTCGCCGTTTGGTCTCAGAACTTCCGCCGCGGAGGGCGTCTTGTACGCCGTCGCCGCGCCGCCGAAATCGCTCGGCGCCGTCGGCGCGCCCCCCGTCGTCGTCGTCGGCCTCGGGCCCGCGGGTCTGTTCGCCGCGCTCGCGCTCGCGGAGACGGGCGCGAACGTCGTCGTGTTGGAGAGAGGGCAGCCGGTGGAGAGACGCGGACGAGACATCGGCGCGTTGTTCGCGCGGCGGAGGTTAAACGAGGACAGCAACCTGTGCTACGGCGAAGGCGGCGCGGGGACGTGGAGCGACGGGAAGCTCACGACGCGGATCGGGAGGAACAGCGAGGACGTGCGCGCGGTGTTGCGCGCGCTCGTGGAGTTTGGCGCGCCGGAGGGGATACTCGTGACGGGAAAGCCGCACCTCGGGACGGATCGGCTCGTGAAAATTTTACGAAACGCGAGGGCGTATCTCGCGTCCAGGGGCGTCGAGATTCGCTTCGGGGTGACCGTGGACGAGATCGCGTTCGAGGACGTCGACGCGGCGATCGCCGCGGGGTCGCTCGCGCGGACGAGGCGCGCGGTCGGCGTCCGTGCGAGGGTGAACGACGGAGGAGGAGGAGGAGAGGGAGAGGAGGACGCGAACGCCGTCTACGTCGCCGCGTCCGCCGTCGTCCTCGCGTCCGGGCACTCCGCGCGCGGTCTGTTCGAGTCCATGCACCGCGACGGCGTGTCGCTCGCGTACCAGCCGTTCGCGGCCGGGTTTCGCATCGAGCACCCGCAGGCGCTCATGGACGAGTTGCAGTACGGCGCGGAGTTGGCGGCGCTCGCGAGCCGAGGGAAGGGGCCGCTGCCGGTGGCGGATTACCGCCTCGCGCATCAGTGCGTCGGTCCCGGCGCGGGCGCGCGCGACGGCGGGCGAGGGTCGCCCGCGCGCGCGTGTTACTCTTTCTGCATGTGCCCCGGCGGGCAGATCGTCCCGACGTCCACCGATCCGAACGAGCTCTGCGTGAACGGGATGAGTTTTAGCGCGCGCGGCGGCAAGTGGGCGAACAGCGGTCTGGTCAGCACGATAACGGAAGAAGACGCGTTGCCGTTTTGTGAATCCCCCGGACGGGAGGCGTTATCTGGGCTGGATTTCCAGAGGCACATCGAGAGGAAAGCCGCGGAGATGGGCGGCGGCGACCTCGTCGTCCCAGTGCAGACTGCGGCGGATTTCATCGCGGGGAGAGACTCCGCCGTCGAGTCTCTGCCTCCGTCGTCGTACCGACTGGGCGTGAAACCCGCGCGTTTGGACCTTCTCTACCCGCCCGCGGTGACCGAGACCGTGCGCGAGGCCCTCCTCGCGTTCGACGAGAAGATGCCCGGATACGCTGGCGCGCGAGCGTTGCTTCACGCGCCGGAGGCGCGGACGAGTTCTCCCGTCCGAATCGTGCGGAGTAAGGTGGACATGCAGAGCGAGAGCGCGAGGGGGTTGTTCCCCGTGGGCGAGGGCGCGGGGTACGCGGGCGGAATCGTCAGCGCGGCGGTCGACGGGCTCCACGCCGGCGTCGCGGTCGCGGCGTTCGTCGAGGCGTCGACCGGGAGGTAGCGGGCGTCGATCTTTTTGAATAGCCGAGTACGTGTACACATAGTCGAAAATCGTATGACGCCCAGTCAGCATTTTTTTCCGACATTTTCCGGGCCACCGAACAGGTTATCAGGAGGTGCCCGAACGTGATACACATGGGCTACATAACTCTCATTGTCCCAGAGGCGCGGGGGCGTTCGGGCTCGCCCGGCATGAGAAACGCGCGCGTCCGCCTCGGGATGATCTTTTTCGCGGGGATCGTCCTCCTCGCCAGCACGACGAGCGCTCCTTTCGATCGCTCCGAGCCGCGATCCGAAGCGACCGGATCTTCACCAGGCGGGCGGGCGTCGATTATTCGGGCGGGCGACATTTATCCGGGCGGGCGTCGATTGTTGGCCGCGGCTCTCACGTTTAGCGAGCAAGCTAAGTTTACGGCTTCGGACGGTGTAGGTGGTGATAACTTTGGTGGGACCGTTTCCGTGAGTGGAGATTACGCGCTCGTTGGATCAGGTCTCGACGACGACAACGGTGACGCTAGCGGCAGCGTGTACGTGTTCCAGAGATCTGGACAGACGTGGAGTCAGGTGGGCAAGCTCACAGCGAGTGACGCATCAAGTTCGATGAAATTCGGTTGTTGCGTCTCCCAATCGGGAGACTATGCTCTCATCGGAGCATGTGGATCGAACGCAGGATACCCCGGCAAAGCGTATGTCTTCTTGCGCTCCGGGTCGACATACACGGAGCAGCATAGCTTCAGGGGTTCGGATACGTCGGGTGGTCATTATTTTGGTATAACATGTTCACTGTCAGGCGATTACGCCATCGTGGGAGCACCCTATACAACAGTGAGTGGAAATGGACAGGCTGGCAACGCATATATATTCGTGCGTTCTGGAGCGACTTGGTCGCAGCAAGCGAAGCTTACGGCGCCGGAAGTAACCTCGACGGATTGGTTTGGCCAATCGGTGAGCTTGTCGGGTGACTACGCCATCGTTAGCCAGAGCCTTGACGACGACAATGGTCTATCAAACAGTGGAAGCGCACACATATTCGTGCGTTCTGGGACGACGTGGTCGTCGCAGGCGGAGTTGCATGCTTCAGACACTTCGGCCGGCGACTCTTTCGGTAGTGCCGTGTCCATTTCGGGCGACACTGCCCTTCTTGGAGCTTATGGAGATGATGGCACGGGAAGCGCATACGTCTTCACGCGCTCAGGGACTACTTGGACGGAACAAGCAAAGCTGAAGGCAACGGCATCGGACGGGACTAGGCAGTTCGGCTACTCTGTCGCAATTCTGGGTGATGTCGCACTTATTGGTGATTATAAGACTGGGAGTGTTCCCAGTCGCGGCGTTTATGTATCCACGCGTTCAGGGGTGACCTGGTCGGTTCCGACGAAATATGACAGTTCAGACGGGGCGACAGGCGACGGCTTTGGCGTGGCAGTTGGACTGTCGACTACTAACGACTTCGTCGTCGGAGCAATCAAAGCCGACAAAGCATACGTATTTAAGTCTATGTGCGACGCCTCCACCGCTCCGACGAACGGCGGCGTCGGCACGTGCACGAACCAGCTCGCGTACGGATCGACGTGTCAGCCGACGTGCGACTCGGGGTACACGGTGTCAGGAACGACTTCGTGCAGCAACTCTGGAACATTGACTGCTGCCACGTGCAATGCTGGAGGTGGAGGGGGCGGCGGCGGAGGCGACAACGGCGGAGGCGACAGCGGCGGCGGAGGCAACAGCGGCGGCGGAGGAGGAGGAGGAGGAGGGACAGATATGATGATATATGTCATCGGCGGGCTGGGAATTACGATACCGGTCGTCATCTGCATGATTCTTGGTATTTGGTACAAACCTGCGCTCCGCAGATGTTGTCTGGCGTTGGGCTGTGTTTGGTGCGCAAACTTTCTCGTACCGGAACTCGAGACCCGAATGGCCAGCGTTGAGAGCTTCATGGCACAACAAAAGCTGCCTCGACTGATGGACGTCACCCCCGAGATATCCGCATCGGACGTTTCCGTGAACAAAAACGACGTGCTAGGTAGCGGCGGGTACGGCGCCGTGTACAGAGGCTCGTTCGAAGGAGGTAAAATCGCGGTGAAGGCGATGTTTGAAACCGGAATGAACAACATGATGTCCGCGGCGGCGGCGAGGATGATGCGCAAAGAGGCGCTCATCTTGTGCTCGCTCAATCACCCGAACATCATTCGCGTCTTCGGTACGGTTCCCGAGAAAGGATGGCTGGTCATGGAGTTGTGCGAGGGCGGGTCGCTGGACGAGCTTCTCCGCGATCACGACGTCGCCTTGGACTCGAGAGAGAAGGCGAGGTTGGCCAAGGAGACGGCGACGGGAGTCGCGTACCTACACATGAAAGACGTGAGCATCGTGCACGGCGACATGAAGGCGGCGAACGTCTTGCTGACGAAGCGTAGAGTCGTCAAGCTGTGTGACTTTGGCATGGCGGAAGCGAAGAACCGGTCGAAGACGATGACTTCGGCGGGCGCGGGACGCGTGGCGTTGACCGTCGCGTGGAGCGCCCCGGAGCTCTTCAAGGGCAAACAGAAGACGTTCGCGTCGGACGTCTACGCGTTAGGGATGACGTTGTGGCAAATTTTCGAGCGTCAGGAGCCCTTCAGCGCGATGCCGGAGGCTGCGATCGTGAACCAATGTCTCTCGGGCGTGCGCCCGGACATCTCCGCCGCGACGCCGGCGACGGCGAAAAAACTCATCGCGATGAGTTGGGCGGGAAATCCGAGCTCGCGGCCGCGCGCCGCCGCCGTCGCGTGCGCGTTGAACCAGTACCACGAGGGCATATCCCGGGGTAAGAGCGGCGCGGGGGACACGCGCACGAACGCCGTGCACCCCATGCCCGACTTCGGAAGGGAGTATAAACAGGTGCAGAGCGTGAGCGCGATGAACGAGGGCTCCATCGAGAGAGCGGGGGAGGAGAGCAGAGAGAGACTCGCGCGGCAGAGGAGTCGAATGCGACGGGAGAAGAGCGGGAAGGTGCAGCCCGTCGACGGCGCGCGCGAAGGCGACGATCAGTAGCGAGCGTAGAAATAGTATAGCGCCTTCGTCGTCGAGCGAACCGAACGCGCGAACGCGAGGCTCAGTAAGGACGCGAGCGTTCGAGGGACTGAACGAAACGTTTTTTATTTTCCAGCTGTTCGCGTTCTGTTCGTCGTCTGCTTAGGGTTGCATCTGGTGCTCGCGTCGCCTCGTCCACTCATGCTCCGCGCGCGGACGCTGCGCGGCATGATGAGTCTCCGCGCGCCCGCGGCGCTCCCGCGCGGTGGCGCGCCGCTGTCGCCGCGCGTCGCGCCCGCCGCCGCGACGGAGCGGCCGCCGCGCCGCGGCGTCGCGTCCGCGACGGCGTTCGGCGGCGTCCGAGACGAGTCCCGGAACGCGCGAGACGTCCAGCGACGCGCGGCGGCGTCGGAGGCGTCGTCGTCGTCGTCGTCGAACGCCTGCCCCGGGGCGAAGGCGCCGCTCGAAGACGTCGTGAACGACCCGTCGCGCGGCGCGCCCCCTCGCGGCGACGTCGGCGGCGTCCGGTGGGCGAGCGCGCGCGTCCTCGCCCTCGACGCGCGCGCGCGCGACCTCCGCGATCCTCCTTCGCTCCGCCGCCTCCGCGACGCGTCCTGGCGCGCGACGCTCCTCGACCCCGCGGACGTCCCACCCGCGCTGCCGCCGCAGCTCCTCTCCGTCGCGCCGATGATGGACTACACCACCGCGCACTTCCGCGCGATGTGCCGGATGCTCTCGCGCAAGACGTGGCTCTACACGGAGATGGAGGTGCGTTCTATACACTGGTTCCCATACGACCCCGTCGGCGTGGTCAACGCCGATCCTTAAGGACTTTTCCCGGCGCATCTCTCCGCCCATCCCTCGCTTTCAATCCCCGCCCTCGGCGCCTTTCAACGCCAACTGACGCCTTTGAACTCCACCCCGACATTCGCTCGTATGGAACGGCCCTGGAGGTGGACCAGACGTTGACGCACGTCGATCACCCTCGCCTCGACCGGTACCTGGACTTCCCGCTTCAGACGCACCCGAGCGTGTTGCAGCTCGGTGGGTCGGACCCGGAGTCGCTGGGTAGAGCGGCCGCGATCGCGGCGCCGTACGCGTACGACGAGCTCAACTTGAACTGCGGGTGCCCGTCGCCGAAAGTCGCGGGGAAGGGAAACTTCGGCGCCGCGCTCATGCTCGAGCCGGAGCTCGTCGCGGACTGCGTCGCCGCGATGGCGGCCAACTCGGGGGGCGCGCCCGTCACGGTGAAGTGCCGCATCGGCGTCGACGACGTAGACTCGTACGACGCGCTGTGCGCGTTCGTGGAGACCGTCGCCGCGCGGATGCCGCCGCGGCGGGGAGAGGACGCCAGGCCGCTGTTCGCGATTCACGCGAGGAAGGCGCTGCTCAGGCGCGTTCTATACACTGGTTCCCATACGACCGCGTCGGCGTGGTGAACGCCGATCCTTAAGGACTTTTCCCGGCGTTTCTCTCCGCCCATCCCTCGCTTTCAATCCCCGCCCTCGGCGCCTTTCAACGCCAACTGACGCCTTTCGACTCCACCCCGACGTTCGCTCGTATGGAACGACCCTCAGCGGCCTCTCCCCCGCGGAGAACCGAACGGTGCCGCCGCTTCGGCACGAGTGGGTGCACGCGCTCGCGAGGGACTTTCCGGACGTCGCGTTCGCGATCAACGGCGGGATCAACACGCTCGAGGAGGCGGTCGCGATCGCGCGTGGCGAGGGGACGCCGGTGGGGGGCGGTCGGCTCGTCGGAACGATGATCGGCCGCCGCGCGCACGCGGATCCGTGGGGTCTCCTCGCGCGCGCGGACACCGCGGTGTTCGGGGAGGCGAGCGATCCGTGCGTCAGTCGACGCGCGCTGCTGGAGACGTACGCGGCGTACGCGGACGCGACGTGGGCGAGGTACGGCACGACGAAGGACGGGTACGCGGTGCCTTCGATTCGGCATCTGATGCACCCGCTGCAAAATTTGTTTCTCGGAGAGCCCAACGCGAAGCGATGGAGGCGGGAGGTGGACGAGGTTTTGAAGCGCGACGCGAGGCGCGCGACGACGACGGTGACGGGCGTGCTCGAGGAGACGCTGAGGGTGCTTTCGGACGAGACCTTGGACCGCGCGCCGGGGGAGGTCGGCGAGGCGAGGACGCTGTTCGAGGGGAGCGACGTCAAGTTGCCGTCGCGCTCGCGGAGCGCCGTCGTCGCGTAGCGCGAACGAGTCCGTCCGTCGGTATCGCATGTTGTATCGTACAAAATGATAGAATGCATCAGAGCGAAGGGCGTCCTTCGTCTCGCGCGCGCGCTGTTCCCCTAATATCGTCGTCTGTTATCCCCGTCCCACCCCGCGAATCGATCGACGCGACGCGTCTCTCGCTCACGCCCTGACCTTCTTCCCCGGCGTGGACGTCGCGGCCTCCGCCGACGCCGCGCGCTTCCCGCCCCCCCCGGCGCGGCGTTCGTTCCTCCGTCTTCCCGCGTCCACGTCTCCGTACGGTCGAACCACCGCCTCGGAGTTCTTCAGCCCGTTCCACCCCGCCATCGCAGCCTTCGTCCTCGCCATCGCCTCGACCCGCGCGTCCTCCTCCTCGTCGCTGCCGCTCCGTTCCGTCAGCGGCGGCGGCTGGCTCGCGCGCTCCGACGCGCCAGCCCCGGCTCCGGCCCCGGCTCCGGCCGCGACGGGGACGCCGCCGGCTTCCTCCACGAGCATCGCGTTTAACGTCCGGAACCGCTTCTCGACTTTCGATACCAGCTGCGTCAAGACCTCGGTGCTGTAGAACGGCTGCTGGAGCACGCTGACCAAGAACGGCGACCGCAGCGACAGCGACGACGAGCGCTTGTCGTGCTTCTTTAAAATTTTCACGAGCGCGGTGTAGTTTAAGGACACCCAGTGTTCCATGAGCACGAGCTCGCCGTGGAAGTCCGCGTACGCGCGGCACATCTTCTTGTGCGCGTCCACGGTGTACTCGTCCGCCTTCTCGCCCTCCTTGTTGAGCACCCGGCGGTACTCCCCGCTCAGGCGTCGCTCGCGCATGACGAATTCCTCCTCGGAGTTCATGAAGAACTCGTTAAACTTGGCGAGCTCCGCGTTGAGCGTCTTCACGAACGCGAGCCGAGGGCCGGTGAGCTGCCGCCTCTGCGGCGGGGATTTCACCGCGCCCTCCGCGGGCGACCCGTCGCTGCTCTTCGCCTCCTCGGGGATGTCCTTGAGGACCTTCTTCAGGGTCTTGTAGCATAGGAACTGCGCGGTTGGGAAAGGGATAATTCAGTCGGTCGGCAGCGTTCGGGAAGATCGATAGATCAGTCGACGGAGGGACGACCGCGCGGGGCGCACCTTCTCTCGAACGCTCGGATGCGTCGCCTCGATGAGATCCGCGAACGTGTGCCCGAACTTCATCGCGCGCGGCGGGGACGGAGACGGAGCGCCCTCTCCGCGTCCGGCCTCGTGCCGCGCGGCGTAGTTGTGAGAATATCCCCAGAAAATATTCCTTTTCGGCCGTGTTTTCAGCCGTGATTTCACAATGTCTCGATCAACCTTGCACGCCGTCGGGTCGAATTGAAAGTAAAACGAACGCGTGTAACTGTTTTTCAAACTAAAGTCTACCTATGAAATTCTGCCAATCACGCGTTCGGCACGACCGGCGCGCGGCAGTCCACCCCCAACTCGAGCGCTCTCGCCAAGTCCACCACCGCGGTCGTCCTGTGGTGCTTCAGCCCTTCCACCTCCCTCTCCGCGTCCTCTACCGAGACGCGCACCGTGCGTAACCCTGCGAGCGGCGATGAAGAAGCGACGGGAGGGAGGATCGCGTCAGCGGGGGGCGGCGGCGGCGGCGGGAACGCGCGGGTAATACATGCAAACAGTTTTTGGCGTTCCGACGCCGACGACGGACTACCGCGCGCACCCATGTTCCTCAGCGCGGGCTCTATCCGATCCAGCATCGTCGCGCGGCTCGGCATCAAGCCGCTCAGGGGCGTCAGAAAGTCCGCGTGACTCCGCCCGCCGCGGTACTCGGGCGTCTTCTCCGGGTGCCTCAGGTATCGCATCATCTCGTCTCGAAAGTTGAACAGAAACGACGTGTGGTGGAGCCAACGTCCGCTGCTTATGCTCTGCGCGTTGCCGCCGACTTTCTTCTCGCCCACGACGTAGTCGTTCTCTCTCAGACGGAACCCTCTCACGCCGTCGAACACCCCCCCGCGCGCGCCGTACAGCTCCCCGGTCCAGTCCATGATCGGACGCGGGAACGGCGCGGGAAGACTGCCGTGCGCGTCGCGGTTCATCACGAGCGTCACGAACTGCGTGTCGCCGTCCACGATCACGGTGCCGCCGCCGCTGAACCGCTTGATCACCGTCAGGTCGTCCCTCTGCGCGGCCTCCACGTCCAACAGAGCGTGCGGCTTGCCGGAGATGCCGAGCACGACCGCGGGGGATTTCGCGCCGTCGTTCACGACGCAGTAGTTTTCGCTCGAGACGCGAAGGAGCGCCTCCTCGAGGCGGAGCTGCCGCAGGATGCACATCCCGGACGTGCGGATCACCTTCACGACGTTCCGCGCGGCCGCGGCGGGCGGCGCGGGGGGTCGCATCGCGGGGACACCGTGACGCCCCCCGCGCCGTCGGGAGAGCTCTCCGCGGCGCGACGTGCGGCGCGGTATGTCGAGGCGGCGTCGTCGCTCGTCGACGGGATCTGAAGTAACAAATACTTTCCCGCGAAGTTTTCGCGCCGTGGCGTGTGCCCTGTGCCGTCATGTTTTGACCGCAGCACGCCACGCCGCCGGCCATTCCTCGCCGCGCCGCGGGCGCACCGTTCGCGTCTCCGCGGGCGCGTTGGCGTGAATCATGAACAGCGCGGGGTCGAGCCCGATGGGCTCGGAGACGTCGCTCACCGGCGATTCGCTGCGACGAAGGCCCGCGCACAGTCGGAAGGCGTCCTTCAGCGACGATCTGGAAGTCGCGGACCCGGGAGAGGAGGGCGCGCTCCTCGCCGCGATGGCGCTCGAGGGCATGAGCATCCGAAGCAGGCACGCGCCGGGGTGGAGCGTCGCGACGCCGTCGGAGAGCGTCGCGTCCGCGGCGGCGTCGGGCGTCGCGGGCGGCGGCGGCGGCGCGCGACGCGTCGGCAGCGCCGACGCGCTCGGCGTCCTCGAGGACGCCAGCGACGGCGACGACGACGACGACGAGGTCACGAGCGCGGGGAAGCCGATCCCGAGCGCGCGAGCGCGCGTCCCCTCGCCGCCGCCCGCCGTCGGTGGGACGTCCATACGAAGCCGCCCGCCGAAGCCGAAGCCGCCGCCGGACGTCGACGCGACCGCGACCGCGACCGCGCCGCCGCCCCCGCCGACGCGCGTCAAGGCTGTCGTCGCGACCGGCGGCTTCCTCGTCGACAAGAGCGGCGGCGAAGGTAAGGAGTACAAGGGCGGCGACACGGCGTTGGTGACGGTGCCGCGCGGGTGCACGTTCCGCGACCTCGTCGTCTTGTGCGGGATCGAGCCGGAGGAGGGCGACGAAGAGAACGACGACGTCGGCGGCGAGAGGAGAGACCCGGTGCTGGTCGCGGCGAAGCGCGCGCGCGTGCAGTACCGCGACCCGTCGGACGCGTCCATCTACATTCGCGTCAAGACGGACGCGGACGTGCGCGAGATGCTCGAGGAGTGGGACGCGCACGTCGCCGCCGCGTCCGCGTCTATCTCCGCCGGGGAGGGAGGGGGGAGCGCGAGCGCGAGCGTCGGGAAGTTGCGCGTGTTCGTGACCGACATCGCGACCGCGGCGGGGCGGGGGGGGCACCGCGCGCGTCCGAACGCCGTCGCGGACTCGGACTCGCCGAGGGAGAGCGGAGGGACGCCGCGGGTCCTCTCCGAGGCGGGGACGGACGGCGGCGGCGGCGGCGTCGGCGGCGGCGGCGGCGTCGGGTCCCCTCTCGCGAACGCCGAGGCGGCGACGAAGGCGACGGCGGCGGAGAGACGCGCGGAGCTGCAGGTGGTTCCGAGCGCGGAGCTCGAGCTCGTGAACCGCCTCGGCGGCGGCGCGTTCGGGGAGGTGCACTTGGCGCTGTGGCGCGGGAGCGAAGTCGCGGTGAAGTTTCTCACCGCGATCGCGCCGGACGGAAGAGACGACGGCGGCTCCGAGGCGTCCGAGAGCGACGACGACGACGCGGACGCGGACGCGGGCGCGGGCGCGGACGCGGGCGCGGGCGTCGCGGGCTCGAACCCCGGCGGCGCGCGGAGGAAAGCGAAGGCGAAGGCGGCGGCGGATAAGACGAGGGGGGATAAGCGCGCGTCCGCGGCGGCGTCGCGGGAGATGGAGTCGTTCCTTCGCGAGGCGCACACGATGGCGGCGCTGCAGCACCCGAACGTGGTGTTCATCTACGGCGTCGTGAACGACGGCGAACGGTTGGGGATCGTCGAGGAGTTCATGTCGAGCGGGTCGCTGCGGCGGTTGCTGAACCTGCACCAACGCGACGTCGAGAAAGAAAAGGAGAGAGAGCTAGCGCGGATGACCGAGCGCGAGGGCGAGGCGGGCGAGAGCCCGACGCTCGCGCTCGCGTCCGCGCAGCCCCCCGCGGCGGCGGCGGCGAAAGAGCGGCCGTCGAAAAACGTGCTCGGCGCGAAGCTCCGAGCGAGGTGCGCGTTGGACGTCGCGCGAGGCATGGCGTACCTGCACTCGAAGCGTTTCGTGCACTTCGATCTGAAGTGCGACAACGTCCTCACCGCGCGACGAGGCGCGAAGCTGCAGTGCAAGGTGTGCGACTTTGGGCTCTCGAAACGACGCCGGTCGCACGCGTCGTTCGTCAGCGGCGTCAACTCGCACCGCGGGACGTTGCCGTGGACGGCGCCGGAGCTGTTGAACGCGCCGACGAGGGCGTCTGAAAAGGTGGACGTGTACTCGTTCGCGGTGCTCATGTGGGAGCTGTGGACCGGGGCGTATCCGTACGCGGGCATGCACGAGCAGACGATCATGTGCGGGATCATGATGCGCTCGCTGCGGCCGGACGTCGCGGACGGGGAGAACCCCGCGGGGTCGCCCGTGAACGGGTGGAAGTCTCTCATGTTTGAGGCGTGGCGGGATAAGCCGGAGGAGCGGCCGAGTTTCGAGGAGATCGTGAAGCGGTTAGAGGGGATGCTCAAGGCGAGCGAGGGGGTACCGTAGCAGCCGAAGCCGAGCGTAATTTTAAAAAAGAACGGAGCCGTCTCCGTCTTCGTTCCTAATAAGTACTTCTACGTGTACGTGCTTCGCTTGACGCGCGCGAGCGGGTCCGCCTTCGCCTCGACGCCGTTCTCGACCGCGATCTCCTCCAAGTGCGCGGCGTACTTCCCGGGCTCTCGCAGGAAGTGCGGGGTCATGGTAAACACGCCTTTGGACACGGACGCGTGCGTGAATCGCAACCAAGCGCTCTTCGCGTCCGGGTACTCCTCCAGCGCGATCCGACCGCTGTGCAGGAGCTTGAAATCCAAGTGCTTCCTTCCCTCTAACAGCCTCCACGCGCCCTCGAGGTAACACTGGTCCTTCGCGAGCGACTTCTTCTCGGACGTGTCCGATAACCCTCGCTTACATCGATAGCACTGCTGCCAACGACGGCTCAGCTCCGGGACGTACGGCTCCAAAGCCTCGAACAACGACGAAAACCCGAGCTGCGTGCCCATCCACCGCGTCCAGTACGCGAGCGCGGGGCCCCACAGGAGCTTCACCTTGGCGGACATGTGCGTGTTCAACGTCGCGAGGCCTTCCTCGGTGACGAGGTGCTCCCTCGGGGTGACGTTTCGCCCTCGAAGCGCCCAATGCGACGCGGTGTTGAACGTCCCGCGGACGTACTCGGACGCGTGCGCGTCGTTGATCGCGCACGCGAAATGCGTCCCAATCTCGTGGTCTAACAGCGCTTGGATCCACTCCCTTCGGAAAAACCCTCCGGTGGACGCTTTCGACGGCATGTGCAGCACCCCGTGCGCTTTCCTTCGCCCCAGGCTCATCGTCATCGACGGCGTCGCGAGGGAGTCGTGCCACTCGATCGTGACGTTCTTTTCGATGCCGTGATCGATCAGGTACTCCTTGATCGTGTCTTCCAAGTCGCTCACGCCGATCGTGTCGCCGCCCCACGCCGCCTTTTCGTACGATCCCTCGTCGCCGTACCTCTCTCGCTTCGCGTTCATGATCCGCGTCGCGTGATCGAGGAGGTCGTCCCTCGGCGCGCCCCACTCGCTCATGCGGAGCCGCGCGGCTTCTTCATCCGCGTACACGAATTGCGGGTCGCGCGGTAACGAATCGCGCTCGCCCTTCTTGTACGCGTCCCACGCGGCCAAGAACGCGCGCCGCTCCTCCGCGGCGTTAAGAGGCGTCATGTTGCCGTACGCCATCGTCGGCGTGAGCTCTTTCGTCTTTTCTTTCTTCGCCTTCAGCGTGCGGCTGTACTCGTTCACTTTTTTCGCAACCTCCTCTCGCGCCTCGCGCTCGATCTTGTCCCTCATCTGTCCCGGGGTCATCACGCTCCACGGCTTCCCTCTTACCGTCTCCCACTCGCCGCGACGGAACATGTTTCGCAGCTCCGGCGGCGGCGCCGTCGGCGCCTTCTCCGCGCGCGCCGCCGCCGCCGCCGCGGCTTTCAACGCCACGGGATCGTCCGGGTTCATCTCCAAACGCTTCGCGGCCGCCTTCTCTCTCGCCTTGCACCCGCCGATCCACGGCCGCGGCGGCCGCGGCGACGCCGCCTGCGGGCGGGACGGCGACGCCTTCGGCGACGACTCGCACGACGACGACGTCGGCGTCGTCGTCGAGGCCGACGACGACGTCGGCGTCGTCGTCGAGGCCGACGACCGCGGCGGCGGCGCGACGCGGTTCGGCGTCGCCGGCGGCGTTCGACGCGGCTCATTCGACGCGATCGTCGCGGTTCCGCACTCGATCCTGCGCAGCGCCGCAGCGCCCGGCGTCGGCGTCGGCGCCGCGACCGTGGGCTTCGGCTTCGACGCCCGCGGCTGCGCGACGACGCGCATCGCCGTGAGGCTCGGCGTGGACGACAGCCGCGGGGACGCCTTGAACGCGTCGCGCGGCGGCGTCGGCGTCGCCGCCGCCGGCGCCGGTGCCGGCGCGCCGCCCGTCGTCTTCGAAATCGTCCTCGGCTGCGCGGCGACGACGACGCGCCGCATCGCTTTCTCCACCTCCTCCGCGCTTCGCGACGGCGACCACGACCGCGCGTCGTTCGCCGGGCTCCCGCTTCGCCCGCGTCTGGCGGGTTTCACGAACACCGGCGCCTTGCCCGGGACGAAGTAGTACTCCCCCTCGGTTCTCGACGCCCTCGACAGGCGCTCCCACGGCGTGCTCGAGCGTCCTCTCCTCTCGTCGGCGGTGTCGTCGGCATCGCACGCGGGCGCGGGGTCGCGCGTCGGCGACGGCGAGACGGTTCGGCGCGACGGCGACGGCGACGGCGACAGCCTCGATTTGGATTTGGACTTGGATTTGGATTTCGCCCTCGCCTTGGATTTCGTCGTCGTCGTCGTCGTCGTCGCGGTTCGCTTCTTCGGCTTCTTCTTCTTCGGCGCGGTCGCGCTCGCGCCGCCGTCGGCGCTCGACGCGGAGCTCGATTCGCCTTCGGAGCGCCGCCGCGACATCGCCTTCGCGTTCGAAACCTCGAGAGCCATCATCGTTTCCGTCTCGGAGATCGTCGCGTCGAGTCGCGAGGACGACGACGATTCCTCCGCGACTGACGACGCGATCTCCGCGCGCGCGGCGGGCGTATCCGCGCGCGGCTGTCCCCTTCGCGCGCCCCGCCCTCGCGCGCGCCTCCCAAACGCCGCGGCGGTGCCCTCCTCGCCGCCGCGAACGCTGCCTGACGCGACGCGCGACGCGTCGTGATGTGCGCGCGAGGGCGAGGACCGAGGGGTCAAAGCGCGCGAGTCCCGAACTCCCGAAACTCAACACCTTCGTACGTTCCGTACTCGTACGCGAAAACGTGACCGCGTCGCATACATTCGATACCAGTATTCCACGTCCGCGGCGAGCGGGCATCTCATTGGCCGAGCGCGAGGATGTAGCGGTGCTGGCTCGTTTTTTCACCTTAGCCTTATCGAACCCTGCGGAGGGCGACGGCGACGGCGCCGCGACCTCGCGCGCCATTCTCACCGCACACGCGCGTCCCCGCACACGCTACGCACCCCGAAAGATAAGATGATGTCTCTCGTCTCCACCCCCGTCGTCGCCGCGCGCGTCACCGCGAAGAAGCACGCGGTCCGCAAGACGACGATCGCGTCCGCGACCAACACGCCGGAGTCCTCCTCCGTCGCGCAAAAGGCGGTCGCGGCGACGATCGCGCTGTCTTTCATCGCGCAGCCCGCGTTCGCGGACGACGCGGCGGACAAGAAGGCGAAGGCCGCCGCGCTCGCCGCGGAGATGGCCGGCGACCTCCAGGCGAAGAAGGGCGTCGTCATGGACTCGTCCCCGAAGAAGGTCAAGCAGCTCGCCGCGCCGACGTCGTTCCCGAGCTTCAGCGGTCCGAAGATCTCCTCCGGCGCGCCCAAGGCGGCCAAGGCGAAGTCCGCGGGGCCGTCGTTCTCGCTCCCGTCCTTCTCGCTCCCGTCGCTCCCGGGCGGCGGCGAGAAGAAGGCGGCCGCGCCGAAGGCGGCCGCGGCCCCGAAGCCGGCCGGCGGCGAAGTCTCCATCGGCGGCGGCCTCGGCCCCATCATGCTCGTGTTGTTCTCGCCGCTCATCGCCGTCGGCGCCTTCTCGGTGCAGACGCTCCTTCGCGTCATCCCGCAAGCCAAGGACGGCAAGGAATTCTTCCCCAAGGACACGATGCCGTTCTAAGCTGAGCCCCTAAGCGACGCGACGCGATGCGACGCGACGCGACGCGCTGGACGACGACGGCGATCGTGGGTGTAGGCGGAGGAGGGTAGGGATGCGGCGCCTCGGCGAGGGCGCCGCGCGTTAAGGTTACGAGCGCGACGAGGACGCGCGAGCGGAGGAGGGAGCGTTTTTTGTAAGACCGACGCGACGCGTTCGAGAGACACGACACGACGCGCTCGTCCTCCCCGCCGCGCCCCGCCGCGGTATCGTACACGTTACCTCCGTCGACGCGCGCGCGGATCGGATCACGCCGCCGCGTCGCCGCCGCCTTCGCCCGTCGCCGTCGTCGTCTCCGTCTCCGCGAACGCCGCGAGCTGCTCTAGCGCACTGCCCAGCTTCTGGTTCGTCTCCTCGACCATGGCTCTCAGCGCCTGGATCGTGTTGCACTCCCCGCCGCCGGGGCTGCCCCCGCGAAGCCGCGCGGACGCGCCCTCGTCCGACGTCGCGTCGTCCCTCCCGCCGCCGCCGGGGGGAGACGCGGTGCCTTCCCTCGCGGCGACGGCGACGGCGGCGAACGCGCTCGCGCGCGCGCGCGCGGCCGCCGCCGTCGCCGTCGCCGCGAGGGAAGGCACCGCGTCTCCCCCCGGCGGCGGCGGGAGGGACGACGCGACGTCGGACGAGGGCGCGTCCGCGCGGCTTCGCGGGGGCAGCCCCGGCGGCGGGGAGTGCAACACGATCCAGGCGCTGAGAGCCATGGTCGAGGAGACGAACCAGAAGCTGGGCAGTGCGCTAGAGCAGCTCGCGGCGTTCGCGGAGACGGAGACGACGACGGCGACGGGCGAAGGCGGCGGCGACGCGGCGGCGTGATC